TCGGATATATTTAGTAATTATTCTATAGTATTTAAGGCGACGCCTATAACTAATACTCTAGTCCTCTTACTTCGGGACTACTTACTACGCTCGTTTTATTAGGTAGACTTCTATCGACGTATCTTATACTTATTATATTCTTATATATATTTATATCTATTAAAGATAATTCGTCCCGATTACTAATCGATATTTAGGTTATACTTCCTAAGCTATAGAATACCTAGAATAATATTATAGTCTCTCGTTTTTAAGATATTAAATTATATTAATTCTAGGTATCTATAGATAGATATAGGTAATATAATAGTTTCCTCGCTAACTCCTCCTAAGAGTACTTCTCTATTAAGTCCTACGACTAGTATTACGTATAATAGGGGTTTAGTTATAACTTATCGATCTTCTTTAAATCTTAGATTTATAAAATTATTAGTAGCTCCTAAGTCGATAAGAGTCTATACTATTCTTATTAGTAGGTATATATATAATTTAATATATATTCCTAATAGTATTACTACTAGATATATTATTAGTCGATCCTTATAATCGTATATCTAGCGTCTATTATATTAGATTCCCTAGTATTCTTTTATCTATTATAACTTCTTTATCTACTATAGTAGTCTTAGTTCGATACTATAATCTAACTTTACTAACCTATAAATAGTATACGTTTCGTTATAGTATATAATATTAGCTATCTTACTATATCCTAGATATCGCGTATATTTTTTATATACGTAAGTAGAATTTTTATAAGGGTATCCTACTAGGTTATCGCCTTTTTTAATTATATTAATAAGATACTAGTCTAGTCTACTAGGCTATATCTTTCCTTCGAGATATCCTATAAGCTCTTTAGCTTCTTTATTATCGTAATAGTTTATAGGGCTTTCTATTAGTATCTCTAGGATAGTTTAATCTATTCTATAAAGTATATCTAGCGTTCCTAGATTACTATTAGCTCTAGGGATCGGGTTCTATATCTCCGCGGGCCCTATATTATTAGTCGTAAGATACTTAGAGTCCTAGGACTCCTTTATTCCTATAACTATAGTTTCTAGTCCTATTAGGTCCTAGATTAGTATTTAGGGTATATACTATATCTACCCTTAACTTTCTATTATATCCTAATCGATTTCTAGATAATCGAGTTCTAGCTTATCGGCTAACCCTTTAATATATAGGTTATCCGCCGATATCTCTTCTAGACTTAGGTTAGTCTATCTTATTAAGAGATCTTCTAAGAGTTCGTCCTTTAGGTCTATAGCGACTCGCTTTTTTTATCTAAGGCTATCGATAAGGGTCCCGACCTACCCTCTTAGATCGCCCTATTATTCGTTAAGGTATATTTCCTTCTAGTATTCCTAACTAGCGCTTATTCCTTCGGTACTAGTACCTATATTAGTAGTAGCTTCTCCCTCTTAGGTCGCTTATAGTACTTCGTATATCGCCTATATATATTACTATTTCTTATATAGTTTCTTCTATTTATATTCCCTCGCGCGGTATCTTAGTTTACTATAGGTAAAGTAAAGATTCTTCTAGCGACGCTTATTTTACTTATCTTAAGTAGCGTCTAACTTTATTAGCCTTAGGCTATATAGATCGGGGTCTTAGGATACCTATTATCGGCGCCCGTTCTTAAAGCGGTTAAATCCGTAAGTCTTACCTTTCTTCTATTAGTCTATTTCTCGTCGCTTATATCGTTATTCGTTAATACGATTATCGATCTTAACTATAATTATAATAAGTTAATCTAAGATTTCTAATCTATCGATTTACGCTCATTCGTCCTTTATATTAGACTTAAGTCCTACCTTATAGTATAAGATATACGCTCGATTAGGTAAGTCTAAATAGGATATAATCTATTAGAACTCTAAAGAGTATATTAATACGTTAGTTATTTATTTGATTTTCTATAGCTTTCGTTTAGCTATTTAAGTAGTATCGATATCTCCGAAAGTTCTTTCTAAGTATCGTCGGAAGCTACTATAGCTATTAAAGATTTCGGTAGTCGTTATAGATTAGTCTTTAGGTACCTTCTTATAGTAGTCCCGGATATATAGCTTAAGCTAATTCTATATTTATCTATATAGGTAGGTTAATATAAAAATCACCTTACTAGCTTCGGATAGAAGCTTAACCTTATTTACGTCGATATATATATCTATCTAAGTAAGGAACCCTCGAAGCTTAGTTCGGTTTCCTTTAAAGTACTTAGCTTTAGGTAATATCGGTCCCTAGATAGTACTAACTAGGGCGGAAGTAATAATCTAAGTATATATCTATACTAAGTAGTCCTCGACCTAGGCGTTATACTTCTCCTACTCTTATAGCCTAGTTAATAAGGTCGTTACCTATTCCTTTAGTATTTCGATTCGGTTATCTCGTTTATTATTAGAGTTAGGGTTATCGTACTTAACTACTAGCTTCTTTCCGGTACTAATATAAGATATATTATCGGTAACTTAAAACTTAATTCGAGATAGTCTTTAATATATTACGTACTAGCTAACTAGTTATAGTTAGGTTTAGACTACGACATCGCCCGTCTATAGGCACCTAGGAGGTGCCTATCGCCCGTCCACGGTAGGCGGTGGGCTATTTGGATTTTCGAGTGCCCGTCTATAACGCCTAAGGCCTATAGGCATACCTATCCCGGGCATGCCTATTATACCTACTATTATATAAAGTTACCTAAAATAGACGTATAACTCGCTGACTTTATATAATAAATAACCGTTATTTATACCTATTTTGCTAACTCTATATAAAATCGCGGTTTTAATCTACAATATCTATAAATTTTACTAAAATATCTAAGTATATAAGAAACTAATATATATATAATACGACTAAGAATAAATTTTTGATCGAAATATATTACGTTATATAGTATTTTTATTAACTTATTAAATCATACTATAATAGTTTGATATATATTTAAGTTAGTAGTATATACCTAGTATTTTCTATAAGTAGAATTGCGATTTGCTAGCCCGCCGCCTATTTCGGCCCCCCCCTCCTTCGGGTTTAGCGCCGGTAGGATCGACGCCCGATTAGGGATCGTCTCCGTCTACTTCGGGTTTAGCCTATCTATAACGGGTTTAGCGCTTTACGCTAACCCCGATCGGGATCTGCCGTCTCGTACCGCCCGTCTCGCGATATCCGCTATCTATATAACCCGCGGTACGTCGCTCGACGATAATTCTCTTCTTTCTAATACCCTTTCCCTCTTCCCTTTCTATTATACTCTACCGTCGCTATTCCCTAGTTAGCTAATATAGCCCTTTATTAGCTAAAAACCCTAGGTCCTAAATATAGCTTACTTCCCTACCCGCGGAAATTCGAACGGGTCGTACGAGTTACCTAGATCGCCCTTAATTTCCTAGTTCTATATAGCTTAATATATTCTTAGTTTTATAATATACGCTATATAGGGTCGCTATTTTAATTATAGTAGATATTACCCTCGGTCTACTTAATAACTAGATATTTAAAGTAGAATATAGGAGGACTACTAGCCGCTCTTTATCCTAGGCTTCGGTTTACGAATACTATATAGTACGCTGTAGAATAGCTATCTCTACTCTTTTAGCCGATCCCTAATTAAATAGCCGGTAAGTCGCTCGCTAGGCCCGCTTTCGCTCTCTATCTAATTATAAAAATATCTTAAAGCGCTCTAACGCTAAGTTAAGATATCGTAAATATCTATAAAATTAATAGCTCGTATAATCGGCTTATACGATCGGCGAATTATAGGCTACTACTCGGGTTAAGGGATTTTTTTCTTATTAATATCTTCCTAATCTATTAATTGTTAGCTAAGGTATCTTAGAGGCTATAATATTATATAGTAGCTACTATAAACCTAAGGCGCCCTTTAACGAGGCCGGTTAGCTAGATTAGTCCGGAGTACTCTTAAGTAATCGCCTAATATAAGTAGCGAATAGTATTAACGAGGTAGTACTATTATAGTTCTCGGTTATATAGGGTCTATAAGGCGATATACTATATAACTCCTTAGCTAGTAATACCCTAACGGCGCCTAGGTATTAAAAAGGATAACTAACCTCCTTTTCCTATTCTTTAGATATAATTTAGAACGGACGTAGATATACTAGCCTAGTAACCGCTATACTCTTATTTAAGCTTACTTTATTATTTATTAGTTTCTACCTCTATTATATCTCCGCTATATCTTACTACTTTCTAAGAAATAAGGATAGATCTTAATTAAATCGAGTTCTACTATAGCTTAAGCTACCCGCCGCTTTCTACTAGTATAAAAAGCGTACCCCTTAATTATACCCTAGCTTATATACTACGATACCTCTAGTAGTCTTTTCCTACTAGGATCGGCTTCTATCTAGGACCGTATAAGGTACCCCTAGGATAGTTACTATTACTAACCGGTATAACTTATAAGTAGAATATATTTAACTTCGAGATTAATTATATCTATAGACCTACTCCGCCTAAAATAACGAAAGATATCGGACCCCTAGTAATAATAGATATACTAGCTACTTATAATATTCTATTAGATCGTAGAAGTTCCGCGCTAGCTTTCTTAGAGCTAGTACTATCGATATACTCTACGAGAATAATCCCGTATTTTATAGGGCTAAATTATCTAGACCCTATTCCTCCTAATATACGAGGAGATAATCTACTAGATAAGCTAATATAATACGTTAAAATTCGGTTATTATCCTCTTATTATCTAACTTTTTTTTATTATAGATACTATTCCTAATATCTAATTATCGTATATACCCTATATAACCGTACCCGTATCTATACTAGAACCTATACCTAAATAAGCGAACTATATCTCTAGTAGTCTATTTATAGTAGGTGATTTTTAGTAAGAATTAGCTAAGCGGAAGTTATCTACTATAGAGCCCTTAGACTATTTAGATAGTAGGGACTATAAAAATAATTCGGAGCCGAGTTAGATATCTAACCTAGATAAAAATCTATATTTAAGGGTAAATAAGGCTTCTAAGCGGGCTAAAGATCCTAGTACTATTAAAAATACGCTAGCTATATCTAGGCCGTCCTCTCCGCCGACGGCTCGCTTTATATTAAAATATTCTCGAGCTCGAATAATACTAAGTTCTAAACCCCTAGTACGCTATCTATCGATAGCTATAGTTATATTATTACCGTCCTAGAAGTAAGGAGCCGTTAGGATAAGTATAAGGGCCGCTATAATAGTATATAAGAAGCGACTCCGCTTAGGTTAAGGTACCGGCGACTACTAAGATAGGAATACTACCTTCTATAATATAGTATAGCCGTATTAAAAGAGGAAGAAAAGGAGACCTTTAATTAGGCTACTTTCTAACCCTTCGGACTCTTCTATTTCTATTTTATCTTATCGCTCTAGTACTATCTAGGGTTTATATAGGAATACTATCCTTATAGTCGAGTCTAATACTAGTCTAAAACCGGTATATTTCTTTACTTTCGTACCTAATCCTAGCCCGATACTACCTCTAGTCTATATAACGGTTATCCCCCTATTAAAATATATATATACGTCGGACGAGAATACGTTACTAGTACGGCTAAAGGAAAAAGAGGCAATATTATAGTCTAAGATTACGACTTACTTCCTAGGTCGAAATATATTATCCCTTTAAGTTCACTATTTAACTAAATTACGTTATAAGGCTAGCTCCTAGTCGAAGAAATGCTAATAAAAGAGGATATACTATCGGGATATTTCTTAGTTCGCGCCTATCTGTTACGGACCTACCCGTCACCAATCAGTAGTGACCCACTAGGTACACCAATGGGCCATCGAGAGCCAACCAGCAGACCTGTCAGCAGATCACGTACAAGCTCACTAAGCAAGAGCATGATCCGCCCTGAGCGGACCCACCACGCAGAGGATTTCCGTTATATAGGTTGCTCTACGTACTAGACAACCACTACTTAGCATCACGTGATTATATAGGTAGTAGAAGGGTAGTGAGTAGATCAGTAGAATCCGCTAAGGCGATTCTACTATTCTACTATCTACTATTCTATATAGGAAGAACTTAGGGATATATAAGGACACTTATTTATATATCTAGTTTAGTTCTTCGTCTTCAATTATATATTGTTACTTATATTTACCTTTTAGATTACTATAACTCTTTACTTAATTATAACTTAATAATACTTACGAGTAGACTAATACTCCGGTATAGATCTACTCGGCGCTCTACCTAGTATTAGTTCCTTAATCGCTTAAAAGGACTTAGGCTATAGTAAGGCCCTACGCGGTAATAGCTTAGTTAAGACTCGATTATTGACGTTAGACTATTCGAGGAGTATTAAGGCAAGTATACCCTAAACCTATCTAACCTAACTATGACTAGTTAGCTAGTACGTAATATATTAAAGACCGTCTCGAATTAAGTTTCGAGTTATAATAAGCAATATATCTTACGCTAGTACTAGGAAGAAGCCTATTCGGGAGTAAGTTACTCTACCTATAAAGGACCCCGACTCTAATATCGAGAGAGATAATACTATTATAGAATAGAAGCGAAAGATTAACGAACTTAAGTATAACCTTAAAAAGGTTATAGATTAGCTTAGTAACTTAGGTAAGTAAAGCGGTACTAAGTTTAGCGAGATCGATAACTACCTCGAGTAGATTAAGGCCTAAGTTAACGTATCCGTACCTATTAGTACTATCTAGGTACTACGACTACCTAAGGCTAAGTTCTTTAAGGGAAACCGAATTAAACTTCGAGGATTCCTTACTTAGATAGATATATACCTCGATATAAATAGCGCTAAGATACCTAATAAAGCCGGTAAGGTGATTTTTATATTAACCTACTTACGCGGCTAAGTATAGGATTAGTTCGAACCTTATATCCGTAACTATTATAGAAAGAAACCTAAAGAATAGTCGGATACTATAATAAATATCTTTAGCGAGTATCGTAACTTCCGTCGATACCTCGAAAATACGTTTAGAGATATTAACGCTATAAGAATAGCCTAGAAAAAGTTATAATAAATCCGATAAACTAGAACTATATTAAGCTATACCTCTAAGTTCTTATAAATTATCTCTTATTTAGATTGGCTAGATAGAGTATACCTTCCTTACTTCGAAGCCGGAATAAAATCCGACGTTAAGGACGAACTCGCGCGAATAGATTAACTAGAGGAGCTCGATTAACTTATTAAGATTACAATTAAGATCGATAACTATAATAGCGAGCGAAGAAGGGAATAATATAAAATAGAACTATAGAAGCGTAGAAAGATATATAGCTTTAACCGATTTAGTAGACGCCGCGATAGAGCGATACTACGGGATAACGATCTATATAGCCCGAAGTTAATAGAGTTAGACGCTACTTATAATAAGCAAAAAGAACGTTATAATAAGAACCTTTACTTTACCTACGGGAAACTAAGACACTACGCGAGGGAATATAAATAGAAGAAACTATACGAAAAATAGTAATATATATAGGCGATACACGAAGTACTACGAGCGATCTAAGAGGGAAAGGCTACTACTAGTATAGGTACTAGCGCCGAAGGAATAAGCGCTAGTTAGGAATACTAGGAGGAAATATACCCTAACGAGTAATAGGGCGACCTAGGAGGGTAGGTCGGGACCCTTATCGATAGCCTTAGATAAAAAAGGCGAGTCGCTATAGACCTAAGGGACGAACTCTTAGAAGATCTCTTAGCAAAATAGACTAACCTAAGCCTAGAAAAGATAATAGTAGGCAACCTATATATTAAAGGGTTAGCCGACGAGCTAGAAATCGATTAGGATACGATAGAAAGTTAAGGGTAGATATAATACGTGCCCTAGGTACTAATCTAGGACCTAGTAGGACTTAAGGCTAGGGAGGACCTCGATCGGCGATCGCAAGACCTACTAGGACTAGAGACTATAGTTACGGGAACAAAGGAGTCCTAGGACCCTAATCGTCTTAAGATTAACGATATAGGGCCCGCGGAGATATAGAACCCGATCCCCGGAGCTAATAGTAATCTAAGAACGCTAGATACGCTTCCTAGAATAGATTAAACTATCCTAGAGATACTAATAGAAAGCCCTACGAACTATTACGATAATAAAGAAGCTAAAGAGCTTATAGGATATCTTAAAGGAAAGATATAGCCTAGTAGACTAGACTAGTACCTTATTAATATAATTAAGGAAGGCGACGACCTAGTAGGATACCCTTACGAAAATTCTACTTACGCGTATAAAGGATATACGCGATATCTAGGATATAGCAAAATAGCTAGTATTATATACTACGACGAAATATATACTATTTATAGGTTAGTAAAGTTAGATTACGGTATCGAACTAAGACTACTACGGTAGATAAAAAAGCTATAATAGACGAGAGAATACTAGGGAATTTAGTATAATAGACGCTAGATATACGATTATAAGGATCGACTAATAATATATCTAGCGGTAATACTATTAGGAATATATATTAAACTATATATAAACCTACTAATAGGAATAGTATAGACTCTTATCGACTCGGGAGCTACTAATAACTTTATAAACCTAAGGTTTAAAAACGATCGATAAGTTATAACTAAACCCCTATTATAAGTAATACTAGTCGTAAGACTCGACGGAGAAGTACTCTTAGGAGGAGTTAGCGAGGAAACTATTATATTGCCTATATCTATCTACGGGTACCTAGAATTAATACGGTTTAATATCTTAGAAACGGGAGACTACGATATTATTCTAGGTATTCTATAGCTTAGGAAGTATAACCCGAATATCGATTAGTAATTAGGACGAATTACCTTCGATAGGTATAAGTATATATAAGAATACGACGAGTATAAGACCTATCGATAAAAGTCTACCTAATAGAACGAGCGTAGTAAGTAGTCCTAAAGTAAAAGGACTAGAGTATTAGTTATAGGCGTTACCCTAGATACTATAGAATAATCACTAGATATATCCGACTAAGAGTTAAAAGACTATATAATAATCAAATATAAGAAGCTATATATAATTAGCGATAAACCTAGGATTCCGGAGGAATACTAGGAGTTTACGGATATTTTTATAGTACCGGCCGATAGAGTATTTGTTAGCACTTTAGCAGATATAATATTATAGCCTATAATTAGGTTATAATATTTTAGTAGGGAAGTGGTATTAGGTAATCTTTATAGCTTATATAATTATATTATATAAGATATAAAGGGTTATACTTAGCTAGAATAGGAATTAATGTAAGAGGTAGAAGTCAAGTTGATTGTTATTATACTTATATTATTATAATATACTAGCTAAGCAAGGAATTTCGATTCCTTATATAGCTAGTTAGGAGGCAATTATAAGATAATGTAATATCTTATAATGTTATAATATGACTTCACTATATATGGCAAATATTATAATATAACCTCACTATATATAGTAGATGATAGTGAGTCATAATATAGTTTACTATATATTATATATCTAAGGATCACTTAGATAGTACCGGTAAAATATATATAGGCTCCTTTCCTATTATAATAACATATATATACTATAATATATATCCTATATATATATATATTATATAATACTATTATACTAATATACCCCCTTAATCCTTATAATAGTTATAAGGATTATTAGTATATAGTATATATATATATATATAGTAGGTCCTTATATAGTATCTAGATTAGCTAGATCTATTAAGGCCTTATATAAGACATTATTAATATTCTTTGTTAAGAAGTTAGCTAGTATATATTTAGAAGGTATCTAGTTTATAACTACTTTTCCTTCTAATATAGCTTATCTTATAAAATAGTATATAATTTTAATATACTTAGAGCGCTTATAGAATTCTAGATTTTTAGCTAATTTCTTAGCTAAATTACTATTAACTAAGATAGTAGGCATACTTTTTGTATACCCTAGATCTAGCTCTATATTTAATAAATTAAATATATTAGCTAGATATATAGCTTCCTTAGTAGCCTCTTTTAGAGCTATATATTCTACTTCGTAGCTACTAAGGGCTATAGTCTTTTATAGTTAAGAATTCTAGCTTATAGGGTTATTTAACCCTATACTAGGGCTTAGGCTAAAAATATAGCTAGATATAGACTTTCTTAGGTCTAAATTATTACCCTAATCTAAATTAGAATACCCTTTAATATATAGGTTATTACCTAAGCAATTATATACTAATCCTATATTAGGATAGGCTAATAGATATTTCTAAATCCTATTAAGGGCTATAAAATAGTCCTTACTAGGATTACTTATATATCTAGTATAATATATAGTAGTAAAGGTTATATCTAGCCTAGTTTTAAGGGCTAAATAGAGTAAAGACCCTATTTGTTTTTAATATTCTTTAATATTATTAGGGCTTACTTTAGTAGTATTTTTCTTCAATTTTAGCCCCGGCTTACCCGGTATTTTAATAGACTTATAGCTAGGATTATTATATATAGAGAACTTAGTTAATAGTTTCTCTATATATCCCTTTTAGTCTATATATAGTATCTTAGTCTTATAATTAATAATTATACTATTACCTAAGAATATTGATATTATACTAATTTCTTCTATCTTTATATAGTAGCTAATTTTAGCTACTATATTATATATATAGCTTAAATCTTTATATATTACTAATATATTATCAACGTGATATATTAGTATATATTTGTCCTTAGGGTTTATATATATGCCTTTATTATATATAAAAACCTTAAAGCTAAATTTAGCTAAAATAGTAGATAGATATTTATACTAAAGCCTAGGGCTTTGTTTTAGACTATATAATACTTTCTTTAAATAGTAGTATTTTTTAGGATTATTATATACTCCTATAGGTAGGATAGTATATATATTAGTATCTATATTAGTATATATAAAGGCATTTTTAACATTATATTATAGTACGTACTAGCCTTTATTAATAGCTATTATTAATATTAGATACTATAACTTAGTTCTATATATTATAGAAAAGGTTTCTAGGAAATTAACCCCTAGCTTTTAGTGAAATCCCTAAATAACCTACCTAGCTTTATATCTAATAGTCTTATTACTATTAGTAATATAGTCCTTATCCGGATTAGGACTATTTATAGGTTTCTTTTTAAAAACCTATCTACCCCTAATAGGGGTTATATTAGGTAGTATATCTATTATATCGTAGGTTCCTTATTTTTCTAATTCTTTAACCTTAGCTAGGTAAGCCCTTTGCTATTCGTCCTTTTCTAGACTATTTATAGCTTCTATATAGCTATTAGGTTTAGATAATAGCGAGGTAGTTAGTAGGAACCTACTATCTATATTAGTCTCTATAGAGCTAATATAGTTAGTTAGTATAGTATCCTTTATAGTATATAATATAGGTATTTATACTTCTACCCTATAATTAGGGTTAGCTGCAATTCTAGAGGTATCTCCTCTAGTTATTACCTTATTACTATTATTATTAGGATCTATACTAGTTTCTTTAGAGCTTATAAGCTTATTTTTAGGACTTTTATTATAGGGATTTATATTTCTAGGTAGTTTCTCTAGAAATTTATTTTTATATATAGTGATATCCCTTAACTATAGGTATTTTTACCTATTATAGTCCTATAATTTATAGTAGTTATATTTACTATAACCTACTAATATAGCTTCCTCCTTTCTAGGAGATAGCTTAGTTTAATAGTTATTAATATAATAATAAACTAATAAGCCCTAAGCTTTAATATTAGCTATATTAGGCTCTCTCCTATTTAATAATTTATATAGGGTTTTAAACCCTAAAGCCTTATATAGAGTCCTATTATATATATAGGTAATAGCCTAGAGTACTTCTCCCTATAGATAATTAGGGCTTTTAGATTGAATAAGTATAGCTCTTACCTTATTAAATAGGGTAAGGTTAATTCTTTTAATTAGTCCGTTTGATTCCTTAGTATAACTAGGAGTAGTTATATAGTTAATACTATATCTAGATAGGGCTAATTAGAAGTGCTTATTAATATACTCTCTACCTTTATCAATAAAGAATTACTTAATTTTCCTATTTTTAGTATTCTCTATTAAGGTCTTAAAATCCTTAAATGCTTTATAAGTATTATCTTTAGAAAATAGTAAGGTAATCCAGAGATATCTAGATTTTTTATCTAGGAAAGTGATATAATACCTATATTTATTATAGGTAGGTAGTAAAGGTCTACCTAAATCACTATATATCCTATCTAAGATATTATACTTAGTAGGATTATCTAATTTCCTATATATATATCTATTATCCTTAGATAATAGATATACCTTATATTTCTCTTTAAGGAATACTTTAATATTATCTAGGGTTATATTAATCCTTAGGGCTTTAAATAGGATAACTTTTAAGGGCTATATATTTATATGCCCTAATCTAATATGCTACTGTTTAATAGTATTAACTATACTATTATTAGTAATTTCTTTAGGAATATAACTATTAATACTAACTGGCTTACTAAGGTAATTAGTCTTAGTAGTTGTTATAGTAGTATTAATATTCCTTTTTAATATAGTGGCTTTTATATAATATAGGCTATCTTTCTTATTGCCTATAGCAACTATTTTCTTTAAAGGTATATATAAATATGCTTTATTTCTTATAAATAGAGCTATTAGATCTTCTAATTAGTATATACTAATAAGGTTAATACCTAGATTAGGTATATAATAAACATTCCTTAATAAGTATATATATCTAGTACTAGATTTTATATATATATTATCTTTATAGGTTGCTTTAATAGTATTAGCCTTACCCTACCTAACCAAGGTAGTAGTAGGTTCGTAATAGGAAAAGTATTCTAATTTATATATAGTACTAATAGTAGCAGTACTATTAAGAATAAAGTCTACTTTTTCTTTTATAGGGATTAACCCTATATTATCTAGTAGTGCTTTAGTTGATACTATAGTACTATATAATAGGAGAGGATATACCTCTTCTACTTTATCTCCTATATCTAGTAATTGATCACTAGCCGTTATAGAGGGTTGGTTTTTAATACTAGTATATAGTTCTTAATCTGATCTAATTGCTAGATTAGAGAGATTAGATAATATATCTATATCTTTAGTAGATTTAGGAGTATCTACTATATTAGAGTCTAATCTTATATTTCTTGCTCTTTAGGAATCTTAGGGCTAGTCTTAGGCTTAGCATTTCTAGCTTTATATGATTCCTTAGTAGTAGAAATCGGGGGTTTTATAGTTATTTTAGCCCTTTTACCTTTCGGAACCTATCCCTTAGGTACTAGATTAGGAAATAGTAGCTAGTACGTCTTAGTACTATAAGTAGTAAGTTTATAATGCTAATAGTATCTTCTTTTTAAGGGCCTATTTTTATATGACTTTTTATACCGGTTATTATACTTAAGTAGTATAATATTGGTATAATAATTACCCTTAGTAGTATATACTTCTCTACCCCTAGCTTTATCAATTAGGCTAGAGAATAGGGATTTAATAGTATATGTATTAGGGTTATTTCGTAATAACTAGGTTATATTTTGAATAAACCCGTCATAGTCTGTATTGAGACTATTAAGAACCTAGGCTATAACTACCTAATTAGGTAGTTTAATACCTTTCCCTTTTAGGTTATCTACTAGGGTTTTAACCTTATTAAGATATTCTTCTATTGAATAAAACTCACTCAATGTAGTATTAAAGAAATCTTTTAGGGTTAAATACTTAGTAGTAAAACCCTTAGGGTTATATAGGGCTTCTAAACGAAGCTAGGCTTTATAAGCACTCTCTATATCTTTTAGATATAGTAGAGGTCTATCTTCATAATAAAGCTTTAAAATAGATATAGCTTTATTATTTTTTACGCTAGTAGAGGCAACCTCTATAGGCGTATATAGGTCTTCTTTTATTAGGGCAGCCTTAACCCTAATAGACCATATAGTATAATTGTTAGATCCCCGTAGCTAGGGAAGGAATATCTTATCTAGCGAGGCTATAATAAGATATAATACTATATATATACTAAAGAGTATATATAATAGTATAGTAATATAACTATATATAGTATATACTATATATAGTATACTATATATAGTATATTGACGTAATACTATATACTAATAATAGTATATAATATATAGTACTATAAATAGTATATTAATATACTAATTATAGTATATCGGAGATCGTTCGGAGATAATTTAGAGATATCTCGGCTTCGATCTTATTTCGGTAATTGTTCGGAAATAACTCGGTTGACTGAATATTTCCTATTTAGGAAATAAGTAGCAAGCCGGGCTCATAACCTGTTAGCACTTTAGCAGATATAATATTATAGCCTATAATTAGGTTATAATATTTTAGTAGGGAAGTGGTATTAGGTAATCTTTATAGCTTATATAATTATATTATATAAGATATAAAGGGTTATACTTAGCTAGAATAGGAATTAATGTAAGAGGTAGAAGTCAAGTTGATTGTTGTTATGCTTATATTATTATAATATACTAGCTAAGCAAGGAATTTCGATTCCTTATATAGCTAGTTAGGAGGCAATTATGAGATAATGTAATATCTCATAATGTTATAATATGACTTCACTGTATATGGCAAATATCATAATATGACCTCACTATATATGGCAGATGATAGTGAGTCATAATATAGTTTACCATATATCATATATCTAAGGATCACTTAGATAGTACCGGTAAAATATATATAGGCTCCTTTCCCATCATAATAACATATATATACCATAATATATATCCTATATATATATATATTATATAATACTATTATGCTAATATCCTTATTATCCGTCTCGACCGTATCTAATTCTTCCTTATCTTTATTATCTATATCGACTATATCTAATTCTTCCTTATCCTTATTATCTATCTCGACTATATCTAATTCTTCTACGTCCGTATTATCTACCTCGACTATATCTAATTCTTCCTTATCCTTATTATCCGTCTCGACTATATCTAATTCTTCTACGTCTATATTATCTACTTTAACTATATTAGATACTTCGTCGTCCTTATTATCTATATCGACTTTATCTAATACTTCCCTATCGGTATCGAGTACTTCGACCTAGTCGAAATCTTCCTCGTCTAGTAAAGGCGTAGCTTTAACTTTATCTATAGTATTATTAGGGTTATATATTACGGTCTAAAAGGCTATTAGTTATAGAGTATAGTAGAAGTCTTTATTATAGATCTCTCTAGGTATAGTTTTCCCCTACCTAGTTTTTCTATTCTACTAGCGTAAATACGAGAGAGAAATTATATTCTTTTTATATAGTTCTCTATTATCTAGGCGACTAGATCTCTTTAGCCTATATATAGGGTTTTATTATATTAATTAACTAATAATCTATAAGAATAGAAATACTTATACTATAATTAAGGATGACACGGTGAATGGGAGGCCAGAAACGGCCGCTTTTGACGCCGTTTTAGGCCGCTCGCTCACCGTGATCGGTCTTGGCGTCACGTGCACTAAAGCCCACGGCCAACCCCGTTTACTGCCACCTGTGCTTCGGGTTGGCCGTGCCTGGTGCCTGGGCCCATTGATCGACCGATGTCCATTCGTGCCGCAGCCGCCACAGGGCCCCATCCTCGTCCACCCTCAGTCACCCTCCTGGCGGAGGGGAGCCAAAAATGGCTCCTCTGTTCACCGTTCTGCTTCCCTGAGTTTCCATAAATATCGACCACCATGGCCCCGAACGACAGTCCTCCCTCGCTCCCCAGCAACTCCAGCCCCAGTTCTGGGTTTCCAACGAGTGACTTGCTCAAAGTGAAATAATATCACTGTCGACCATTCTCTCGTGCTTCTACTCGTCTTCGCTGCTCTTTCCCCCTCTTCAAACCCACACTGCGTTCCGCTGCCATGCCTTCTCCGTGTCCTGCTCTATCTGATGATGAGAGTGACACTAGCTCACGCCTGCCCGAGATCTTCTCGAACAACGCTTCCGACTCTGATTCCTCCACCGCACCTAGCGTCTTCGACTCAAGCAGCGAATCCGAATCCGAGTCTGAAGATGAGTCCGAAGATGAGCTGGCTTCAGAAGATGAAGAGAAGCAACTTCCACCAGAATACTATCTCCAGGAGGCCGAGTCTCTTGATGTCTCCCAGCTCCGACAGAAACGCTACAGCCCGAAAACTCAGGAGAGATTGGATGAGACGCAATATTTTTGGGATAGGTGAGACATCATTGTAACATCCCGCTTCTATTACTGGGTTCGCTGATTGTTCTAGGTTCTGTAATGGCACAAAGCGCGGTCCGGTGGAATGTTTGTCCTGGCTCTCTGATACAGAGGAGACGGTACGCTTCCTCAAGGCTCTCTTCTCCTGGCGGTGTGACCAGCGACGTGGAAAGGATGGACGTCGCACCCCAGGAGTGAAGACTAAAAGCTCGCTCGACTTATTCTGGAAGTGGTGGCATCTGATCTACAAGGCCGAGGTTGGACATGAGCTCAGCAAAGATATCCAAGTTAAGATCCGCGATGTGAGATCCCGATTGAGTGTCGAGATCGGCATGGATGGTACGCGACTGACGTTCCATAGGTCCTCGCGATAGTTGCCAGGGACAAGAAACTTTCCCTCAAAGGTCGACCGAAAGCGACCATGTATGTCGAGGATGTGGCCGAGTTTGCCCGAGTGATCCTGTCCACGACAGAGATGACTTTTCCTTGTGGCTGGTACCGGATACAACTCCTCCTTTTCTGCCAGCTGGCCGCCATCACTGGTAGCCGTCCCGGGGCGCTACTGAAACTTCGCTTCCAGGATCTCAAGTTGACACTGGTTCGGGATCCAAATGGAGGACGTCCTCGACTTTTCATCTACTTGAGACCTGAATTCACAAAATCATTTCTTGGTGAAAAAGAGTCGTAAGAATATCCCCTCACTAAGCCATTTTTTATGCTTGTCTTTCCTCCAGTCACATGCTTCTCAGCGCCCTTTTGCTTATCATTTCCAATCAGAAACACATTCCCGATTCCGGAGATCATCTTTGATCCCACGTTGGTCCTTAGTCCTCATGTTTTCCTGCTAGGCATGCTATTTAGAATTGGCGCATTTAAAAGTCTATCAAAAGACGGCCCTGTGATGGACTGTCCCGAGAAATTGTACCGTCTTCGGATCCTAGATGGACTTGGTGAGCAGGAATTAAAGCTGAAGGACGAAATTCTCGATCAGAATGTGTTTTGCCAAGCAGTACGAGAGGCGGATGGCCTTCGAATCGCACTCGAAAAGGGACTTACCGGGTCATGGCTGCGTTACAGAATGAAACGAGGTGGTGAGATTACCGGCTTCGCGGAAGTCGCGAAGCCATATTGTCTCCGATACGGCGCAGCAAAAGCGTTCAACGATAGTCGTGAGTGACACATTGTGCATATATGACTTTTGGCTAATGCGTTCCTCTCTACCAGCGGACGTATCGAATGAATTGCAGAACGTGATGCTGCAGCACGCCAGTATTGATACTTTTGTCCGGCACTATAGTGTGGGTATCCACGTAGATGCCCAGGCAATTGTACGGGGCATGCCCGCTCAGAAACAGCTCATGCGGTTTGCCTGCTCAATGAGTCGATCGATTGATCCTCGCAGACCCTATCGGCTTGAGGATTCGAGCTGTATCAAAGACATTCCCCGCGTGCGTACCCTGGAAGATAGAAAACAGGCGAGAAAGCGAATTCGAGACGCTAAGAAGCTCACCTATGAAGAAGCGCACGCTGGATTACAGCAGGAGTTCGGCGATATCCCACCGCAGAGTGGCCCTCATTCCCGAACAATCCGCAAGCGGTGGAAGGCTAAAGAGAAAGGTGTCAAAAAGTTACGCCAGAAATTTGATCATGCAGATGAGCAGTATGATCGCGCAGTGAAGCAATTACGAAATGAGAAGGGATGGCAAAAGCACCGATTGATTCGTGAAAATCTGGAGCGGTACAAAAATGAGCAGCCGGTGATCGACAGTGAGCGGCAACTTTCCGGAAAAGTTGTTGACGAAGAAGTTATGGGGGCGTTGCAGCGTACCGGCTATATGACACCGCAGCATATGACACTTATCGACAGTGTTCTGACTCTGCCGGGTACAACAGTCGAGAAAGAATATGAGCGTCGAATTGCTGCAATCAATGCAGTCATTGCGGTCTGTGATGCGGAAGAGGGTGCTCCCTCGCGGCCTCGGGCCCCGCAAAAACGCACCGCCGATGCTGCCGATATGCCACCTGCTGCCGCTCTGCCTAAGAGGCAGAAGTCTATCCCCTCAGATGAGAATGGTGATACTTTCCTTAAAGCGATCGCTTCTGTTTGCGTCAAATGTCCAGGGGAGAGACCAACGATCTGCTTTATTTGTCTTGGTAATACTAGACTGCCAGAACGCGAACGCCTGAAAATTTACAAGAACCCCGGGTCCCTCAGCCGACACTTCGTCAACAAACATATCAAGCCGTTCCCTAATGACATGCACTGTGAGTGCAACATTTGCGGGGAAAAGCTGATGTCAAAATCGGGACTCCTGAACCATGCGCAAAGAATGCATGGAACTATCTCCTGCCTACCTTTACCAGCTCTTGGCCTACCCCTTCCTTAAATATTCGATGTTTCTTGTTTCTCTGTTAAATGTGTCCTACAGAGCGAGGTCAAGCGTGTACAGTATACAAATATCCGCTCGCACAATTATTGATTTTGAGGAAATGCATTGATGACCACTCGTAGCCAAGATATCTAATAATGAAAAGGGTGTGCTTTCACGTTGCTGCACCTATTTGATGACCGCAAATAGTCTTGCGGGGGCCGCCTTTATGAGTTCAACACTGATTTTCGTGTAATATTTTAAGGAATATCGTGGTCTTTTTGCATTCTATTATTAATCAACTGTGGTTAGTTTCGGGGAACTCGATCGGCGTTCCCGGGAGCCCCACATCTTGTTCCTGAGGTCCAGGGGCCCGAGCTAGAGTCTACATCAGGTCGATGATTGGCTTCCAAGGAGATGACAAAACATGCTGTTCTCAATCGCAACGAAACCAAAATGAGTACGATATGTATCAACGAGGGCTAGGAATGGTAAAACCTTGAGTAAATTTCAAATCATCCGGCACAGCAACCGGTCCTCTTCTTGGACGTTTCCGATACTGTATTCTTGGATACCCGTGTTTTGGTAACCCTACCTTGGGGTGATTCGAGGCCCCTAAAGATCCAGAAACAGCGTCTCCTGGCCTGTATGGTTCGCTGTCCAAGATAGACATATATCGAGTGACACGAAGCCAAGTATGTAATAAATCTGTGGAATCATGTCCAAACAGGTCCTAGGCCTGGAGATGTGGGTCCGTGGTTGAGGAGCTGTGACCACAAGGCCTTAGTTCTCGGCCCCGTGATCTAGAACATATGACTCAAGGCCTATTACCGGACGGCCGTGGAGGCAGGTCCACCTTGGACGTACGTCCACGGCTCCTAGTCTAGGTGGGCTTTATCACTGTCAACCGGCGGCCACCCTGGCTTAGTGACCATAAGGGTCCTCGGTCTTCTGACTACGGTCTATATGGGTCATAGGTCTACTGGGGTGGAGATAAAACGGCCACAATGGTTGCCTAGGGGAGAGCAGTACCACCGGGGTGAGGCTGCAAGCAGAACAGCTGCTAGTTGGTAGTTGAGTCCGTAAAAGATATACGTCTAGTCAATGGCCATGGTGATATCACTTGACGTCAAGCTTGGGTGTGCGTTGATTATAGACTTTCAGTCATTGAACTAGACCTGCAACACGATACATATGCTTTATCCTGCAAAAGGGTGGCATCCGATATATCCCGTGATTGGTACCCGGCAGATAGGACACTTCTCCATTGTTCCAAGTCTTCCTGCGCATGACCTGCACACCATGTGTCCACATAGAATGAGCACCCAGCGATCTGGCTGCATATAACAGATCTTGCACTCTAAGATATGCTTTTCTCTTTGCTGGGAAAGTTCCTCTTGCGTCTTTTGGTGCCTCTCCCTCTCCTGGCGAAGTTCATCTCGAAGGATGCGATTTTTCTCTTGTAGCCGTTGCACTTTATGGCTAACCGCCCCCCGGAGCTCCTCAAAGGCGTTTTCCTGGTCCATTGTTAGTTAAGGACGAACAAGGTCTTATAGGGAACTGGTACCAAAGTAGACGGCTCTTTCGTTTCGGTTCTTTTGCGTTTGCGTGATGGTATCGTATCCGTCTCATCAGCGACTGATTCGACGATCATACTCTCAAAATCTCGATAACTGTAATCACGGCGAGGGGCCCTCCGAGGTCGTGAGCTACCTGGCTCGAGGCTTGGCAATTCCTCGTCATCGGTGATAATAATCGTGTCGGAGGGGCTTGCCATCGTGATCTTTGTCGCCGCTCTCAGGGCAGGAAAGTCGATACAAGCTTGGGAAGAGGAAAAGAGAATGTCAGAGCATACAACCGGCTGGGGGAAGGAGGCCCTTTATATACCTGAGATCCAACGGTGACGGACTCAGCCTCGGGAAATAATTGGACACTGGTGCGATCGCAATCTTCCAAGCTACATTACACGATTGGGCATCAAGTCGTGATAGTGATGCAACTAGGCGATAGCGTTGCATGTGCTGCCCCGACGAGGCAGACAGTGTATACCTATATTTATCCGGATCTCCCTACTCGACTGCGGCTCAGGAGATCATGGCCTGCTTATTCCTGTCTTTGAAGTTCCTGCACTGAATTCGAGCAACGCCAGTGACTGACTGCGCACATGATGCACATCAATAGCATGGCGCCGGAACGCCATCTTATGTAGCAAGGATACTTCCAGTACTCTCAAGTGATCGCCCGACGCAAGCAGCGAATAGTATCAACGAGGCAGTGCTGTCGCAGTTCTCGGTTGTGTGGGGTCCGCAAGGCGATATACTGCATGACTCCTCAGCTAGTAATGCCCTGGCGGCGCCTGGGTATTAAAAAGGATGACTGACCTCCTTTTCCCATTCTTTGGATATGATTCAGAACGGACGTAGACACACCAGCCCAGTGACCGCTGCACTCTTATTCAAGCTTGCTTCATTATCTGTTGGTTTCTACCTCCGCTGTGTCTCCGCTGTGTCTTATCACTTTCTGGGAAATGAGGGTGGATCTTGATCAAATCGAGTTCTACCATGGCCCAAGCTGCCCGCCGCTTTCTACCAGTGCAAAAAGCGTGCCCCCCAACCACGCCCCAGCTCATGTGCCACGATACCTCCAGCAGTCTTTTCCCACTGGGATCGGCTTCTGTCCAGGACCGTGTGAGGTACCCCTAGGACAGTCACCGCCACTGACCGGTACAACTCATGAGTGGAACATATTTGACTTCGAGATCAATCATGTCTATGGACCCACTCCGCCTGAAATGACGAAAGATGTCGGACCCCCAATGACAACAGATATACCAGCTGCCTGTGACATTCTGTTGGATCGTGGAAGTTCCGCGCTGGCTTTCTCAGGGCCAGTGCCATCGACACACTCCGCGAGAATAATCCCGTGTCCTGCAGGGCCAAATCACCTAGACCCTATTTCTCCTGATATGCGAGGAGATGATCTACCGGGTAAGCTGACACAACACGTTGAAATTAGGCCATCATCCTCTCATTGTCTGACTTTTTTTTATTGTAGAAACTGTTCCTGATACCCAACTATCGTGCACACCCTGCGTGACCGCACCCGTGTCTGCACCAGAACCTGCACCCGAACAAGCGAACTGTGTCTCTAGCAGTCTGTCTGTCGTGGGTGATTTTCAGCAAGAATTAGCCAAGCGGAAGTTATCTACCATGGAGCCCTCAGACCGTTCAGACAGTGGGAACTACGAAAATGATTCGGAGCCGAGTCAGACATCTAACCTAGGTGAAAATCCATGCTCAAGGGCAAACAAGGCTTCTGAGCGGGCTGAAGATCCCAGCACTATTGAAAACACGCCAGCCACATCTAGGCTGTCCTTTCCGCCAAGCAAGTTTCCACTGGCGAAACAGTAAATTGATCACTGCACTAAAGATAGCCAAAGGCAGGTATGCATTTGAGAAATAGAAGTTAAATTGATTTGATCAGCGAAGTAGACCAAACTGGCGAAGCTGTGAAGACCATTCAAATGGCAGTTGTTACGAAGCTATAAGCCTAACTGTCAGGATTTTAAGGCAGATGAAAAGCAAAACCAGCCTAGCACCAACTGATAACAATAGTCGTCATACCTAGAACACACCTGGAGCAAACCTGGAGCAAACCTGGAGCAAACCTGGAGCAAACCTGGAGCCAACCTGGAGCAAACCTGGAGCAAACCTGGAGCAAACCTGGAGCCAACCTGGAGCAAACCTGGAGCAAACCTGGAGCAAACCTGGAGCAAACCTGGAGCAAACCTGGAGCAAACCTGGAGCAAACCTGGAGCAAACCTGGAGCAAACCTGGAGTAGCAATTGGCCTTGGCGAAAAGTGTTCGTATTAGGGAATCCCCTATTTAGCACTAGGGAGGTTCAATACTGACCATCACACTCTTCGAGGTAAGCAATGATATTGTGAAATTCAAAATGAAAATTTCCTGTTCCGCTTTCCGTTGACCTGTTTCCCAAAGCATGAACCATCTCCAGGTTCGAGTCCAACCCTACGATTTCGCCAACTGTGTTCAAGTCGGACCGTGCCTTGAACCGACCTGTTGAACTGCCACAAGTGAACTATCTACTATCCATGAACATCAAATTAATCTGTCCTTCTTTTATATACCCCAGTTCAGAAACAAGCACAAGAGAGTTCAACAAATAGTAATTTCATACATTAAGTTACATGATTGTTTACTACCCGTGTATTGCCCTTGTCAGTACTTTTGTTCTATGTACCTTTCTGCTGCCATGCGTTCCACCAAAATTGGTATATTTTTCAACAAAACCAATTATAGTGATATAAAAAACTAATATAGATAACTATGTAGGCGATATGATACAACATTTTCTTTCCTATCCATGCCAGACGTTTTTGTGGATGATCTTGGTGTCATGGTAGTAATCAATGGATTTCCAGGTGGTCCATATCGGCCTGTAATCCGCCACTCTAACACTTTGTGATGTTTGCTTGAAAAGAGGTATCGAATAAGAAATTAAATAATTATTGTTTCTGCTGCACTCGGCAATATTGAATATGTGGATTGGGAGTGACGGGTTTCGAATGTGTAGGTACCTGGGGGGTGTTTCATCACACAGGGCATTTTATGTCACCGGGATGGGGGTTAGGTGCGACTTCTCACCCACCCACCCAAGATACGCCTTCCTCGTGCTTGTTTCCTCACACTATCCGTCCTTATATTTTCCTCCCTTCTCTTTCTTCACACACCCATCCGCGCCAGGCACCTGCTTCACAAGGGCCGTTATTCGGTCATCCTCACTATCGAAAATCGACTGAAAGTGTCTATTTAATTCCTCATTCCGGAGGGCTTTCAGGAACTGAAATGCCTCAGTCGTATTTCAAATTACCGAAAAACCAAGTTTGGGGTTGGATTGAGGCAACGGGGACTCATACGGCGCAGGCGGAGGTTATCCAACATGAGCTTAGTAGAATCACAACAGTGCTAGTAACACAGTACAAGAAAGATCATTTTATCATCCTGCTTGGTCGCGGATGGAAAGCTGGGAAAGCAATATGGGCTTTTCGGCTGTCTCAGGGCATGGTTGAGGAAGGACAGCCTATGATGCTCTGCAGGACTATATCCAGCAGGCCCTCCAAGAGAAAGCCGAAGGAACGTATCTCTGGGTGGCCCTCGTCGTCCAGGAACTCGAGCACGTCGACCGCTGGAAAGTACGGCAAGTGGTGAACGACATCCCAAGAGGATTGGACGACCTGTATCGGCGAATGATTGATCAGATGAAAGGATTGGCGAGCGAAGACATGGAGTGCTGCCGGCTGATACTTTCGGCGACCGCATTAGCCTATTGACCACTTCAACTGCTAGAGCTGGGGGTGGTGTCCGGTCTCCCGGACGAGATCGCCGGGAACGCTCGGGATATCGAGACGATGATCAGCAGGGGCGGCTCGTTCCTCACGGTTCGTGACTCGACAATATACTTTGTCCACCAGTCTGCCAAGGACTATCTAATCGACTGAGCATATTCCCCTCTGGCTTCGCAGCCGCTCACCGCTGTATGCTTATGCAATCCCTGCAGGCCATGCATAAGACATTACGACGCGATATGTATAGCCTGCGTGCCCTTGGTACTCCCATCGACCGGGCCAAGCGGCCTACGTCAGATCCCCTGGCGGCAGTGGGTTACTCATGTATCTACTGGGTGGACCATCTGGAAGAAAGTGTCAAGGTGGAAGCTTTGTTACGAATGCTCTGTCTTTACTGGCTGCGACTAGTTTACTTGTTTTGGGGTCTGGTGGGGGGGTCTCCATCCTTTACGAAGGCTGGCGGGTTGTGGCAGGTAACGGGTCTTCGCTATTGTTCAAATTTCTTGCTCATGGTTTGGTTAGGGAGGTGTCGGGATATCCACATTGGATGGGAATATCGAGGATCACGACGCGGTAGGAGCATTTCTCCGAGAAAGATATCTCTACTGGCTTGAGGCATTGAGTCTTCTTCGAGGAATGACGGAAGGAATACTAGCCATCCAGAAGCTTGAGTTTCTGTTACAGGTATATATTGGACACAAGATCTATGATAACATTCTAATATCACCGCAGAAGCGATTAAGAGCAACGGAACTGCAGGAGCTGGTTCACGATGGGTACCGATTTATACGCTACCATCGAGCTACAATCGAGCAGAGCCCTCTCCAGGCGTACGGTTCGGCGATGATATTCAGCCCATCGCGGAGTGTGATCAAGCAGCTGTTCAAGCACGAGTGGCCTCGTAACATCACAATTGCGCCAGAGATGGGAGCTGACTGGAATGCGCACACCGGGGCCTGCCTGCAGACGCTGGAGGGCCATAATGACCGGGTCAGCTCAGTGGTGTTCTCCCAGGACAGCAGCCGCGTCGCGTCCGGGTCGAGTGACAAGACGATCAAGACCTGGGATGCGCACACCGGGGCCTGCCTGCAGACGCTGGAGGGCCATAATGACCGGGTCAGCTCAGTGGTGTTCTCCCAGGACAGCAGCCGCGTCGCGTCCGGGTCGGGTGACGACACGATCAAGATCTGGGATGCGCACACCGTGGCCTGCCTGCAAACCTTCACCGTCGGCTCTGCTGTATACAATTTGTCTTTCGACACTACCGGTTCTTCTCTTCACACTGACGTTGGAATTGTCGCCCTTCGCGACTCGCCGACACCTACCCTTACCATCTCGAAAAACGTTGCGGCTTCAGAACTTCAATTCCTTCGGGCAAGCCAGTCGTCGCAAAGTCCTGAATATCAAGGTTCTGGTATCAGTTCCGATGGGTTCTGGATCACACGGGGTTCACAGAATTGGATATGGCTACCTCCTGCATATCGCCCACTCTGTTCTGCTGTAGGACGGTCTGGAATAGCCGTGGTGATTGGCTGCCAGTCTGGACGTGTCTTGATCTTCGGATTCGCGCCTGAGGATCCTAACTGAGCCCTTTATGGCCAATAGCTAAGATAGCAAATGCTTCACAATCTCAGCACGGCCTTGTTTTGCCACGCACTTTTTCTTTCTCCCCGACGGCCGTGGTCGTCACCTGATGGTCGGTCCTAGCTTAGAAGGGTAACCTTCCGTAATAATTACAGACGGGCCGTGGGGTGGCTACTATATTAAGCGTCAGTTATATATTTCATACACCACGTTACACATTGTTATTTTTCCGTGTATTCAACGTCACAATTTTGTGAGCTTTGTACCTTTCCGCCGCCAAGAATTTGGCCCAACTCAACATTCCCGTAGCTTACATTATTGTAATAGCATGAAAAGATAACGACCGCGATTGAAAGGGCCCAGTAACACAAGATTGTCCTTTGTACTCATCTATGACGCCTGAGTGGGTGATCTTGGCGTCCCAGTAGTCGACGGCAGATCTCCTAGGGGTACATGAAGTCGTGTACTTCCGCATCGGGACACAGTTTTTTTAATGTTTCCCAAGAGCAGTGGTACGAAAGGTGACCTAATCAACGTATTCACTATTTTCAGATAACAATCAGTATGTGGTGAGAGGACAAGGATGCGCGACAGTGCAAGTACCTCGCGGCTGTTTCATCACATAGTGCGTTTCATATCGCCGGGACGGGGGTTACAGGGGATGACACCGATTTCCGGAAATACTGTAGTACAGTAGCGACCGGTATCGCCTTCCATGTCGGGCACAGAGAGATCATCTTTCAAACCCTAATCACATGACCCGCTAACCCATATGTGGATAGCGCGTAAATAAGGCGTTTTGTAGCAAACCAGGTAATAAATACCAGAAGCTTAAAGTACCAGTATGGAAGATACAATGTCTAGAACTAGACGCACTGGCTGATACTTCCAGCCTGGAAGATTCGATGCAAAATGAGCAAACATAGGATTCCTTGAACAGGCAATCTATCAATAATTCCATCTCCACTGCACAAAATTCATTGGTTGTGAGAGTATTATGCCTCAGCCTCACCTGTTAACCCCGCCCCTCCACTCATGAACTCTGGCATTCATTCCCCAGATCTGGTCTCTATAACATCTTTATTTATCCCATATTACTATGAACTCACGATAGGCTATTTAGTCTCCAAAGTCACACTTATATATTTCATTATGGCAGCCAGGGCCTCTCTATCCCATGACGATTACACGGTCGGGTGGATCTGCGCTTTACCCCTGGAGATGGCAGCCGCAAAGCTAATGTTGGACGCAATACACCGGAGTTTACCTTGCACATCGACTGATCAAAATAACTATATTTTGGGAACCATCGGGGAACACAATATTGTTATTGCCTGTTTACCAAGTGGCACATATGGCGCTGTATCAGCTGCAACGGTAGCGATGCAGTTGCTCTCGAGTTTCCACTCTATCCGATTTGGCCTTATGGTCGGTATCGGTGGAGGTGTACCAAGCCGCAACGCAGACATTCGTCTAGGCGATATTGTGGTGAGCCAGCCAGCAGGCACATCCGGAGGCGTGATCCAATACGATCTGGGTAAAGCGTTAAGCGGCGGACAATTCCAGCGAACAGGGATGCTTGACCGGCCACCCAAGGTTCTATTGACTGCCCTCAGTACACTTCGGGCCCACCACACCACAGAAGATAGTCAAGTTCTTAACTTCATTTCTGACGCCCAAAATAAAATGACGTCGCAGACAGCTACTACAGACTTTAAAAGACCAACCAAAGAGGATCTTTTATACCAAACAGATTATGACCACGGAGCATCTAATACATGTGTCAATTGTGATCGGTCTAAACTGACTCCACGGCCTCCACGACACTATCAAGAACCAGTGGTACACTATGGACTGATTGCATCTGCGAATCAGGTAGTGAAAAATGGCACACAGCGAGATCAGCTGGCTCAAGACCTAGGGGTCCTCTGCGTGGAAATGGAAGCTGCGGGGCTTATGAATGACTTTCCATGTGTAGTCATTCGAGGCATTTGTGACTATGCGGACTCACACAAGAACGAGGAATGGCAAGGATATGCGGCAGCGGTAGCAGCGGCCTATGCAAAAGAGCTTGTCTTGCTGGTTCCAATTGATCAGATTGAAATTACGCCGACAGTACGAGACATGCATGTCGACCCACGTCTGGTTTTGGATCTGCTCGAATTAGCTACAAAAAAACGAAACATGGATGATGACGATTCAGAAGGATCAACACTCTGTTCAGATATCTCTGCAAGGAAAAAGCCTCGTCTGCATTTCTCTAGGTCCTCAGACCCCGAGGAAAGTGACTCAACCGACGGTGACGGTAACAGCATTTCCAATGAGAGCAACCAAGAGAATGCGCATAATATCTTAGAGCCTCCAGATGCTTCTCAGGGTACTGAAAGCTATGCTAGTGTTTCAGAAAGACCAACAGCTGGGGATGCAACAAGCGAAAACGGCTCATCTGATTGGTATGAATCCTCCCCGTTGGAAGACTGCTCTAAAAATAACACCTAAAATGAAACTGACATCCCGGGACCTGATAGGACATCCTCGGAAGAGGAAAGCCTCAGCTCGGAATTTTAGTTTCACTATGCATTTGATAGACGTCATAATGCATCTCCAGGGTAACAAGGGGGTATGAAGTGGTGGACATAACAAACGTCGTTGTCAATCGGAAATGCTCGGTCTTATACTGGATGCGAAGCGCAGTATCGAGACGCAGACACTGAATCAATTGTCAATTTTATCCTTACATCATCCTCACACCCGTGTATCTCTCTTTCAGGCACATGATACAAGCATAGAAGCAAATAGCCACATACTGGGAGACTGTTTGTCCTATTCGCATGCCAATTCCCAACCGTTTTCTAATGTCCTACGATCAACTACAAATTACCGGGAAGGGCTAAGAGGCTACGATTGTAACTGGCGAATTCCATAAAAACCGAATACTTTCAGCATTGAAGACTGTCATCAGGATATATTGATTTCATTGTTAGTGATTAGTTCATTACATGCACGATTCTCTACACTTGTGGCACAAAGTAACTTCGCTACTCAACATACTATTTACATTGAAAATTTCGAACTTCTTCATTGCCAACATCTACATACGCAAATCATCACTTCCAAGTGCTGAGTGAACCTGACTTGACGAACAATTGCATACATATTGGCATCTTTGCCTTTTAGGAACTGGTGAGTATGTCGCTATTGTGATATAACATGATATATGATCATTCAGTTCCGGAGCTCAAGCTTCCGGGGCATCTTTCGGTCCGTTATAATCTTTGTTTATGAGTTGCAATGACGTGATGGTACTATATTCTCAGGGCTGTATCAATACATTAGAATTACATCTATTTGTTTGTATTGTACCATTCGGTCTTGTGACGAATCCTCAAATACGCGCTAAACCATATATGGACTGGCACCGCATGTGATTAGGGTTTGAAAACACTCCTCTGCGTTGTCCGATATGGAAGGCGAAAGCGGTCGGCACTGTAGACCACGGCCTTTTGAGCCAAAAGCGTAGCAAAAAACTAGATAGAAGCTACTATGCTGTTTTAGTTTGTGGGTAAGCATCTGAAACGGCGCACCTAGTAGGTAATGCGTGGAAATTCTTTATGCCTTTAGGTCACGGCACGGGAGCGGCAACTTAACACCACGACCATTTCAGTGTTGTGTTACTGTACGCCGAAATTAGACGTGTTGAGGTTGACCTAACCGTCATTCTATAGGCATTGATCTATAACGTCTTCAAATTTTAGAAATTCAATCAAAAATTTGACGGCTGTTCTACCAAGAGTGAGGAGGGAGCATATTTTGGCACCGTAATCTTAGCTACCACTAAAATCGGCGAGCATTATAGCCCTGTCATAAGTATTCATGAGGCTAAAATAAATATAGGGTAAAATTATGGTGGCAATAATATTGGAGAGCTTTAAATTTACAAAGATACAATATTATCATGAGGCTAAAATTAATCGAAGTAAAAAATACAGAGGGAGTTTATCGGAAACCAATTCGATGTCAAGAGATAGCAACACATAGGATAGCAGCCATTAATGGTCAAACGTGGTGTTCGGACACGAGGCACATTAATAGACACTGGGTATGGATATGGAGTGTAGATTCTGTACAGGTCGCAGCAATTTATGTGCCTTTTATTTTATTTATTTCTATAGATTTGGGCGGTAGGTCTAAATATATTTGAGGACACAAATATCCTCTCTTCTACTACATATCTAATTTTTAAGGATAATGGTAGTCACGTGTTAAAGAACTCACAGAATTGAGTGACTTTTGAAGGATTTATAGCCAGCTTTAAGCCCAGAATAGTCACTTCGCATGGAATACTTGTGTAATAAATCAAGTGCCATTGCTGAAATAAATATTGAAAAATCATTCATACTGCGACGTTGTGCCGAGAAGTCAACATGCCGGTCGAGCAATCTCAACAAATCGAGGTTTATAAACTACTCTTCGAAGCCGGCTTGCTAGAGCATATTGGCCAAGATAAAAAACCTGCCGAAAAGCTCCCAGATACACTCATCAATGGGAAAGGCGTACTTAGCAGCTCACAAAATACTAGACTTGGCAAGGCAATTGACGTGGTATTGACTCACATAAAGGAGGCAGAAGAGGAAAGTATTTGGCAGTTGCCTGGCTATAATGGAGGGAATCTACCGGATCTGTTCGAGCAAATCATAAAATATGCAAAGAATGACGATAGAGGCGAGGAAGCTGAGGATGCTCTAAAAAGTGGGTCTACTGTTTCAAGCACTTGGTTAAGCTAACGGTACGTAGGGATCCAACCGATCGCTGGCGATGTACCTCAGCCATCAGCTTTACACCATACGGAATCAACAGACGGCATCGCCGACCAAGAAAATACCCCTCCTGTGAAAGCAGAGAATTCCCACCTACCAACAGGACAAAAGGACGATACTTCAAACTTCAAAACATACACTTCTGCTCCAAAACAGGGTTTCCAGCAAAATAACAGACACCCAAATATGCACACCACTAGCCATGTGGGAGGTTTGAAGTTAGATCGCGGAAACAAGTCTATCACCCTTATGTGGGCTGAAGCAGGCTACGTGAACCTTGAAATAGAAAAAGATGAACAGCGGACCTGGGTCTTATTTGAGATAAAATCGGCACGCCCAAAAAGAAATAAGGATGAGCAGACTGAGTATATTAGCCGGTATGGAGTTGAGAGATATGATGCATCAAATCAAAAATTTTATGTCACGATCGTAGACAAAAGTGAGATCGGAAAGTCCACGGCTGAAGACTGGCATAATATCAAGGATACGGAGAGGGAGAGGAAATTGGTTCATATTCCTTCTTTGCAAGACAAACGAGAAGACTATGGGGAGTTGGACCAGTTCCACTTCTGTTGTTATTCAATACCAAAAAACAGAGAAGCCGGAAAAGCCAAAAGAACACCTCCTGTTTACTCTTGTATCACAACTACGAAGAAACCTGGCTTTCACCTCGTCACATTGTCAAAATTCGAGACAATTGACGCCAAGGCAAGGGAATATGTGCAAGTCTTCTGCAAAATGATTGGCCGGCCGAATCCGTGGGAGACAAGGTCAAAGAAGGTTAATGTGGTTGATCCGGATTGTCACGAGCCCATTGAAGATAGGACAAGCTCTGGGGGAATAGTTGAAATCCCACGATCGAAGAATTCGTTGTCCTTTGATATGGGAATGAACAGTACGGGAAAAAATGAAGATACTGAAAGCAAAATACGTCATCTTATTCGTGAAGAGGTGACGATTCAGACTAAAGAACTAGGAAGAAGTATGAAGGAAGTGACTATTAAGACTGAAGAAATAAGAAGAAGTATGGACGAGCGGTTTAAGGTCTTCGAAGATAACATCGATAACATCAAAGACATGCTTCAAAGGCTTGTATCTCCCAGGCAACTTCTTTCTCCGTCCGAAGATGACTAAATGTGGGTAATTCGGAATTCCAAAGTATGTCAGGAAAATACCAAGATTGTCCAAACACATGCGGTCCCTTGAGATTATAGACTTTGCCTGCTGTTTCTTGCCTTGATGCATTTGAGAAAACAAGATTGTAGACACTTGTGCTAGCCTGCTGTCAATTTTTCTTTCGCGCTTTTTTTCAAAGTTGTGGTAGAATGAATACGAATAATATAGTTGTTAAGTTTTCAGCTAATACTTCCTCTGCCTCCTCCAGCAAGACGAAGTTCCTTGACGATTCGGAGGATGCTCGCATAACCCTAACCCGAACCCAGAGATTTCTCATAGTTTGCTAGTGCTCGCTGGTACATAATAGGTCTGTGTGGGTCTTATAAGACAATAGACCCTATTAAAATGTATATATTTCGACGGAGGCTTCGAGCAGCCGCGATAATTCGCTGTTCCAGGGATTGTCGAAGCCCCAAGGATATTTTGTTTGCTCTCAATAAGGCAAGAGAAGAGGAGGAGGAGGAGGAGGGGGAGGAGGAGTAGTAGTACTACCTACCTTGGCGTTTCTACTAGTTTTTTACTAGTATTTTTTTTACTCGGATTACAAAGGAGTTACAGGTTTAGTTCTTGAAAGTAAAAAAAAGGGTTGTTACTTAGGTTATTTCTACTAGTCTTTTACTTCGTTTTGTATTATACCATTCGGCCATGTGACGGATCGTTCAATACGAGGTTAACCAAATACGGCTTAGCAACTCATGTGACTAGGGTTTCGAAAAGCTACTCTGCGTTGTCCGACATGGAAGGCGAAAGCGGTCGCCACTATAACTAACGTAGTATGACGAAGATTAGATATGGCGGGTGTCCTATAAATAGTTAGTAACTAGTATTATACCAGTAAAAGAGTACATACATTGTACGGCTTTTTGAACGACCTCGTGAGCTCCTTACCCCACGGCCTCGTTTCGACTTTGTACGGGTAATTGAATGGTAACCCGATGAGCTAAATTCATGAAGCTCCTTTTTCAGGGGCTATATCATCTTCTTGGACAGCGTAGCGTTTTTGTCGTTTTAATTCTAAATATATTAGTTAAATACTAGTAAATTAGAGTCAATATACGTACCCTCCCGACGTATACTTGCTCTAAACCGTGACTCCATATCATCTGCATGATAGGAGCGCTTAATATCGAAAGTGATACGGTTATGGTATTGATCCATATCTATTCTGTCGAGAATCCTAGACCTAGGTAATCATAAGTAAATAGTAGTACACTAGTATATAATTAATATATACTTACTTTATGACTGCAGAAAGTAGCGTATCCTGTGTACCCATATGGTAGGATTTATAGTGGCTTTGCTCCACTGCATTTGTATGCTTCCGGGCATCTTCAAAGAATTCAGGATTCATTGGTGAGCATGCTTTACAAATACCAGCTGCAATCACATCGATCTGCTTGTGGCGTATCCATCCCTCAAGCTCCGGCGTATGTTCTAGAAATAGATATTAGTAGTATTTTACTAGTAAATTAAGCATACTTTTAATAAGTATAGCTAATTTCCGAAAATCAGCTACACTTTTGCAGTCCATCAAGCCAATTAGGCGACTACGGGCCTCAATATGCGAAAGATCGTCTGGATCCTGGCTTGCTGGCACCAATTTAATGATAGTACGCATGAAGTGGATCTTACAGTGAGCATGGAGAAAAGAATTTCCCCATACATAGAAATGGTTAATCATCATCCCCAATTTCCAAGTAAATCGAATTCAGCACATTTTCGTGATCCAAGGTTCAATAGAGGTGTGACCTAACAAATCTACCATCTTATTGGGCAGATAAGTCATTGTAAAGCAACATTACACCCCACCATTAATGTATCTACGTATGTCTTCGCTCGTCCACTGTGTTAGTAGCGTGAACGTGGCTGAACAAGATGAGAGGGTAGTGGCCAGACGACCGACCAAAGTCCAGTCTGTTTGGCTTGTTTGCAAGTGAGGGGTTCTATACCGGGCATGACCCATACAACCTTGATACGATAGCTACAGTATTTATTTTATGACATTATTTATTACCGTACTAAGATACTGCCGAGATTGTGGGTAAAGGGTAAGCTAACCGTAAAAGGTATGGCGTTATGTAAAATAGAGTTCGACAAGAGGTGAAACTGATTTCGAGCGCGTCTGTACTACTAATTAATCAGCCCTAAAGTTTCTTAGAGGATTATAAAAGATTTATTAATAGCTTTTTCGGTAAAAAGTAAAATTAATTCTCCGGCAAACAATTTCGTTTGCAGCGTTGAACTTGCACACAAGAAATTTATCCAAGGTGATAAGAAGATGTAATAAAATGAACTTGATTGTTGTCACACTTATAGTTACACTTAGAAATAAACTAGATGTTCCTCTTCATTAGAACTGTTCAAGCTCATATCCCTGCTGTTGCATGTTGAATTATAGACCCAGGTCTACCGTTAGGCAGATACGAACCCCTACCTGACACTACATGGGTGTCCTTAAACTTATGCTGAACGAAGAGAGGATCCTGCTCGACAGGACAACCTCTGTGAGTTGATGTTCTGCTGCGTATTGGGCCCCAAAGCTAAAACTAGACCGATCAGAGAATTGCGACTCAACACATTTAACCTCCACCCGAAGAAAGCGTGTACGTCTAATAATGCTGGCACACCATATCTGACACAAAAAAATTCAATCTGTGTTTTCCACTGTGGCGAACTAATCAACTCAAGACTCGCGCGGGTGCAATAGTTGCTTGATCCTCAGACCAAAAGAACTCTTAGTAGAAGTGGTAACCCTGCAAAGATTGACACGACAGGCCACCGCACAACGGCCAACCGGATATTGTTGAAATCAAACCATGAGCCATTGTCCGGTATGTAAGATCATAAGCGAAGCCGGATGCAATACAGCACCGAGGCCACTTTGCTGAGGTTCCAAATGGAGGTAGCATGCAAATAAGCGCGCCTCGTACTATTTCCAGCAGTAGCAACTCCAATACTGCAATTTCAGCGTAATAGCTAATTGTGAGGGACCCAGAGGATCGCGTATCAAGAACTCAATATGCGTCCCAATGCCATCGCGGTTCTCATGACTTTCCTCGTTGTAGGCGGGATAGAGTGCACGGAAGCCCATAGGGCCCCCGGAGCACAGGTAGCTCAACCGAATTGGTACTTTCCGCGGATATTCAAGCGAATGGTTAGTAGTAAGACACAGTGGAACGATGGTTCTGACCCTGGCTTGCTCCTAAACGGCGACTTCAACAACACCACCCTTACTCAAAACTCTTCATTGGCTACTCCAAGCCCGAAGGTCTCGTCCGCCGCTCAGTCATTGACCGTGCAAGAAGTCGTTGCTAGGGCCATATCTGTTGGCCCTCAGGCTCCCATGATTACCCAACATACTACTGTCGGTGGTGGGCTGAACCCTACCGCCACCACATACACCGAAAATATTGAAAGTTTCAACACCGAAATCAACATACGAAAGAGCCTCGAGGCCATCCTTTTCACCGCGGAAAACACGGGCAAACAAGGATCAGCCCTTGACCTGTCAATGAAGGCTTCGACCACACCTAATTCAGATTATTTAGCCACAACCTTCACTGATGGTCTCGGTGTCTTGGGCGTTGCTTTTAGTAGTTTATCCAGCATCTTCATGTCTCCGTCTGTCCTGCCTTCCACAACGGAGTTAATGGACAAGAGGCCGACTATGTCCCCAATTTCTCCTTCAACCATTAGCAGCTCAGCCTCTATAATACCCACTATAGGTATTTCCTCAATTTCTATGAGTACCGAATTTCGCGAGGCTAGCCGCTCGAATGGTGCGAGCTTAACCACTGCAGGAATGAGATCAGATCTTCTTCTTCGGGTTTTGGTCCTAAGTGATAAGGCTTTTGCTAAAAATAGCACTGTCACCTTGTCTTCCGACACATCTAATATGCATAATATTCCAAGCAGTATCCCAACTTCCGCAATTAGTTCCCTGCTAAAATCTCCCGTTCCCATTGGAGCGTCAACTTCTCGTGATCCGCTCAATGGTGTTTCATCTACCGTTGATACTATATCTGGTGATATCCCATCAAGAACCGACAGCTCAGCCTTGGTCCCGATCGTGCCGATGCCCAATACGAGTCTTATCCCTGCCTATTCAGCTAGGCCCGCTCCTATCCTAGGACCCGGGGTTAGCACAACTGCTATTATCCCGACCCCCACCCGCTCAATTGGACAGCCTCATATCACGTACTCAGCTAGTTCAGATAATTTCTCTGCTGCTATCCCTAATCCTGGCACTGGCACTGCCTCGACTACTGCCATTGATTCCGGCTCTATCACTGCCTTGAGTACTGCCACTGATCCTGGCTGGAGTACTTTCTCCGATTCTGGCTCTGGCACTGCCTCGACTACTGCCACTGATCCTGGCTGGAGTACTTTCTCCGATTCTGGCTCTGGCACTGCCTCGAGTACTACCACTGGTCCTGGCTGGAGTACTTCCTCTAGAACTGCCTCGACTACTGCCATTGATTCCGGCTCTATCACTGCCTCGAGTACTACCACTGATCCTGGCTGGAGTACTTCCTCCGATTCTGGCTCTATCACTGCCTCGAGTACTACCACTGATCCTGGCTGGAGTACTTCCTCTAGAACTGCCTCGACTACTACCATTGATTCCGGCTCTATCACTGCCTCGAGTACTACCACTGATCCTGGCTGGAGTACTTCCTCCGATTCTGGTTCTGGCACTGCCTCGAGTACTACCACTGGTCCTGGCTGGAGTACTTCCTCCGATTCTGGCTCTGGCACTGCCTCGACTACTGCCATTGATCCTGGCTGGAGTACTTCCTCTAGTACTGCCTCGACTACTGCCATTGATTCCGGCTCTATCACTGCCTCGAGTACTACCACTGATCCTGGCTGGAGTACTTCCTCTAGAACTGCCTCGACTACTACCATTGATTCCGGCTCTATCACTGCCTCGACTACTACCACTGATCCTGGCTGGAGTACTTCCTCTAGAACTGCCTCGACTACTACCATTGATTCCGGCTCTATCACTGCCTCGAGTACTACCACTGATCCTGGCTGGAGTACTTCCTCCGATTCTGGTTCTGGCACTGCCTCGACTACTGCCACTGATCCTGGCTGGAGTACTTTCTCCGATTCTGACTCTGGCACTGCCTCGAGTACTACCACTGGTCCTGGCTGGAGTACTTCCTCTAGAACTGCCTCGACTACTGCCATTGATTCCGGCTCTATCACTGCCTCGAGTACTACCACTGATCCTGGCTGGAGTACTTCCTCCGATTCTGGCTCTATCACTGCCTCGAGTACTACCACTGATCCTGGCTGGAGTACTTCCTCTAGTACTGCCTCGACTACTGCCATTGATTCCGACTCTATCACTGCCTTGAGTACTGCCACTGACCCTGGCTGGAGTACTTCCTCTAGTACTGCCTCGACTACTGCCATTGATTCCGGCTCTATCACTGCCTTGAGTACTGCCACTGATCCTGGCTGGAGTACTTTCTCCGATTCTGACTCTGGCACTGCCTCGAGTACTACCACTGGTCCTGGCTGGAGTACTTCCTCTAGAACTGCCTCGACTACTGCCATTGATTCCGGCTCTATCACTGCCTCGAGTACTACCACTGATCCTGGCTGGAGTACTTCCTCCGATTCTGGCTCTGGCACTGCCTCGACTACTGCCATTGATCCTGGCTGGAGTACTTCCTCTAGTACTGCCTCGACTACTGCCATTGATTCCGGCTCTATCACTGCCTCGAGTACTACCACTGATCCTGGCTGGAGTACTTCCTCCGATTCTGGCTCTTTCACTGCCTCGAGTACTACCACTGATCCTGGCTGGAGTACTTCCTCCGATTCTGGCTCTTTCACTGCCTCGACTACTGCCACTGATCCTCGCTGGAGTACTTCCTCCGATTCTGGTTCTGGCACTGCCTCGACTACTGCCACTGATCCTGGCTGGAGTACTACCACTGGTCCTGGCTGGAGTACTTCCTCCGATTCTGGTTCTGGCACTGCCTCGACTACTGCCACTGATCCTGGCTGGAGTACTTCCTCTAGAACTGCCTCGACTACTCCCTCTGATTCCGGCTCTATCACTGCTTTGAGTACTGCCACTGATCCTGACTTGGGCACTTCCTCTAGAAGTGCTTTGAGTACTTCCTCTAGCACTGTATCTAGGACAGGCTCGGGCGGTAACGAAAACTCCAACAGTGATGGCTCCGCCAGCAGCTCCAAGACCAAACCGAGCTCCATTACAATTGGTATCGGGGTTGTAGCTGGTGCTGCTGCTTATGGTAGCGGTATGTTTTGGGTTGCCCGGCGCTACCACAAAAGAAAGCAGCTCCACCACAGCATAACTTCGGCAGTTGAACATACTGCGGGACAGGTTCTCGCTCCTGATGGTAATGTACCCAGACAGGGTAGCCGCATAAGTCCTCAATCTCGAACGATTAGCGCTCCGGTTATGGCGGAGAACTCATTAGGATGGAGCTAGACTTGTTTCGAGAATAACAGACCGCTCTTCCCACCACATGCATGTCGTGGAGCAGAACAATCATATTGACATATTGCGTGGATACCCCCGTATCTTTAGTTTCCGTGGCGCGCTATCTTCGTTGGTGAGGCGGCTTGGGGATATAGAGTTTTTTCCCGAACCTTTACCTCCCCAATGGAAACAAGCAGGAGCCGCGCTCACGTTGTGAAGAGTCGAGCCGCCCTCTGGTACCGATAGCCACCACACTTGCAGTCAGATAGCAAGATACAGACCACACTCAAAGCCTGTAAACAGAAAATGCCATCAGTGGAGGACTGGGCACACGGGGAGGGAGGGTGCATGTGTGTAGTGAGACGACTCACATTAACGTCATATACAGTCTTAGGCCACGATAGACCTTGACAAGCCTTGAAACACCTGTTCCAGGAAGTGAAATGCCCTGAAACGTCGGAACTGAGTGAAAAAGGCTACCTACGCGACCCTGGCTTCATACAGCTAGCAGACAACGCGGTGAGACACACAGCCAATCTTGGTGTTTGGTGGACCCCTAGTCGTGTGCACATACCTCCGCTGGTCTTTGTCCTGCCTGGGTTACAGGGATCATCCTATTGTATTGCATTGACTACCCCTTCGTAACCGCTATTGCAATTGCCCCACTAATCCCCGTGATCTCTTCTCGCTATATTATCTGTCTGGTGCTTTCTCTTTATTATTCGCCTGTTGCTTGCCCTAGCTTGTGTCGTTCTTTTACCTCCTCCAAGGTAGGTTCATCGTTCTCTAGTTCTCACCTTAGTATGCTCTTTGAGCCCACTTGCTTACGCTGTAAGAATCCCTTCGCTACTCCATACTCACCCCTCTAGATTTCCTTTCATTTCCAATTTGCTCTCATCATATGGCCTCATCTTCTGCACACGATTTGCAATGCTCATCGAGCAAGCGACCTTGGCAGCCGTTCCTATATAAAACGTGCGATGCTTGTCGCCAGAAAGGCCACCGCCACTGGCGCCATCACCCCCCCACTTGGGAGCGTTCAGGTGTCAAGCTCCCTTTCTATACAACACTCGAAGTCCCCGAAATCTGTCATATGCCGATACACTTGCACTATCGAAATACAATGCAGCGATTTTAGAAAATAGGTTACCCTTAGACACTTACGTCTCCTGCGAGGATGACACTTGTGGACCGTCGACCATCGCGTAGAGCAGCTCCATGCTCTGTCCCAAGTATGGCACACTTAACCATGGAGCCTGTTAGGTTTTCCGATGCCAGGACGAGGTCTATCGTGGACTCGCAGTCCCGCCTTCCAAATAAGGTTTTAGTACAAGAGGTTCGCGATGCTTCGAATCGAACTCGAATCGGTCCTGGGATCTGTCCTGGATTCGAAATCGTACGAATGGTTATGTTCAATATTAATTCGATTTCCGCGGAGCGGTAGTGCCAAACTCGTTTCTATGGTGGCCCGATTAGGTAGATAAGCAATTACGAGCTAATCCTAGACGGGAGCACGCAGCCAATACAGTAATCGTCGCATTTGACTGCTGATTTTGTCATGTTTCAACCTTTTTTATGAGTACATGGCCAATCAGGATTAAGCAGTCCATCGGTTTCTACGAGGGATTACGGTACTATAACAATGACTCATTGTGGCTACCAGTGAATACAATACAGCCCTAGATGGATTATCAGGAGAAGAGGTATAATTAGATTAGCGTGTCTTCACTCAGGATCCGGGAATTGAATCGCAAGAGTGTGAAGTTAAAACAGACTCAGAATTCTACTATAACTCCTCATTACTTGTATTTCGACACTAGCAACGATTCACGGGGTATTATTATGCACGTATTTCTTGGCGCTGTTTCAGGGAACCTGACACTGATCTCGGGCCTGAAACTGTTCCTCCGGCGATAGCGAACAAAGAGAAAAGAAACCACCGCCCCGTCGAGCAGCCCTGTCGCGCTGTCCGATTACAGCCCTGCCGCTTTATAATCTTCCTTTGAAGAAGTGCGGCTAGTTGTCGTACTTGGCGAAGCCGCAGGGTTGACGTTTGTCTGATCAGCAACCAGAGTTTGTGAGCTAGAAAGTTTCTGCGACAAACCTCTGATTTCCTGGTCCCTGCCCTCTATTATGCAGCGTTGCTTTTGAACCAATTTGGTCAGATAAGCGATGTCGCTTCGCGCATTTTGGAGGTCTTGAATGAGGACTGGCACGACTTCCTGAGTCCCTGAAAGGCCTGTAACAACAGCGTCGATCTCAGGCGCAAGATTCTCTAAAGCAGCGGCGGTGCATCTGAGCTTTGTACTGAGCGAAGGATGGTGTTCTCCATGCTGCTCGCCTGATAGGAAGCCGGCGTCCCCGAAACTCGGCCCTATAATTCCTGTCGAATGTAGCGCGGTGTGATAGGAAGCAGACATGTTTGGCTAATCCCTGCCGTCGAATATGGCTTCTAGGATGGTAATAGGGTAGCAATAAATATGTAGTTATGAGGGCTTTATAAGGCTGAAACGGCTGAGGAAGCTACGCACGCTCAACTGAAACTTATGAAGAGACATGTCCTGTCCCGGGTCGTGCTCTTTATAATGTAAATCTCTACGGCTAAGGCAGATGAGATTACTAGAAGGCATCTTCTTCAATACGCCCTAAGCAGTGATGAATGGTCGCTGATTTGTTCTAGTTTGACGAAATGCCCTTAGGCCCGACGGTACCTAGTGCGTATAGTCAATTGACCAGAGCAGCAAAAGCATTCGTTACACCAGTTCGCAAGCGAACGAGGTGCCCAGTTTCCTCACAAACAGACTACCAACTCCACTGGCGGACTATCAAATCAGGGGTGCCCGGGGTTTATCATCGCCCTAAGATCAGCCGGCGGCCGATTGTAGTAACAAAGAAAGCCTGGTCGCAGTTAGCTCACTGGTGGAAAGCCCACTTAGGTGAGCTAGCCGCCATTTAATAGTAAATTGAAAATTTCCGGCAAGTGCACTAAGTGCTGGCTAACCCGAGAACGCCCCGGAAATTGCTTCGTATCACATCCTTTAGCCCATTACTTTGAGTGAGCCCTAGTCCAGCCTTACCCGACCTTCTACTAGCTATCTAAAATAGGAACACTGTATAAGGGGAATATCGAGCCTACGAAGGTACAGCAGTCGAAGAATGGATGAACATCAGGGCCCTAAGCTGCTGCTCACAATCCTAATGAGTTAGTAGGTTCGTGGTAAAAGAAAAGAAAGTCTGCAGACCAACAGTTGAACTTCAAGGTATCTTGGCAGTCTGCAGCGTGGGACTCGCCTGTCCGTAACTCAGCAAACACCAACCTCGCATGATCACTAATTTGACCACAAGCTCCAAGTTACATGGTTAAGAACTCTGGTCAAACCCTGGTCAAAAATTGCTCCGCAACATCACTAGGAGTTGAACCAATCTGTGCGTGGAATCTACATAAAGGGGCATTGGATCTTGACAAAATCAGGAACTAGATTTGTTGTTGCTATGGCGAAATCGAAAACAAAGTTGGCTCCAGGCCGAGCAAATGATAGGGCACAGCAAGAACAGATTCGCAAGCGTCGGCATAATCTCTTCAAAAGATTGAAAGAATTCAACGACCGCTACGATATGGATATATGGCTGACGATGAGAATGCCGAGCGGTTGGGTCTACACGTTCTGCACGAAGGAGGAGGCCCCACCCAATGAAGCTGACTTAGTAAGTGGCGGGCCACGTAAGCATCATAAATTTTCACATATTGATAGCGGATGCAGCAGATACAAGGGTTTCCGGTGATCCGAAAAACCCCGGCAGACTATGCCCCAAAAGCTAAACGGCAATTTGTCGTTCGCAGCCCACCTGTATTCTCGTTGCGGCGCCCCCAGTACTGCCGCAATGGCGGCCACTCCTCAGAGCTAGAAGCGCAGACATCACATGAACCGGCCGTGCGGCACCGTAACGACAGAAAGGAGGAGCCTAGAACACCAATTGACGGTGATAGCCAGTACATGCCAAGCCCATTTTCTTAATTTTATTGGCTCCGATCTTTATGCTCATACATTCCTAAAAAAATAAAAGGCTATGCTCATGCACTAGACCTTGCCTCGGGCACATATATATCTTGTTTGTATTGAGAATGTTGGAGCACCTGAATAGCCCCTGGTCTCCTGTTTCTGCGGAAGTGTCTTTTCTTTCAGCTCGAACCTGATGCCAGTTTACTTGTTCACATGGAGAATTTCTGAAATCCTGATACTTACTCCTCGTGCTTCAGGGTCAGACCTGTATTTATTTTACTGGGTTGCAACCCAATCTATGTATTACGATGGGTCACAAAATGGCTGACCATTTTCCAATTTCTATTTAAGTTTCGCTGCACGACCTAGCACTCTGGGTTCGAAATTATATATTAGCTGCGGTGAGATCCCCACCCCTTAGTCATGTTTGCGTCAATGGAAGTACTTTGGAACAAAATTCCAAACTGCAATAACTATATGAAACTATCCTTCATCGACACTATAATAAACAAGATAGGAATATTTTGTAGGTCTATAGCTCTTGGTCATCTGGTGCGATATCTGTGGGGACGTCGATGGTGTCTGGCACTAGCTGGGGGTTGGATGGCATGTACTATCTGTGGTCACTAAACTTTACATGCTTGATAGATGAACCCGAAATATATCATACAGTGGCTTGTAGTAAAATCTTTTTGATGACTTGGGGTACCCGACTCCATAGCATGGGGTTGCTATATATCAGTTAGCGCGTATAGGCTGAACACAGCGCTTCAATGCTATATTAGTTGCTCACAATAGATTTATTCCAACGAGAAAATGCTTCCGGATGGATGGCGAGAGCAGAAATCTATAAAAGCTTATCAGAAGCTGATTATTCATGGAAAATGAATACATTTACCATACTAACGGCCAAAACAAGGATTGCCCAAATGACCATTGTTTTATTTTAATGACTATTTAGTGTTCTCTAGAGGCACTCAGACGAAGCGAGGTTTTTATATATAAGGACTGCTGTGTGGGAGTATAGGCTACAGTAGCGACCGGTATCGCCTTCCATGTCGCGAACAGAGAGATCATCTTTCAAACCCTAATCACATGACATACTAACCCATATGTAGATAGCGCGTAATCAAGACGTTTTGTACCTAACAAGGTAATAAATACCAGGAGCTTGAAATACCAGTATGGAAAATACAAGAATCTAGAACCAGATGCCTGGACTTGAACTTCTGGAAGATTCGATGCAAACCCAGCAAACATTGAGGCCTTTGAGCAGGCAATCTGGCAACAATTCCCCTCTGCATCTCGCAGCTGCATTACTGCAGAGCTCCCGATACTTTTTGGGACTTAGTCCGGGGTCCAATTTGATAGGCAAGGCTTGACAGTAAGGCTTATTCACAATCTTCGCCACTGCTTATCATCATGCCATGATTTTGGATTTCATTGGACACCAGAGATTACTGGCTAACTTCCTCCAGTCATATGTGCTTAGGTGTCCCCCACTTGAAGATCTTCACCATGGCCAATAGCCTTTGTAGCGATGATGCCTATCAAACCCGGACAGGCGACCCTTGGGACGACTATTCACAATATGCCCCCACCCCCGGTTATTTTGGTCGTTCGCCTACCATATTCTCTCCTAGCCCTGCCCCGGATTGTGCGACGGATCAGGTGCAGTCAGATCAGCTCGATTTTCTCCCATTAGCTGAATGGGACGAAGATGCCGAATATGACGAGCAGCTCCCAACACACATGCGCTACACGATTGCATGGAAGGTTATGTTCAACCGTAAGAAGGTAGGCAGTGTGACTGAAAAAGATTTGGTTGTATCTCCTGCGGATTACTGGGTGAAGACTTTGAAACTAGCTGTTGAAGAAATGCTGCAAATGAAAAAGAAAAATGGCCAGCGAGTTCGATCTGAAGGCACGGCTGTTACTGTCAAAGTGGACTCCCGGTGCCAGAAAAACCTAGAACGATTTTTTCCCTCTACTATCGACTGGAAACCAGTGGAAAAGCAGCTACGTAAATGGAGCAACTTGATTCGTGTAGGCAAAATCCTCACAATCGAGATTGTCTTTAATTACAGGGGCGATGACGATGGTCCTTCCATGTCTGTATCAAGAACAGGCGAAAAGAGAGGCCGTGTGTCGGCAACTAGCAGAATGTTGGCAGAGCGTGAGAGGCTGATCCATAATGAAGAAGAGAACACCGGACGACCCGCAACTTGGGATCTTGTTTATGGCTTTATGAGGTGTGATGTCCGTTCATGCCCACTCAAGTCTGATTGGTGCTGGGAAGATCCCAAGGACAAGAAACACTATAAAATGCGGGCCCCACATCTAGAACGCCTGATTGACTATGTTGACGGTGGTGGCAGCCTAGACAGTCACGATGATGTCCCTAGTGATATCCGTCGAGATCTAGTTCTGGAAAGTCAGACAGGAAGGAAATCGAAAAAGACCGATAATTTGACAACCGGGCCACCATATCCAACCATCATTAATGTTCTGCCAGCACAAAACCGAGTCGCCCCGGCGGTTACTTCGTCCGTACGTAGGCTTCCACCTGACGACTACGTCGTCATCCCTGGGTCTCGCGAAGCTGCTGTAAGAGAATACTGCAAATGGTTAGAATCACGCGCCACCGACGAGGCGTACAAAGCTGATTTCCGGAAAATATGCCAAGTGACGTTGGAAAACCACCTAGATCTTGAACTAATTCTTGAGGACCCAGACTCTGGCTTCTTTGTTCAACGGGGGATCCAGATTGGAACAGCTCGTCGCTTCCTGCGCGACATCAACGAATGGGCCACTGTTAGGAAATCAAACGGACTTGACTAGACCGAAGGTGAAAGACTCGGCTGTGCCGGATAGGATACGGTCAATTCCCACTGTGGCTGGCCCCGCACTGGATTGACTGAACGAATTTTCTGGGCGCTGAAGGCATATATATTAGTTTTGGACATTGACACTTGCACTTAGATCATCGGCGTATATGACAACTGAACATGCATTCATTACTGCAGTATACAACACAATTTTCTCATGTGAATGGTTAACTGTCTCGCGCATTTTACGTAATGATCTTTTCCTCGAAATGGAAAAGCTCTGTTCTCGAGAGAAATGGCTTAGTCAAATGTATTGTCACACCATCCGACTTGCAATTTAGCCGACATTCTTCCACTATGAGAATCACTTAAGCGCTTTCTATTGTTATACCTGCATGTCGAAAATGACCCTTTGCGCTCTGTTGTTTCGCACCAACATCATGAACACACCGCCGAAGGAAGACATGAAACCCTTGGTCGGGATTCTCTTCGTACGCCGACCATGATTTCTTGATATAAGCCTTCAGCTCGGCAAAGAATTCTTCGATGGGGTTGAAATCTGGGGAGTAAGGCGGCAAGTACAGCAATTTGACCCCTGCGTCAGAACACAACTGCTTGATTCGGTCTGAATGGTGGAAAGAGGCATTATCCATTACAAGCACGGATTTCGGTTCCGGCCACTTTCCACAGTGCTGGAGAAGTTGTTTTATAAATGACTCGAAGAACACCGCATCAGTTGACCCTTTGAAAATACGAGACAAGACGACACCATCCTGTGTGTAGGCTGGCAGGATCTGGTAGCGTTGACCCCGGTGAAATTTAGATACTTGGACTGGTGTCACGCCCAGTGGTGACCATCCAGTCCGCCGGTACCCCACCCGTTGATCACATCCCGATTCATCAACAAAGACCAGGTGGTAAGAACGATATTCGGACAATTTGTGCTGGTAGAAATCTCGTAGCTGAGTGTTCTGTTCCTTCGCTTTCTGTTGAGTTTTCTTTTTGGTCCAGCCAGCCCGGGTAAGAGCACGTTTGACGCTCGACGAAGATGGCAATATGTTGAACTCATCCCATAAAAATATCGCCATTTCATCAACATATAAGCCGGGCTTTTCGGCGAGGTGATCACAAAGGGCATCTAGCATCACTTCTGTGATGCTTGATGGCTGGCCGGCAGGGACTGAGGGGGATAGGGGGCTGCCGAAGAGCCGCATATTCCTGCGTATGTTAGTTACAGAACGCTCACTACACTTGGCTACCTTGGCCATTTGTGTAATGGTGAGCCTCTTCCTGCTGCGTGTCATATTAACAATGGCTTGACGTTGCCAGTTTTCGAGATTTCGTGCCATTTTGCAGCGGGTTGGGCGTTGATGTTGTTGCTGGAATGGGGACGCTCGTTTTAGGGCGACGTCGTGGTGGCTGTAAGTATTCCTAGGGCTGTAAGGATACATACACAACTTCCTCATTGTCGTATTCTATCATTTAGATTTATACCATTCAACCTTGGAACGAAAATCTCAGATACAGCTATAACCACATCTGGCTTAGGGTGTCATGTGATCAAGATTTCAAACACTTTTACTGGGTTCTCGATATAGGGAAGCTCTCATAACCTAATTATAGGATAAGCTAATCTAGATATAGATAGTGTGTAAACTATCTGGTTCAAACCGAACAGGGGAATAAATAACACGAGGTTTACGATACTAGTATGGAAGGTATAGAGTTTAGAAGCCTAATCGTGACTGGAAGATTCGATGCAAATCGAGCAAACATGGCGATCCTGGAACAGGCAATCTGTCAACAATTCCCATCCCCACTACAAAAAAGATGATTGGTTGTGAGAGTATTTCGCCTCAGCCTCACCTGTCAACTCCGCCCCTCTAATGAACTCTGGCATTCATTCCCAAAATCTGGGCTCCACAATGTCCTTCTTTGTCGCGTATTTTCCGTGAACTCAAAAATAGGCTATTCAGTCTTCATTTAATATTCCGTCATGGCAGCTAGGGCCTCTCAATCCCATGACGATTACACGGTCGGGTGGATATGCGCTTTACCTCTAGAGATGGCAGCCGCAAAGCTCATGCTGGATGCAATACACCCGAGCCTACCTCGCCAGCCGACCGATCAAAATACGTACATTCTGGGAAATATCGGGGATCACAACATCGTCATTGCCTGCTTGCCAAGTGGCGCATATGGCAATGTATCAGCTGCAACGGTAGCGATGCAGTTGCTCTCGAGTTTCCATTCCATCCGGTTCGGTCTGATGGTCGGTATCGGTGGTGGTGTACCAAGCAGCAGCGCAGACATTCGACTAGGCGATATTGTGGTGAGCCAGCCAGCGGACATATCTGGAGGCGTGATCCAATACGATCTTGGTAAAGCGTTAAGCGGCGGTCGATTTCAGCGAACAGGGATGCTTAATCGGCCACCTAAGGTTCTGCTGACTGCCCTCGCTACACTCCAAGCCCACCACTTCACAGAAGATAGTCGAGTTCTTGATTTTATCTCTGACCTCCAAGGCAAAACGACTCCGCGAAGAGCTGCAAATTTCACACGACCCACTCAAGAAGACCGTCTGTATCAAGCAGAATATGACCATGGAGCATCTGATACATGTATCGATTGTGATCAGTCCAATCTGACTTCACGGTCGTCACGAGACCATGACGAACCAGTGATACACTATGGACTGATTGCCTCTGCAAATCAGGTAGTGAAAGATGGCAGGCGGCGAGATCAGCTAGCTCAGGACTTAGGAGTGTACTGTGTGGAAATGGAAGCGGCGGGGCTCATGAATGACTTTCCATGTCTAGTCATTCGGGGTATTTGTGACTATGCTGACTCACACAAAAATAAGGCATGGCAGGGATATGCGGCAGTGGTGGCAGCAGCCTATGCTAAAGAGCTCGTCTTAGTGGTTCCGATCGATCAGGTTGAAACTACCCCAACAGCACGAGACACTCTAGCAGACTCTGGTGAGAGGTTCTAAATTCTACTCCGTGGTACTCCATACCTAGTTCGCATCGATGACTAAATAAAGTTTCTCGTTTGTAGTTCAGCGCTTTAATGTCCCCCTAGACCTTACCTTAGTTCCTGTGATTGAGAACTTCGTGGGCCGACAAGACGAGCTGGACAACTTGTGGCAGTATTTACAACCGACAAATTCGTCGTCACGGAAAGTTGCGATTCTCCACGGGCTTGGCGGAATGGGAAAGACGCAGCTAGCAATCCGCTTCGCGCGAGATCACAAAGATAATTTTACAGCTATCTTTTGGCTGAGTGGCAAGGATCGGGATGCGCTCTTGCGATCGTTGAGCTTTGCCTTGAATCGAGTACCAGGACAGCTGGGGGAAAGCGGGGCGACCGATGACAGAGAAGTGGAGCAACGAGCCAGGCATATGCTACGGTGGCTGGGGTTGGAGGGCAACTCGCGCTGGCTAATCATTTTTGACAACATTGATCAATACTCTCCCTTGAACAGCACTGTTGGTAACGGATATGATATTGCAGAACTCTTCCCTGCAGCGGACCATGGCTCCATCCTCATCACCTCTCGACTCCAAGGGTTGACTGAGCTAGGAGAGCCTTTCCCGGTCCGCAAACTTGACACTCATCACACCATTCGGCTACTGCTGCAAAGCAGCGGTCTGTCAGCCAAGAACACTACAAGAAAGCTTGAAGGCGACTCAGGTACTATGGCGCTTGATTGATATATGTTATAGATCACGCTAACAAGTGTAGATATATTTGCTCTTGCGAGTCGTCTGGATGGATTGCCTCTGGCAATTATCCTCGCTGGGGCTTTCATGCGTGAGACTGGAACTAGTATTACCGAGTACTTGAAGTTCTACCGCGAAACTTGGTCCGAGCTACAGTTGCAATCAAGTCCTGGTCGTCAGTACCAGCAAGGTAACGTGCTACAAACATGGATGATATCATACCTTGAAATCAAAAAGCGGGACCGGAATGCAGCAGCGCTGCTACTGCTACTTGCTCGCTTTGACAATCGAGATATCTGGTATGAGTTGGTAGAAAGTGGCAGCCATTGCTCGGATGTCCCAGTTTGGCTCGAAAGGGCCCTTTCAAGCGGCCTCGCGTTCAAAGTTGGTGTGAAGACTCTGATCGGATTCTCTCTTCTTGAGAGTAAGCAACAAGAAGGAAGCTATGCGATGCATCCAGTGGTACAAGACTGGTGTCTCCACCTTGCTAGCACAGACGAAAATGTGAATTCGATCCAGCTTAATGAATTGGCACTGATATCTGTTGGGTACACTGTGCCCAGTTCAAGTGAAAGGTATTATTCAGCGCTTCAGCAGAGGCTTATACCACACGCCAATTATGTACGTTATGGAGATCTGTCAGGCGAAGATGTTGCGTTATGGGGCGCTTTTCACAGCCTAGGGAATCTCTACTCTAATCAGGGCAAGCTGAAAGAGGCAGAGGAGATGTACCAGCGAGCATTGGAAGGCTATGAGAAGGCCCTCGGTCCAGATCATACGTCCACCCTCACGACAGTCAACAACCTTGGGAGTCTCTACAATGATCAGGGCAAGCTGAATGAGGCAGAGGAGATGTACCAGCGAGTATTGGAAGGCTATGAGAAGGCCCTCGGTCCAGATCATACGTCCACTCTCAGTACAGTCAACAACCTTGGCCTTCTCTACTCTAATCAAGGGAAGCTGAACGAGGCAGAGGGGATGTACCAGCGAGCAACGGCAGGCTATGAGAAGGCCCTTGGTCTAGATCATACGTCCACCCTCATGACAGTCAACAACCTTGGGAGTCTCTACACTGATCAGGGCAAGCTGAATGAGGCAGAGGAGATGTACCAGCGAGTATTGGAAGGCTATGAGAAGGCCCTCGGTCCAGATCATACGTCCACTCTCAGTACAGTCAACAACCTTGGCCTTCTCTACTCTAATCAAGGGAAGCTGAACGAGGCAGAGGGGATGTACCAGCGAGCACTGGCAGGCTATGAGAAGGCCCTCGGTCCAGATCATACGTCCACTCTCAGTACAGTCAACAACCTTGGGAGTCTCTACACTGATCAGGGCAAGCTGAATGAGGCAGAGGAGATGTACCAGCGAGCATTGGAAGGCTATGAGAAGGCCCTCGGTCCAGATCATACGTCCACCCTCACGACAGTCAACAACCTTGGGAGTCTCTACAATGATCAGGGCAAGCTGAATGAGGCAGAGGAGATGTACCAGCGAGTATTGGAAGGCTATGAGAAGGCCCTCGGTCCAGATCATACGTCCACTCTCAGTACAGTCAACAACCTTGGCCTTCTCTACAAGAACCAGGGCAAGCTGAACGAGGCAGAGGGGATGTACCAGCGAGCACTGGCAGGCAAGGAGAAGGCCCTTGGTCCAGATCATACGTCCACCCTCATGACAGTCAACAACCTTGGTCTTCTCTACACTGATCAGGGCAAGCTGAATGAGGCAGAGGGGATGTACCAGCGAGCACTGGCAGGCAAGGAGAAGGCCCTTGGTCCAGATCATACGTCCACTCTCAGTACAGTCAACAACCTTGGCCTTCTCTACAAGAACCAGGGCAAGCTGAACGAGGCAGAGGGGATGTACCAGCGAGCACTGGCAGGCAAGGAGAAGGCCCTTGGTCCAGATCATACGTCCACCCTCATGACAGTCAACAACCTTGGTCTTCTCTACACTGATCAGGGCAAGCTGAATGAGGCAGAGGGGATGTACCAGCGAGCACTGGCAGGCAAGGAGAAGGCCCTTGGTCCAGATCATACGTCCACTCTCAGTACAGTCAACAACCTTGGCCTTCTCTACAAGGACCAGGGCAAGCTGAATGAGGCAGAGGGGATGTACCAGCGAGCACTGGCAGGCTATGAGAAGGCCCTTGGTCCAGATCATACGTCCACTCTCGATATAGTCAACAACCTTGGTATTCTCTACAAGAACCAGGGCAAGCTGAAAGACGCAGAGGAGATGTACCAAACAACACCGTCAAACAGTCAGACGGTCTCACATCTTAATGCTAGCAAGGCACGGCGGGCTATGGAGAAATTCGCTCGATGGTTTAAATAACAGGACTGAAACAATTTCATGCCCCATAATGGGATTCAAAATGACACTTATTTCTTTTCAATATATTCTCTATATGACTTCAACAGGGATCGTATAATCACAGGGCAAAGTAGAGAAGGCCACGGCGAAATGATTGATGTAACCGAAGCCTGAACATATGTATCTTGTGGAAAGACAATATACGAAAGACAAGGGAATTTAAGAGTCCCGTTCGGCAGATACAGTAAGACCTGTTTAGTGCTGGGCCTGGTATGTTTTAGATCCGTACCACTAATTGTATAGATACCCAAGTTGGTAATTTACTGGTTCCGCGTCATACAATTCACCCTTGGAACCAGATATTGAAATTTCACTTAACCAAATATGGATTAGCGTACCATGTGATTAGGGTTTGAAAGAGCCTCTATGTGTTGTTCGATATGGAAGGCGATAGCGGTGGGCACTGTATCCCAGTCGAAACAGTGCTTGACCGAGGAAGATTAATTTCTGAAGACCGAATAATCAAACAATGGTGATAGAAAATTGTACCATGCTGAAGAAAATCTTAGGGATGTTATGAAAGTACGCATTCATAAAAGCGGGCCAGCGATCATTGGATTCTAATGGCACTGTGGGGACAACGGCAAATAAACCTAACGAGTGCCGGTCAATTGAACCATTCAATTAACCCTTCAAGATTACCGCGGTCATTCCTTTAGCATCCTGTTACTTGTTCTAAGCCCCAGTGACGGATCATGCAGCTCCACATTGATTGACAGTAGCGTCCGCTCCTTAATGGGACCGGAAAAATATTTCAAAGCACCTTACAAATTTGTGTTCAACTTCTAGAGTTCAACTCCAGTCTGTCTGACAGCAGTTGTTTTAGACGTGTCACCTCTGTAAATGATGGCACTTCTGGGGGATAAACTTCTATTACTCGCCACCTTGGCATCAGATTGGAGAGAAATATGACAATGCCTTGTCTTTCCTGGTACGGTAGAATTCGAAAACAGTTTACCCCTCAAGCACACACTCTTTGTTTCTTGGCTCGTACCCGAAATGGCTATAGTCTTTATTCGGATAAGTGGTAAGGTAATATCCCCTCGTAACCTAGTGCTTGAGGGCGGTAATCGAATGACTCATTTCTAGCATACAATCATTGTGATAACAGTTCTGCCATAATTAAGTGGCGGTGAACCAAGCCGGACCTAGCGCGTGTCGGAATTAAGTTTCTCTGAATCAAGACGAAAGAGTTCGGAGGTATACATAGCTGATTTCGAAAAGTACTGTAAAACTGATTTCGAATATCACTGTATCTGGGTCAGACCTGGATCATTCCACCAAATCAGACCCATTTCCAATGAAGATTGGAATTCCTCAAGCGAGGAGGAGAATTGGCAGATAGAAGATGAGGATTGTTGGGACACAGAGGATGAAGCGGAGGAGTCTAACGCAATTGATGATGCATATAAGATTCTAGAAGGCGACTGGTAAAAGATGATCCGCGCAGAAAGCAATGGCGGAGGTTAGGAAATGGTTGCCTGATGTCGAGCCTTACCTTCTATCCTGGCCCTAGTTAAATGAAAATATGGGCCATGTAAAATAAAGCAACTTTGTGATACAAATACGACATGTTACCGGCAGTCCTCTAGTGTTTTATGCCATATTATACTCGCAGTATTATGTTTTTTACCTGTCACTAATGAGGGTTAGAAAAGTCATTACGTTTTAGACATAGAAGGCAATAACTGCTAGTGCTGTATCAAATTGACCCTGGACACTGACTCGCTTCAGCAATGTAACTACAAGATGCAGAGGGGAAATTTTGACAGATCGCCTGTTCAAAGCCACTCTGTTTGCTCAATTTGCATCGAACTCCACAACCAGTCTAGGCGTCTAATTCTAGACCCTTGTATTTTTCATACCGGTATCTTACGCTTCTGGTAGGTATTAGATTGTTAGTTACAAATCGACTTGTAATGCGCTATTCTCTCTGTATTAGCGTTTCGTCTCTGTTCCTGACGTTGAAGTATAACTGCTCCTTATTTTTCCAAGACCCAAATTGGTGAAGGGCTCTCGGAAACACGGTAATGGGTCCTCGGAAGTGACATCAATAATGAGGTGAACATTGCCTTCGTACACCTATTCTAAAGGATAGGTACCCAATACCCTGGGCATTCGGAAGTTGAGAGCCTCAGCAATTTGACTTGTTTCACTACCCTCAATTATGAGGACGTGCGGGGAAGGTGGCACGGTTTATTAAGTTGACTGAGGCCCACCTACCACACCCAACCAATCACTGTGCAACTGGGAGTTGACAGCTATACCCCTATTTTTTTTTTCGTTTGGATTACTAGCTGGAATTTGCGTATAATAGATTTTTATATAGAATAGATTGGAAGTCCAAGAAACCTAATTCATTAACTTGCGCTAATGAATTGGAATTAAGCGCGCAATGGATGCTGAACCCATCTCGCCATGCTGGGAGCATGTGCGTATTAGAGACCTCAAGAAAGACTTCCATCGACCGGTTGTGTATCCTACCAATCCGATTCTATTAAGGAACCACCCTTCTCTCTATATCCGATCGATGAATCTGACGTCACCAAAATCTAAGATGCGGCGTGGGATACAGCAATCTGCGCTAATTGCACAGGACATTGCGTTGCCACAAGACATTTATTTCTCAACACCACCGATCTGATCAGTAATACGTTTCCGCCTTGCCATTTACACTTACATATACAATCGGGCTGACCTTGGATCTTTTGACATTGAAAACAGAAAATTCTTGCTCATAGCCTTTTTATGTTAAAAGTACTCTGTAAGCCGTGGAATCAGGTTCAGCGGGTTTCGACAACAGTTTACCCATCGGACCCTCACAGTTTGTTTGCCAGCCGGTACCTGTAATGAGCTTAATAGTTATTGGGACATGTGGTAAGGTATCTTCCACTTATAGATCGATCAGCTTAATTTACGCGCTAGTTGTATTTGGCCTAGCGTTGTCTCGGGCACGGCCCGACAAACAAAATGTGAGTGTCTGAGTAGTAAAGTATTTACGAAAATCGCTGTATGCTGTTAGATGGTATGTTGTTAGATGGATGCTAAAAGGATTCATAGTTTGAGGGTTCATGGTTTAAAGTCAGTGGTATTGCCCTACTGTCCCCAAAAATGAAGTTTGGCCCTCGAGTGATATAGCCTGTCAGTTTATTCTTCATGTCGAATCGTCGAATACCAAGTCGAATACATGGTAGAAACCAGGTACTTCGAGTACCACGCATACCATATATTACGTTTAGTCATCATTACCGCACAGATTGTTGAAATAGTTAGTGAGTTTTGTCACTTTAGTTGGAGTTGTCAACATTGGTCATCTATACCATACATTGTTCGTACACCAGCTTTCTGTCACTTTATACTACATTAGAACTCGAAAAAAGTTTACCCCTTAAGCACGCACACTTTGTTTGTCGGCCCGCACTCGAACCAAGTAGACTTTATATCTAGACAAGGGTACCCTATTGGCCGCTTAGAAACAAACGGTACTTATGACCTAACCGAATTAGGCACCAACCCGATTTAATTACGCAACGGTAAACAAAGTGTGAGTGCTTAATAAGTTATGTGGTAAACAGTTTTTGAATTTTACTGTAGTGAAAGGAGTCAGGTTTAACCCTATTCTATAAGTCGTGCGTTGAGAATAACCAAACAAAACCTGACCAGGGGCCAGGCATACTTGTTGACACAGCTACGCACGGGACACAATTGGTTATCCACATTCAGGAAGGCCATTGGCTTCCGCGACGACAATTCAGTGCGCGTGTGACACTCAAGGAACAGCCACCCACGTCTTGGTGGACTGCCCAATACTGCAGGGACTAAGAAGAGAATCAAGAGAGAACGTTGGAGACGCATTCAACATCATGTCGAATCTGCTGGGAGGCTGTTTCGGGCTAGTAGGACGGTCACGGCTGTGCTAGATTTCGCAGAGGCGTCACAACGGTTTCGAAGTCGCGCGCCATGAGGGCGGCCTAAGAACTAAAACGTAGGAGAAAGAGTGTAGAAAGATTCACTGCCGGCCAAAAATTTGCTTATGTCACCACATGCACCGCCAAATACGGCTATCGGATAAGGCATTTGGCGGGAATTTGGTATAGGATTTCTTGCAGCGCCAGCCCCCCCCCCCACCTTCTTCGCCCTGTCGATTCGGTTGTTGGACATTAACCGGGGTCCCCCTGCTCTTTCAGTGGCTGCACTTGACCAGGGTGCCTCGAGCAGCAAGGATCCCCTGCTTGTTCAGTTGTTGGTTTCGACCAGGATACTTACACCAGCAGGGACCACCAACCCGTTCGTGGGTCTGACTTTTAGCAACAACAGCAGGGACCCCCTGTTTGTTCGGTAGTTGGACTTGACTATGGTGCCTTGAGCAGCAGGGAACCCCGGTTAGTTTAACGGATTTAGTGGCAACATGTCAAGATGGATCCTGGCCTTGAGTCCAATCCGTGGCCCGGTCAGGGGTAGCAGCACAAATTTTGTTGAACTTATAGGAGCCAGTTAAATGTGCCCCGTTGGCGCTGTTGGTGTGATGTGACCAACATATTCGTTGGATATGCACCATCTAATTAGGCAACATCAAGTCGAAGCCTGTGAACGGAATCACATCGAGCAGGGGCCTCCTATTTGCCCAGCAGTTGAGTCTTGATTCCATAACCCAACATGCAGCAACAGAGGTACAAAATATTCGAACCAAAAGTCGCATCAACCATGTTTCATTGTTCGTCCAGCAATCGAGCCCAACCTCCGGTTGAACCTGTAGCAGCAGAAATTTCAACTCGAACGTTTTGAATAGCCCAACCGGATGAGAGTAGGGCTCGGTAGGGTTCAGCAGGCACCCTTGTGCCCTTTAGTCAATACGGTTATCAACGCCCAACACTACAACGCACCTCGTCTCCAACCACCCACTGGCTCGATGGCGCAGTATGGAGCTTGCATACCAGCGAATTCGAATGCACAGAGCAGCCTTTTTGATAATCCAAAAGGTCAGTGCATTCGCCAGCGTGGAGGCTAGATGGGATGTTATTGGCTCAGACGGAGACTCTGTAGATCGTCAAACCACACGCTAACTGGTAAGCATTATTCCATAGTTGCTTAAACGGAATATTCGATCTGGCCATATGCGACATGTGATGGAGTACCAGCTTGTAATACGAGAACTAGGGTGCTGGCTCGGGGGTTACATCCGAACATGGTAGTAATAAGGAAAAGGAGGGGAGGGCCAAGGATAGATAAGACATTAACGTTCATAAACAATACTTGTCCCGCTCCCCGCAGAGCCCGCAGACTATTAAAGAAACAGACCCTTGCGAGAGGCTTTCATGCAAAAAGTCGCCCAACCATTGAAATCTGAGAATACAACAACAGAACAACCAGAATGTCAGTTGATAAACGCATGTTGCAAGCAAGTGATTACCGGAGAATATTACGGCGTTTGAATCGCTTGACCGACTTCGCTGGAGGAAAAAGGAGGGTAGTATGGTTTCCTGCTATCTTTAGCTGTATTCCAGCTTCTGACGTGTGTCTTCTAGCAATCTCTTGTCACGGGACATTCAAGGTGCAATAAGTTGGCTATTAACTACTATCAAAGCCTTCAATGTCTATTAAGAAGATTGGAAATGACACAACAAGCAACCAAAGTAGATTCGCATCTCAGTGAGCAGTTAAGGGAATTAGGTTTTGACTCAATTATATTCAGTCCCTGCACTTCCATGGACAGCTGCCTACCTAAAGCTCAAACCTCACTGAACAATGGCCTGCCGGTTGACCAAGATTTGCACCAAGACCACACCTCAACACGACCTTGGCCAAAGCCTCAGTCTTTACCATTGAAACCTAGCGATTCCCGTGAAAATCGTGGTGTGGTTCATCCAAACTGGGAAGACCCTCTATTGGGTCAAAGCGAGCCCCTCTTCGCTGGGCATTCTAGACCCCACTTCCCCCTCTACGGGGGACAGTCACAGCAAGTAGCCATACCGACGCTGGGGCCAAATCAACATGAAACAGTGACTTTGAATGAATATCGGGGGCACGCTTGTGAGCAACATCGGTCTGAACAACCAACGGACATCATGCCAGTATCATCACAGTTCATGACCAGATCTCCTCCGGCGAATAAAATCGAGCAATCTCTGGACAAGTCGAGCGAGCTAGAGGACGAGGAAGATTCATGGCCGACAGAAGGTGATGAATGGTGGACCTAAATGGATCATTATAAGATGGAGCTGCTGAGTGTTTACTATTTTTTTGTGGTCTGCTGCCATTCCCTGCTCCTGAAATCAATTCTCGGACAAGCTCAATCCCTTTTTGTTTATAACTTGTCCAAAAGTCTTGGCCTGTATAGATACTGGGCCAAGAGCAGTAAAAGATGAACCCATTACGGGCCGTTGACTAAGCTGCTCCAGGCATGCGTGCCGGCGCTTGTATCCTCCGATATAGGATCATCGAACAGTCATTCAACAAAGATTCTTCTTTCCTTGCCTGACTCAGCTTTCTATGATGAATAGGTGTGATAAAAAGCCTGTGTTAACCAATTTTCGATTGATTAGGCACCAAGAAAAATATACTAAATTACTGCATAAGAAGACAAAAAATGGGATTGAAAATGTAAGGAAGAGATATTTAACCTTCTTTAGAAAAAGCGCAAGAAATCCGACATAATTTGAGCCATATTAACAGTGAATGTCTTGACTGCAGTTCCATCGTCAACTAGTCAGTGATTGATCCGATCGACAACACAGAGGCAGCCGGCAGGGAATGCTTGCTAGGGCTCCCAGCTTCCACTACTGTTCCGATGTCAGATTCAGCCAGACGGGACTCCCCCTCAAAATAGCGCTCTTCACTTCCGACAAATGTCAACATATCTTGCTTTCGACTAGATGTCTCCAAAGTTGATTCCGAATGTGCGGACTCGTAATTGCGGCTTACCCCTGCCGAATCCACCGTGGTTTGATCAAAGACAACTCCAAACGTGTCCAAAACCTTGGAGCGGTCTGGGGTTTTCCTGTATTTGTGTTTGTGTTTGGACGCGAGGTGACAGACAAATCCGTGCAAGGTTTGAAAGTCTTGTTTTCCGCATTCGGAAACGGGGCAAATAAGGTGAACTAGCTTTCGATCGGAATTGCGCATCCAAAAAGGGCGTCCACCGTCATCCCTACCCGCTGGAACCCCATATTTATTGGTATCAGGACGAGTCCGATCGCACTTAGTATCGTTTGGTTCTAAATTCGACAAGTTCGAAGAGTTCTCCGCGCTGTTAGTAGGAGAAGGATTCTGGCTCGATAGCGGTTGAGACACCGGGGTGTGCGAAGGTTGTTGCGGCGATTGTCTGTTTTGTGGGTGTGCGAAGTTTTGTCGATGAAGGTTTTCTGAAACTTCAAAGCCCTTTATGCCTTTTGCCATAGGCACTTCACATTGAATTTGGGGTGCGGGTTGAAGAGGTGAAAGCCGGATAGGAGTAGGGTTTGGATGCATTTTCAACCGCATCTCTCGCGGAATTTGCCACCATTGTCTTCGCAAGTCCTGAACAATAATAATCCCATTAGATGGTTCAAAGTAAAGTAATTTTATGGACCAGATTTACATTGCTCTCTGTTTGGAGTTCATTCGTTACACGATTAAACTCGTCATCTTCTTGCTGACGGGTAAAGAGAAGATATCCTCGAGATGCCATTATCGCTTGTCTGTTGCGCTCCAGGTAATCCATTGCACTTTCTATCCTCATTAGCGAGGGTGATTGGTGGTCTCCACCGTAGAACCTTTGCACATGGTGGGTATTGTGCAGCTGTTGCCGTTGGTTTTGCATTTTTTGGGAAGCAAAAATATAGGAAATAACTTGGTGGTGAAAAATGCTTGTTTGGCCTGGGGATTGCAAGGTATTTATGACGGAGTGATATTGGAGCAAAAGGCCCTATTAGTATATCTATCGGACCCACACCCACAGGGTTCTTGATAAACATGTCGCGGTTCTCTTGGCTTCCAGTACTAGGGTGTGTTTCTTTGTGAGAGTTATGTTCAAACCTGTTCACATCAGCAGGAAGAGAACGTAGACAATGTTCGATGTTCAGACCTTGGCATCCCTCAGCGCCAGCTGATGTTGAACTTTGCTTTCAGCCCCAAAAATAACGCCAAGCTTAGTAGACCTGTCGCACTTACTCTGGACGCAGGTGCCGTAGCGCACTCAGGGCGATGGAAAATTTGGTTGCGCGTTTAGTAGCCTGCTAGACGATTTTCCTTAACCGTAGCCCCCGCCAAAGATCACGCCTAGCAGCTTAGGTTTGGGCAGGGGTGAGATAACCTTCTCGCTCATGCCCACCTGGTGGGTGCTGTTCGCATCTTTTCCGGGTGAGGTAGATGAGCTCGGTCTTTTCCGCTGCAAAACAGATCCAGTTCGTCGGGCCCATGTTTCGATACGCGGCATGTCTTCCGACTGAATCTTGGCTTGGTTCTCCTCGGCCGAACGGCCTACTCTTGTCAGCGGAAGTAAGCGTCAATAAAGGCCGATGCGCCACCGTGAAAGAAAACCGGTTTAATGGCCGCAGAGTTGAAGAACGCGAATAGGATTGCGCACAGGTCGTGTGCTAATCCCTCATTCGCTAGTGGGGTCACCTCTGTGGAAATCGTCGAATCCTCTACTCGCGTGGCGATTGCCCACGAAGCTAGCGATCCGCCTTCGCGCTACTGTTGGTATTCCCTTGCCCGGAGGCGGCCGTCTAGGCTAACATTGTTTAGGCCTCGTTCATCTGTTAATAATCTTCGAATTACTTTGCAATCCAAGTCAACCAACCAGAAACAAATACGGGCGTAACAAAGTCGGTCATACAGACGGGCTCGAAATCAGTTCACAACTTTACTCTCTTCAATTATTTTCCAAATTTAGTCCTGAAACACGAGTCTGTGTAATTTATTGGAAATAATCACAATGAAGTTTCCTTCCTAGCATCGCTTGGCAGGTCACCTGAAAGCGGGGTACTTTGACGGTTCAGACGTATGCTTGCGACTACCCCTTCTAGAAACCACCTAGAGGATAATGGCATATACGACATCATATGACGGGACAAATTCTGGGGCCCAAGTTGGGCAGAACCTTGGTCATATCACTACCCTACTCAGTTCCGTAAGTGGGGCGTATACAGCAGCGACCGGCATCGCCTTCCATTGTCGGAAACAGAACGATGTTCTTTCAACCCTTAATCACATGATTCGCTGTACCAAACTTGGATTGGGCGTACCAAATTTATTTTATATCTGACATGGTTTAATACCAGACGTAGTAGCGAAACGAAACAAGCCCCTCCACTTCGTAAACGACTAAACTTCACAGAGAAATACCTGACTCTGTATTGTTTCGTTCGATATTACGTAGTTATATCTCATATGTACGATCGGGTGCCCATGTGGTTTTTGGCCGAGTGGGTGTTTTTGTCAAGTATAAACGAGATACACTGAGGTAACAAATCATAGAACTGATCACAAACGAAAGAAGCGAGGGATAATGGTACCGAGTTGTGTCCAATATATTACCAATTACTCCCATCATTTGCAGGACGTACCCATCCTCAGTCCTTATGGCATCTTTTACCACGCTTAATGTCCTTCCCGCCACATCCAACCATAGCGCAGCAATGCTCTTCATCAGATATTCGCCTATTTTCGTTGAACCCATAGGAGCCACTTCAACATGTCTCGTTGGCCCTATTGGTGTAATTAACCTTCCAAGGCTGCGAACAGATTCACATCAAAAACCTACAGGAGTCTAGATTCCAAGTCGAAGCCTGCGGACGAAATCACATCGAGATTGGTCCTCTCCTCCTCTTCATCACTGATTAAGATTTAGTTATGTGGCTGAGTGACATATAAACGTTGGTTATACGAATGATCTGAATCGACAAGTACGGTTCATTGTTTGTCCAGCGATCAAGCCCAATTTCCGGTTGAACCTGTATGAGCAAGGATTTCAACTCTCATGGTTTGAATAACGAGACCAGAGAAGGGTGGTGATCATCAGACACTCTTGTGCCTTTCAGCAAATGTCAACACCCAATCCCAGGGCCGCTGGGTGTGTAGCCAGAGGCAGGATTTCCACGGACCCCTGGTCGGCTCCTGCGCCGCGGTGTATTGTAGGCGCTGTAGCCGGCGAAAAGGGTCGAAGGTCTTATCGCATTTACTATGGTGTTTTGGGGTGCAGCGGTTCGCTTGTGTGGGCAGTTCGCTTGTGAAATATGACGGAAAGCTGGTGTACGAACAATGTATGGTATAAATGACCAATGTTGGCAACTCTAACTAACTAAAATGACAAAACCCGCTATTTCAACAATCTGTGCGGACCATGATGACTAACTGTAATATGCACTTTTGTATGGTATGCCTGGTACCCAATGTCACATGATGTTCCCGGTATATTACCTGGTTTCTACCATGTATTCGGACTTGGTATTCGACACACCCCCCAGTTCTTAAAGCCTGCATTTCCTGGCTTCAAGAGCTGTCAATTCCTTCATTTCTGAGCCTTCCAATGGCTTCAATTCCATCAATTTCTGCACTCTCTTCAAGCAGCCTCTGTTTCTCGGATCAGATGACTGATCTCTCTCATCCCAATCATACTTACATGATTGTTTCCATTCGGTGTATTCGCCTTCTCGGTAATCTTGTCTTATGTATCTTTCTACTGCCAAGAGTTCCACCAAAACTGGTATATTCTCAGGTAACATAATTTTGATGATATAAAAAGTCAATATTTGTCACTAGGTAGGCGAAATGATGCAACGTCATCTTTCCTATTCATTTCAGACGCTTTTGTGGATGATCTCGGCATCATAATAGCAAACGGTGCATTTTCTAGTACAGTATAGCAGTTTCTTGTAATTTACAAAAGATATGGTCCCACCCGCGTTATGTAAAAAACAGTTTCTATTTTAGGAACAAGGGGATCGACGAATATACCATATCTGGGCTAGCGTGTTTCAAATTAGGGTTTGCGAATTAATGTCGAAGAGTGTGGAGGTAAATCTGATTTCCAATACTACTGTAGCGCGTGCCGTCTTGTAATCCGCCACTTTAACAGTTTGTAATCTTTGTTTAAAAAAAGCATCGAATTGGAAATCAGATAATAACTGTTTCTGCTGCTCTCAGGCAATGTTCAATACATGGATTGGGGGTGACGGCGCTCAAATGTGCAGGTACCTGGTGGGCGTTTCATCACATAGGGCATTTCATCTCACCGGGATGGGGGTTACTACTGTTTAACTGATTTCGAAAACTATTGTGGGAGTAGCGCGTAAAATATTGGTTTTGTACTTTGTACATAACTAGGTTTGCATCGATTCTTCCAGTCCAGGCGTCTGGTTCTAGATTGTATTTTTCATATAGCTGTTTCAAGCTTCTGGTATTTACAGCGACTGGACATAACGTGCATACGAAGAAAGAGCGCTCTCAGGGACGGCCTTCATCTGCTTGTTCCTCATAGCTGAAGAACTCCAAAGTGAGACCTCACATAATATTTTTGCTGCTGGGTTGGTCTTCCGGTAACCCGAGGCTAGATCGTTCAGCGAAGTCGTCTTTATGACGATGAAATGTAATGCATATGCTTAGTTATATTCAAGTGAGCCGTAGGGAGTCAAATCAATGTATTCAACTTTTGCATGAAGTTCCAATCTCTGGCCGCGAACAGCCTCCCATTCTGGCAAAGCTGTTCCCGCCAGCTTCAGATCCAGGCAGTGGAAATTCGTTCACCGGGTTTGGGGTCCCAATGTTTTACCCATTTGTCAACCGCTGCGATTTCACGGGACTGAGATTCTTCCAGCGAAAGTTTTAGATCTCGGACGGCTTGAAGAATAAAGTCATGTTCTGGTGGGCATGTGGACAGCTCAAAATAATAATCTAACAGACGCGACTGGGACTGAGACGACAAATTCTGCGACGCCTTTACAGTGGCTAGCACCAGTTCTTCATAGATCTCAGTGCACTCTCCATAAAACTCATTTTCCCATTGAATGCCGGTCAGGTCATCCGCAAGGATCTTCTGATATTCGCAATCTGATTGAGGTTTAGAACGCTTTGCGATTTGTAACCGGCTGCCGGTAGATTCCAAGGCGGTGCTAAAACCCCTAGCGTCTCCAACTTTATGATCCGCCGACGTTATTTGGGGACAATCAGGCTCAGATGACACCGAGGAACTGGTTCCATTGTGAACCAGCTGAATGTCCAATCTCGGCGATCCTATCGATCGACTGTAGATACTGGATACTGTCGGACTTGGAGACATTTCGTGAAGTACAATCAAATCACAGGAAAATCTACATAGCTGAACTTCTCATTAATAAAGACGGCGTTGGGCTGTTATCGCACGATCGGCTTATGCGGCTGTTGTACAGGGGGTTCTCTGCTTCTAGAGGCGCCCTTGTCAAGTCCGACTGCCGAACGGGGCTCCCTGCTGTAACCACACACGAACACAGAAACCCTATCCCATGTGATTTCGTTCGCAGCCTTCAACTGATTATGGCTAATTATCTGATGCACATCCAACAAATATGTTGGTCACACTAATAGCCGCGACGGGGCAAATTCCACTGACTCATGTGGGTTAAAGGAAAATTTGACCTGCTACCCCCCAACCAGACCATAAAATGCAATCATAGGCTGGATCTATTTCGGCACGTGGCCACTAGATCCGTCAAATTGGAAATACGTTCCTGCTGCGGTAGGTACCCCGGTCAAGTCCATCCACCGAACGATGAGGTCCCCGCCAATGCCATGGTGAAACTACGGTTTGTTGTCAAATCTGCGGGTCAATATGCAGAGGCAGGGGTGTCAAATAAAATCCAGGCCTCCTATTCGCTCTGTAGTTGGCCTTGACCGGGTGCCTCGAGTAGCAGGGACACCCTGTCAGTACGGTGGTTAGACGTGACCAGGATACCTGCTGCAGCAGGGATTCCCTACCCGTTTGGGGGTTGAATTAAACTAGGATACCTGAAACAGCAGGAATCCCCTGCCCATTCGGGGCTCGGACTTGACCAGGCTGCCAGCGACAGCATGGATGTCAAATAAAGCCTGCGAACGGACTCCATAGAGCAGGACCTCTTATTTTTCTAACGGTTGAGTATTGATCCTGTGACCCAACATGTAGCAACAAAGATACAATCCGAACCGACAGAACATCAACCACGGTTCATATTTCGTCCGGCGATCGAGCCCAACCTCTGGTTGAACTTGTAGTAGCAGGGATTGAAATTATATGGTTTCAATAAAGCGACCGCGTGAGAGTGGGATTCAGTGGGGTTTATCAGGTACCCTTCGTCTTTCAGCCAATCTCGGTTGTCAACGCCCAACACTGCAGGCACCATGGTCGGCGAAGGGCACAATGCCCTTGGTAGGTTAGTAGAACAGGAACTAAGAACAGGACTAGGTGATCCGCTGTGCTATGGACCTTCTACGTTTCCAATGGCTATCCTACGTGTTTGGCGATCCCCTGGGGCCAATCCTAACTGGACCCGAATGTAACAACGCCCGACGCATCTCGTCCCCGATCACTCACTGGCTCGATGGCGGGTCCGTGAGCAGCGCTAACCTCGCTTCTGGGCGGCCCAACAGGATAGGTGAGCCATTATGGGCCAAGCCTGGACAGGTTCTGAGAATAGTTCGCATGGTGGTAACACCTCATCACCTCTATGTCGACAGTAGCAAAGATTCACAGGGTATCCGCACAAAAATTCGTAAAGTTGAGCTATCTCGTGGGGCCAAATCGACGTAGTAAAGGCTCAAAACCGTACGCATGATCTTAAATCGCTGTACTAACAGTCTACGATTAATGAGAAAGAAAACCATTGGTTGAATTCAGCTAGCTAACTGACAGTTCAAGGAATACCGCATCCGTTAAACTTCTCCCCAAGACATGGGATACGTTGAGTACCTATGAAAAGGGGTGGTTTTAAACCATCCACCTTGCTCTTCCTTGTTGTCTAAAAACCAAGCGGCATCCTTATTCTATTTGCATCATCCCCGCTATCTATATTTTTCTATATAGTTTTCTCTCCCCCCAGGCAACGCGCTCAATGGCAGCTATCAAGGCTACCAGATCCAGCGATTGGACTTCGAAAAGAAAATTGATGCGACAAAAGCAATGCCGTCGTAAAGCTAGTTTGATGAAAAAGGCATTCGAATATAGTAGGATGTGCAGCGCAGATGTATGCATGGGAATTCGTATCCGCGAGACGGGCCAGGTACATATTTTATCAGCGGATACTTCAGGATTTTGGGCTTTCCTCAGCTCGCAATTAGTATGTCTCAAAATATGGCACTGATGGAAAGAATACTGACCAATTAAGAAATCCTACTATCCAGCCCCAATGCTAGTGACAGGCCAGGATCTACAGCAGGCTGATACCGATACACCGCAACAACCTATATGAAGTAGTAAGGCCAAAGCGGAACTTCCACCAGAAGAACCCTGTTTTCTCATCGTCAACCAGAAATTATTACATGCAATTACTATCTTGATAGTCTTTTCACAGAGAATATAGCCGTTGACAGTGCAAATATGGCTTCCGTACACAGTAGTTCTCCAGACGGAAGAGGGCTCCGTAAGGAAGAAGACTACATGGATACTTACCATGCCAGGTGTCCGAATCGTTGGCATCGGAAGCACATCTTTTTCTTGATCCCACGTCGCTCCACGCTCCCTATATACCGTTTGTCGACCACGAAGCCCTTTTTGATGAAATGCTCCACCCCCCTCTGGGGAGTCGAGCCAGATTCCCAGGGATGCAAACTTCCCGACGGCCTTGTCTGCTCTCTTGAGCCATGCCACACCCTCGATGCAGTAGCCTCGTTCTGCCGGATCGTTTTCTTCTGTGATTTTCTCTATCACCTGATTGTAGTCAGTTTCTAGGTTGAGATCCTCCGTTGGAGTCCGATGCACGACCACACCAAATCGTGGCTTTACCAGTTTCGTGTTGTTGCCCATTTTTTCCAGCCATTCAGTGTTGGTGCGGGCCATTCCAGCCGATTCTGGGTCCTTGAACCTAACGACGTAGCCTCTCTTGGTGGTGCCAACCCCGGCTAACTGGGCGTCTTGCGTCAAGACAGCGTTTGTGAGTGCGGTCTGGATATGGGTGTATGCTGCTTCGATTGAGAGGTATCGTGCAAAGGTGTTTCCGTCGGTGTTCTCGTTGTCTCTCGGGTCGACTAATTTCCTCTGGGTGCTGATTCAGATGCACCTCTGTTCTTTCTCGGGTCGCTGAGGGGCTGTTTGGGACAAACCGTTGCTACCCCCTGCCGCAACTTCGGCCCAGGATCTGGCTGGGGCCGTCGGCGGAGCAGCTTCGATTCGAGCTTGCAGAGCCTTGAGTTCCTCATGGAGCTTCTCATTCTGTTCCTGTAGGATGTGCTGATTATGTTTGACCTCCTGTAGCTCGTTCTAAGTGGCTTCAATCGCTGCGGTTTGTTGGTGAATGACGTCCCTCAGGGAGCCGATGAGTTTCCACATCTCAGTGGTGATTCGACCCGCCGAGTCCGACGGTGTGAAGGCATCGCCACTCCGAGTTCGCTTCCGGTTCTCGTTCAGCAGGTTCGCCGTCTCAGTCTCATCTGTTCTCTTAAGGGTACGGTCAAAGATACAGGCATACAGGGGGAAACTCTCAGACAAGGAATCCACGCCCAGTGGAAGAAAGAATGGAACGAGTCGAGCACCGGCGCCCATCTGCGTCAAATCAACGACTCACTACCGACCAAGTATACCACACGGTTCTTTGGCTCTCTGCCTAGAAGTCGAGCGTACTTATTGATGCAGTTGCGAACCGGACACTGCGGGTTGTCAGCATACGCAAAGGCCTTCCGATTCCGAGTCGACGACCTTTGCGTCTGTGGCAACGGGAACGCGTTCACCACGTGTTTTTAGATTGCCCAAGATTGAGAATTATAAGGAGAGAGCTCCGAGGGAATGTTAACGACGCTTTCAACGGCATATCAATACTGTTAGGGGGGTCAGAAGAAGGATCAAGAGGTAAGATTGACAGCGCTTCACGGGCCAAGACAGTGGACGCTGTCTTGGATATTGCTGAAACATCGCAACCGTGTCAAATTTGCGCGCCACAAGGGCAGCACAAACATAACAACGGCACAGAGGCTCTAGGTTCGCTTAGAAAGTGGTATACGATCCATTTAAATAGGAAGATATATATAGTAGTTGTAGGCTGCATATCATTTCGACCAGAGGACAGCATAAATGAAATACGCACCACACACACTGTACTAGCAAAAATTCATAGCCTTGCCCCACGAACGTCTGATTCAGATAGATAGCCCATGGACATATGTTTTATGATCGAAAAAAAACATAGTAGATCTCGAATCTAGTTTACGATATGGATGGAACAACCTCAGATTCAGTTTGTTACTTTGATTTGAGATCTTCCAATAGTACAGTAGGTTTCCAAAACGGTTTCCCCTCAGAATCCCACATCTTATCCTCCTTCAGCCCGTGGCCGAAGCCATGCTAATTATTACTTTGGATCCACCAGCCGTCACGCCAGCGCCAGGTCTCGGGTGGAGAATCGGACCTCAATGGGAAGCTCATTGTTATGTTGTTTACTTTCTGTTGTTTACTTTCTTAGAATCATTTCCAGCTGATTGTCTCTCCTGCCAAATGTATTACACTGCAGTTTGGGTACTCTTTTTAAGCCTTGTTTATTCTCACCAACAACGAAAGAGAATCCCGAAATCCAAAAACCAAACAGCAATACGTGTTAAATATCTTCTATTCCTCTTATGCCACATTAACGCTGGCATTTTCCATCGTCCCTTAGCTTCAAATTCACCGGCCTAGTTTCAAGTAACAGCTTCAAAACGTCGCCTCATGTCCAAACTCTGTGATACCTGTTCCAGGAGATCATTCGCCCGGTGTGATCCTATTCGCTGAGGCAAATCTTTCGCCACCATGCTTGCCACTGCCTAGATAAAGTTATGCTTTTTAGTTGTCCCAATTAAGGTTGGTATTCCAACTCAATCATTTCTGCACGCCGACCAAGGTACATTCGCATGGTTCCCCGAAGTTCGTCCCTCAAATCATCGGTTACGGAGGCTACGCAATGAATTGGTAGTCAGCAGTTTTCCACACGCATACATTCATGTAGTCTCACCAATCAATAGCATTCGGCCATTGCCTGCCCCCATTCCAGCAGACTTTCCTCTGTCTCCTTTCAATACTTCATCAATAATCCTCATGTAGTCAGGAGCGCCTCGGTAAAGGGCTGCCCGTCTATTTTTACCGAAATGTGTTTCCAAAACATCAGCCTCTGCAATGTGAATGGAAATATTAAGAACCTAAAAAAGGCTTGTCAGTCACAGGTAAAAGGTCACCGCAAAGAAGCACTAACATAGCCATTACCCGACACACCGTCTTCTAAAAGCTGATTTAGTAATTCGCTACCCGATTTGACAAATTCTGTTGACTTTAGTCCACTTCACGCACGCTCTGAGAGACAATGGCACTTACCCAACGACTTTGCAGTCCATATTAACTTTACATGGCGGACATTAGATGTGCGGGTATCGTAAGCGTGAATTATTTCTTTTGCATACGGGACAATAGCTGCAATTCCTGCTCCGCTCGCCACCAGCAAAATATCTTGAAAACAACCCACTGGTTGGTTGATGCCATGAGGTCCAGTAAAGAACGCAGGCAAGGACATGTAACCTGTACCAGCCCTTTTCTCAAGACGAACGAGATCTGCAGAAAGCGTTCCATTAGGTTGGATTATGAGGTCAAGGACCTGTTGCCTCTCCTGACGTGACCATGATGTCACCATGAATGGGTGCATTTGTGCCCATGACCATATATTGATTGTTGGCAACCATATCTTGATGTATTGCCCAGGCGAAATCTCGAGTGGTCTGGGCAGAATAAGGCACATTTTGGTAAGCCTTTCGCTTTGTACTTGAGATTCAGTGTCATCTTTGCGGAGGTCTGTTGCTTGATTTTCTATTTCGCTTGCTATAACCACACAAGGCATCCCATTGCCAGAGAAAAGACCGTTGCGATAGAGAAAATAGATTGTTTGAATCAGCGATGTGCACGCAAGAACCCCGAGGGCAATGTATAAACAAGTTCGACAAATTAAGCTATCATTTGGGATATGGCACCAAATCCCATAGATGGTTGTAATAGTAAAGGCCTGGTGAGACCGCAAAAATAATTTATACGAAAACCGTCTGAAGTAAGGTAGTGCAAGTATCGTAAGCACACCTAGCGAAGTCGCAGCCTATAATGATATGTTAGAAAAAGGTAAACATTTGGAGGGCATTTCTCCGATTACAATCGTTCTTGCAACCAGTTGATCATTACCACCAACCACACTGGTGCGAGCTTGTGTGAGCGCGTCAGGCGTTATGAGCGCAACTGCAATATGGAATACCAATGAAGCAATGACTATCCAGCCTACGGCCCGGTGTATGCGCTGACAATTCCTAAAAGATAGGCCTATAATATCAGCCATATAGCTTAGGTGCGTAGCGGGTATAAGGAATATGAAGTTAATCATAGCGAGAACTCCTGCCCTTCGGCTGGAGTCAGTCAGCGATATGAAATGAAAAAACATAAGAAAAACATTGACCGTGGCATAGCTCGTGTGTAATGCAACGCTAGCTCGAGTCAACGGACCAAAATATTTATGACGGTTAACAACATAAGGATAAGTAAGATGCCGGGAAAGTAGCACGGTTATTGCGTAAAAATGTGGCCTTAGGGAGTGAATGGCTACTAAGCTAGCAAACAATCCCACCATTATAAGAGCATAAATAGCGAGAGTGTCCATAATATCTTTTACCAGTGTCCTAAGAGCTAGAGGTAATAGCGCTACCCTCAGTATAAAACACGGGCAAAGCACCCTGTACGAAGCTTGCGCCAATCGAGATTTATTCACTGAGAGTAGAGGTAAGATTGAACAACCGGATGAGACAAACAACATCACCCCCGCGACTGTCATGACTCTTTATGAGCTGATTGGAACTCGAAGCTTACATATTTACCCATCAAAGTTCTTACTTCTACTAGTACCTACCATCGGAAGCTGTTCCACGAAGTCTCGCCCGCTTTAAAAAGATTTTCCCTTAAGAAAAGAAGACAAACAAAAAAATTCCTTGTGAAAATCAGCATAGCACTAAACTAATTAAGGGTCGCATAAATGAGAATAGTCTGTAAAAAAAGAAGTGATACACACACAATTTATTAACGCCCGGCGGCTAAGCCGAAAGGGCAACTATCTCTGATCTACTATACATGTCATAATATGTATAGTGCCGTGTCTCCTCAAAGCCCATACATAAAGCCTTGCAATATATGTCATCTCAGATGTCCGTGTCGCAGCGGATCCTCGTGGGTTAGTAATTTTGTTAGTAGGCTGAAGAAGTGATACAGTGATATTCGAAATCAGCTTTACCTCGACAGTTACTACGCAAAAATTTTAACACCCTCGGCCCCCACCCCCCCCCCTAAAATTATATAATTTTCTGCCGGTATAAAACTCCATGGATTCAAACTATCTATCTAGTACGGCGTATACCACCCCTAACTCTCAATAATAGCTTCCACCCAGTTCGGCATAGTCTCAGATAGATGCCTTTGGTGATCTAGATCTAACTAATTCCCATACAAGGTGCCCGTGGGCTGGAAACTTTGGCATTGGATCGTTTTGCCGAAGTCGTACTGAATCACCCCACTTTGACCGTCGGAAGGAATGCTGACCACAATGTCGCCAAGGCGAAGCAAATATCATTATTGAGACTTGGGGATCCCCTTCCGATACCAGCCATCAAACCGATTCGAATGTTCGGGAAGCTATGCATCATGTCTTCTACGACCCTTGCTGCTGAAGACGTGCCGTATTCTCCCATATGTAGAACCGATATCACAATATTATGTTTACCCATTCTACCCAAGGTGTAGTCGTTTTTGTTCTGAGGTGATAAATACTCCGGACCTTCGTGCTTTTCATTGAGGAAGGCTTGAGCAGCAACATATTCAATGTTGATGGCGCAAATCCAGCCCACGGTGTAGTCCTTTGGATCAGACGTCTCGGAGCTGGGCTAGGGTGCGTATTGAAGTGCGAAGTGGGAAGAGCTAAGACTGCGAAGAGCTTGAACTCTTCTTATCTTATTGCTTCCTCCTTAAACAGCACGGACGCGGGGCATACCTCCTGCCCGTTCAGTCACGTGATACTGTCATACAGTTGAGAAATTTGTCGAATACCAGGTCCAAATACATGGTAGAAACCAGGTATTATACCAGAAACGTCATTTACTATGGTGTTATGGGTGGCCCACTCACTGGTGAAATACGTTAACGTATTCGGCAAGCGAGTGGCCACCTTACCCCCCCAAACACATAGTAAATGCGATAAATTATAACTTGTCATCTCAACAACGGCAGTCTATATAAAGATTTCCTTATAACTTAATGCTTTTTAGGTAGTTTCTAGCCTCTCTAGGGAGTTTGGGGAATATATTTGACTTTGTGGTTGTGATATATATATTCTTAGCGTTCTGCACTGTAATTTTCAATACCGTAATAATGCACGTCTTCGATTCTTTTTAAGATTGATATATAGTATTTAAAATTCTTATCAATAGCTATCAATAGGTAATGAGATCAAATACAAACGTGGTTGTTGAGATATCAGGTTGTAATTTATCGCATTTACTATGTGTTTGGGCAGGTGGCCACTCGCTTGCCGAATACGTTAGCGGGTTTTTTATTTTAGTTAAAGTCATCAACATTGACCATCTATACCATACATTGTTCGTACACCAGCTTTCTATCACTACACTCAAAACAGTCAAGATCCTGAGGCTCACAGCTACCAATATACACTACGATATCTCCGTTTCACCAGGCGGTGGCGAAGCTCGCCTGTACATAGATATTTTCCTAGTTGTGATATTCTGCTTATCGTTCAGGTTCAGTGAATGGTGCGTATGTGACGACATTGTAGCCAGCTATCTCGCAACACTATACATACACCCTAGGCCTTTTCGCTTCCTAAACAACCACCGCCAAACTCCTAAAACAAAAAAGTCTCCACCCTACTTTTCCCTCCCCTGAACAAGAAGTCTAGGATCCCAAAGAGTGATTTTGTCTCAGTCCATGGGTACAATATATTATTCTAATACACAATGAATATTCAAGCCTAGCGCAAATGATCTAGATAGTTCGCAAAAGTGCTTTCCAAATCTTTTCTCTCGTCTGCTTTTCTTTTGACTTCATCCATGAAGACTTGCTTTAGTAGGTAAATACGATAGTAATACACACAGAAGGCAATCCCTGCCGCGAAAACGAAAGACCCGGTAACAAATGCCGTAGTGGTTGACGTTACCGACCATGAACCTGCGCGATTCGTGTATACGTTGATTATAGTGTTGGCGAAGCCCGTAAGAGAATTAATGAGAACAGGTCTATAGAGTATTTAGCCCAACTTCCGTTCACATTCCCCCTTCGACATACAAGAATATTTTAGATTTAAGCCACAAAAAATTGGGGTTCGTTCTCCAGAGCCAAATATGACCACATAACCCAAGCAAGCAGACGACTCCGGCAATAGTTAGTAGTGGGATGTTGAGAACCAATTTATATGTAATCTCCCCTATGCCATTCTTGCCTGCTGATGATCGGAGCGAGTTTGAGGTTTGTAATGAAGTGAGTGTATTTGGGAAAACCAGATAACCCGCAAGAAGAATCCAGGAGAAAGCCGCAGCGAGAATGTTCTTCAGTAAATCTACATCCTCATACTCAAGTATCATTCGTGGGTACGCAGTTGGTAGAGGAGGCTTTCTGGCTTCCGGAAAAGTGTTCTTAATACTTCTCAGTATTCTATGGTAGAAAGCAAAGCCTCGCGAATAATATTGCGCCTTGCATGCCATCCCAGCTTAAAGTCAATGAAGCCTAACTTGCCAGTTTGCGCCTGATAATTCCTCCGCATAGATTGCGTCTTATCTTTGTCTAAGATAGCAGGGCTCAATTGGCTTCTGCGGCAATACACAAGCCTTAGTGCGGAGTCTTAGCTTATATGTGAGTGATTCTTGGAAATTATGGTCCCTAGAGTTCCTTGCTGTTTACTGGGGCAGAAGTCTTGCTCGAAATGAAGATGGAGCGGAGAAAGGAAGGTACATGTCTTTAAAAATGGCAGATGCATCATTTGGAGGCTTCCGAGATGTCGGAATACGGGTTTCATGATTATTGAGGCCCTCAATTTGAGGCCAATGGTGATATCCAAATTAGTCTTTTCAAAAAGGTTATAGAGTACCGCAGGTAAGCCTTCGACTAACTTAATTGTGCGAAAGCATAGAGTCGCTTACATTATCAACCCACCTAGGCATAATCTAGGTCATGACCGTGCCATCTAGTGAGAAAATTTGAAGAACGCTGAATGTCAGCCTTGTTGTGTTCAACCCAGCGCCATTTGAATGCCAGGTGAAACCGGGTGAGTAAAAGACTAAAAATATTATTGGATTATGTCGGCCTTCCTCTCTGTCGGCTCATACTGTTAGTCTAAGTTGAAAATTCGTGAGATTCCGCTCCCCCTCTTACCGTCACATTTTCCGTACCGGCTAATATATCAAACAGCGCATGAAAATGAACATATCAGCAGAATGCAAGTCCAGCCCAAGTAAATCAGTTCAAGAACCCTATTTCTTACTGCCCTCTAAGGCAATCTGAATCGGCACCATTTGTACGTCTGCCAAAAGTGACGCGTCTCTTAGCTGCACCCCGACTTTCGCAGTTACCGCATAAAAATTAGTGACCATGACCGTAAACCGGCTTCAATTATCTATATGAAACGAGCTTTTAGTTCCCAAATCTTTGAACTCGTTGGAAATTGGGATTTACTTTCTAACTGCGCTGGATACCCCCATTTATTTAATCGTCTATTACCAAAGCTGGTGGATAAGCTTATTATAATGCCTTTAGCTCCAGTCATACCCAATATTTATTTTACTGTAGCGCTTCTGGCTAATTCTGTTTTCTCAATGGACGGCAACCGTGGAACTATCACCTTACATAATAACTGCCAGTTTCCTTTATATGTGGAAGGAGTCGCAGGGGTTTCGTACCTCAAGACTGAACTTCAACCAGAGACTAATATCTCTGATCCATTTCGACTGACTATCAATGGCACTGGGAACTCCGTGAAGGTTGCAACCTACGACGGAAGCTCCGATATCACCCAAATAGAATACAGTGCGTGTTTTCAAAATGATAGGCATATCAACTGTCATCCGTCTAATATGATATTCTACGATATTTCTAAGATTAATGGACTGTCAAATACGGGATACGGAATACGCATTGTGCCAAGCCTTCAGGGATGTGCCACTGTCGATTGCCCCTCTGGGGTTGAAAAGTGTGACATGGTCTATTACCACCCCCACGACGACTATGCCACCAAAGCCTGCGATGTACGCGCAGATTTGAATGTCGAGTTTTGCGCAGCATGAATAACCTTTCCGCAGACCTCGATTCTACAATCCCCGTGGCTTGGCAGTCTGGATGATAGTGGTTGCCCGCTAATGTATTGGATGAATTGGGTATTTTAAGCGATCTTGGAAGGGATCAGCAATTTACATCTGACTGTACTATGTTTATTTACAACATTTATCGTGCTACTAATCAGTATTAACAGTATCATTGCTGGATTAGAAGTATGTCACTAGAAGGTGATTAGCCCTCATCTTGTAGCATGCTTATGGTAGTTGTACTTGAGCCAATAACCTTGCACATGCATAGCGATTAAGGTATTTGGTTGGTGGTTAGTTGGACTGGTGCTGCTCACGACTATATACAAGTAAATCGAGGTCTTCCTCCGTAGCCATCTTAAGATGGCCGCAATATTGTTGTTCTGGACAAGATTTGGTTGTGAAGGACTCATAGGTGGAGGTGTTGGCTTCACCCTCCCTTCCTCTCGCTTTTCCTATGAGAATAATTGTGACCACTCGGTCCAGTCAGGCTGCCTGGTCTTGATGTGCCCAGCATCCTTCATCGAGACCAGCGATACGCTTAGTATGTCGACAGGCTTCATCAATCAAAGCTTTACTTCGTACAAGATCTCGAAGCCCATCTAGCCCATGGCTTGCAGCCCTTTGTACTGTATTATCTAATAGTATTTCTCGTTACAGTTGTTTTCGAAATTAGTTATACCTCCCCATTCTTACGAATTCTTTCCTAAAAGATAGATCGAAGAGGTGCTAATCTGCTTTCGGCTACCGCTTTATGATGTAGGCAGAATGTCAATTGTAATTGCTGTACCGAACGGATGAGTCACCGTTATGATACCGTAAAGCCCCATAGAACTTCGCAGAATCGATAAAAGCGATCTGGCATGATCGTTGGCCTGCTCTCTTCTTGCCTACTGTATCTGTCTTCCTCATTCTTCCCTTCTCCGTCGCCGGCTTCATACTACGCCTAATAACCATTATAAAGAAAGGCGCGCTTATGCTATAGAGCGAACTCTAGTAGGCACGTGTATTTCTCTATCTGCATGGCTTGGATACCTACTCGCTTGTATCTGTTCCCTCGCTACGTCAATTGCCCAGCTCTCCCAATAAGCAAACTGGGTGTTTTCTAGTGACCTTTTTTGGTTGTTAGAGAACCGAAGTGATCGAAGTCGATTTTGAAACCTCAGCAGGTGTCTACCTATGATGGCGCGTATCGATACTCAGCCGCTTGAAGACTCTCTTTTCAAGGTCATTGGCAAATTTATGCACTATCACGCTGTATCACGCGAGTTAGTGGACGCAGCCTCCGAGACTATCCATACCTTATCGCTGGCGCTGAACAATATCAAACTATCCACTCAAGAAGAATTGCGACCTCCCTATATCATCAACCAACTGAAAGACTCACTTGATTGGATAAAACGTAAGAACAGCGAACTTCAAATCAGGCTCCAAAGCTGACAAGCGTTTTCAGTAAACAAGTTTATAGAAGAGCAACGACTTAAAAGGCCTTACCCCTTGTTCTTATATAGGGCGCATATGCATGGCGAATTATATCCTCGCTTCGTTGATTGCATAGCAGAACGATACTGTGATTCATTCGGATCGGATGATCATATATTTCAAGAATGGGAGAGCGAAAGTGAGCTCAGCGAGCCTATCATGGCAATGGAGGAAAGACTCTCCACAGTGGCAGAATTAGCGGATGAGGTCGGAAACCACCTTCCTAGAAAAGCTAGAAGTTACGTAAAAAGCATTAGCCTATAACGAAATCTCTATATAAACTGCCGTTGTTGAGAAATCAAGCTGTAATTTATCGCATTTACTATGTGTTTTGGGGTGGGCGGCTCGGTGGTGAAATACGTTATAATTTCACTCACAGACAGTTCGTCCATTTTATCTGTATGTTTCAAAATATAAACCACGTAGGTAAATAGGGGATGAAATACCGGATTGATCCCAATATTCTTAGATGTGGAAAAACTTTTGCTGAAAGATTGGTGTCTAATACCAAGGTACGAATACATGGTCGAAACCAGGTATCATACCGGAAACATCATGTGACATTGGGTACCAGGCATACCATACAAAGTGCATATTACAGTTAGTCATCAATGTCCGCACAGCTTGTTGAAATAGCGGGTTTTTGTTATTCTTGCTAAACGTAATATATAGTAACTACTCGAAGTCATATGATTGTTCGTACACTAGCTTTCTGTCAATTGGAATTGGCCTTGGCCTTTTTTGCCGGCTAACCACGGTAGGTTCAAGGACGAAAATGAAGGCGGGGATGTCTTCCTAAAAGTAATGGGCAAATACAATAGTCCTTTAAGTTGCATGGCAGATTACGGAGCCCTCACTATAACAATTTTGACGATTCATTGTTTTAAGTTATGTAGCACTTCCCTACCAAGCCAGTGGCGAGCGAGGCCTTTGAGCCTCTCAGAACGCATGTTACAGTACGATGGGTCTATCAAATGAGTGATGTCTACCAAGATGACAGCAGTATATCATGAGGAAAACGGGTCCTTCCACACTATTAAAAGCATCGTGTGATTTTCCACCAACCAACATTCCATAAATTTAGGCTAATCTGCCAAATGTATGCTCTCGTTATCCGCTTCCTGAAAGGCTCGCATCCAGTCGAACAAAAAGCCGATGTGTTCTCTATCAACCCATAATGTAATCTGATATTGAGTGATTGAACGTCGTTGTCGGTGAATCTTTCTTTCATCTAATATCTCAGGATTGAGAGTATCATCCTTGGTTGATATTAGTGATATATTTCCAGGTTTTACTGCATCACTGACCTCGCTTTCATCCGAAGTGTGCGTGGATTGCTCGGTATCGCAATCAGGGGGTTCATAATCAGAATCATCTTCTGGCTTGGTTAATTGAATGTCATCTGGAACAACGAATTCTTTGTCAGACTCGGTTTCTGAACAAGATGGTTCATCTTCGTCATCAGTGAATTGAATGTTAATGCTTTTTTCCTCTTCCGATAGCTCCCGAATGATACCTAGTGCAGCTGGACTGCGGTAGGGAAATTCTGTGTCCATAGCGATCTGTGTCTAGTATAGTTGGCAGTGATCAACCTCTTGCAGCATAAAATCAAGACCAGAGAGTGTAGCAATCAAGTATAGATTGGGTTGTCTCGAATTAAAATTATATACACTCATACAGGACAGCCGATCTATATTTTCTCTTCAGACGTAGGGATCAAATTAGTGCATGTAGGAGAAAGGTCGGACCGCATTTCCTTCCGAGAGATTACCTTCATTGGGATGTAATTAAACTGAGGGCATATTTATTTCACAAAACTGTCTTGTAACACAAACATGTTGAACCCAGAACAGTTAGAGCAACGCTGGGCCAATTTCAGTTTATACGAGGATAGGTAGTGGACTGCAGTCAACTTGAGCCTCAATGGCTAAATGCCACAGTAGGGACCGCTTTCGCCTTCCATGTGAAATAACAGAGAGGAGCTTTGTCAAACCCTAATCACATGCGGTGCCAAGCCGTATACAGTGATATTTGAAATTACCACGAGACCGTTGGACCACCCCGCCCCCCCCCCAAGTTTATGAAACACATTCATCTGTTCAATCGGTTTATTATATTCTAACAGAAAGCTGGTGTACGAACAATGGCACCCAATCAGGAACTTGAGGTTGAGCGATCGCGATCACTAAGGACAGCGAAAGGGACAACCGATAACCAGATAGGTTGCGGAGGTAGAAATCGCGTAACTCCGCATTTTGTTCCTTCGCAACTTGTCGAGCAGCTTTCTTAGACCACCCCACGGACGCTAGCGCCCGGCTGATGCTTTGAATCGACACATGTTTCCCAAATTCATCCCAGAGGAAGAGAGCCATTTCGTCTTGATATAAGGCCGGCTTCTCCATTAAATGTTCGCAAAGCGCTTCTAGCATAGGTGGTGTGATACTCCGCGGTCGTCCAACGCCATTTCGAGGGGCTCTAACGTTCCCGAACACTCGCAGGTTGGAGCGAATGTGGAGGATAGATTGATTGCTACAGTCCGCGGCACGAGCCATCTGAGACGATGTTAGCGAGTTACTCTGGAGCATATGATGGATAAATTCGAGACGATGTGGTTTCAAATTCGGCGCCATTCTGGTTAGTGTGAGGCGGCTATACCTCCTGCTGCTAACTTACGTGGACTCTCGACGCGAGATCATAAGCTTCCCTACGGACCGAGAATAATCCGAATGGAATGACATCATACAGGGCTGGCAAATGGCGCTGAAGTGACCGTGGTTGAGGCTGGTTGAGGCTGGCTCGGGCCGACGGTCATTCCGATGACCGGGCCAAAAGCTGACATGCAGACACGCGATCCGTGTGACTTGAGGTCGTTCAACCCCACACGTTCCTTCTGAGTGCTCAGGTTCCTTTACTTCCATGAATCATGGGTTCAACCGCATCATTCCGTGGCTCTAATTATGGATCACAGATAGGGGCCAACTACGGTTCGGTCACGAACGAGTTTCATCTGCCATGGAGTATTTTACGAGTCTTTATTCCATGTCGGTCGTGCTAACCTTTGTACAGATCTTGACGACAAGTTATCCCCTGTGCCTGGGGCTGCGTTCGATTCATACGTAGATCAGCATGAAGATCGATGTCTTCCCGGCACAAGAACCGATCTCCTCTCACAGATCAGCGAATGGGCTGCGTCACCACAGGCCAGATGCATATTCTGGTTGAGTGGAATAGCGGGAACAGGAAAATCGACCATCTCTCGAACCATGGCAGAATCATTCAGCCTATCCCAATCACTAGGAGCAACCTTTTTCTTTAAGAGAGGCGAAGGGGATCGAGGGAATGCAAGGAAATTTTTCCCGACAATCGCAAGGCAGCTGGCGATCAATATTCCTGAGATCGCTCCAGTCCTCCAGGAATCAGTCTGCGAGAACCCAGGTATCATAACAAAAACAATGCGGGAGCAATTCGAAAAACTCCTTCTTCAGCCACTCCACAGCATCGAGCGCTCTAAAACCCCTACTCTGGCTATCGTGATAGTAATTGACGCATTAGATAAATGTGAAGGAGATGGCGATATTCGGCTAATACTCCAACTTCTCCCCCGGCTACAAAATCTAGCGGCTAGGCGTCTACGAGTTCTCTTAACTAGCAGACCTGATCTACCGATTCGTCTTGGGTTTTTGAAGATTGCCAATGATGATCATAGTGACTTTGTTCTCCATGACATCCCTCTTGAAGTGATCAAGCATGATATATCGCTATTCTTTGATTACCGATTAACAGAGATCAGAACAGAACGCTTCTTACCATCAAACTGGCCCGGCGACGAAGGTTTACAGAAGCTAGTGGCGTTATCTATTCCGTTATTTATTTTTGCTGCAACTGTCTGTCGGATATTTGAGGAACTTGACTGGGACCCGGTGGACAGTCTTTCTGAGATCCTAACACGCCAACATGCCCAATCAAAGCTGGATAGTACGTATCTTCCAGTCCTTGATCGTCTTCTCGGCAGACAACACGAGAGACATAAAGAAAAACTGGTTTCCCAGTTCCAGCAAGTAATCGGAGCCATCGTGACGCTAGAGAGTCCACTCTCGGTTCCCTCACTTGCAAAGCTTCTGGACCTCCCGGAGCGGCTTGTTCGTCTTCGACTAGACCCACTTCACTCGGTGCTTAGAGTGCCAGATAACGAAACGCTACCCGTGCGGCTTTTTCACTTGTCATTTCGAGACTTTCTTCTTGATCCAGAGACCCGGGAAAAAACCCCTTTAGGGATAAACGAGACAGAGACGCACTATAAGTTGGCTAAAAAATGCCTCCTGATGTGTCAAAGTCTACGAAAAAATATCTGTGGCCTGCCAAGTGATGGAACCGAACGTACAGAGATTGATCGCCAGACTGTCGATAGCAGTCTTCCTCCGGAGCTACAGTACGCCTGTCGATACTGGGCATACCATATGGTAAAATGCGCCAACTCGGAGAATATGATATATAGTGCTTTATTATTACTCAAGAGGCATTTCCTACGGAAACATTTCCTACATTGGGTGGAAGCAATGAGCCTCATCGGTCTTACGTCGGAAATACTAGTTAGGCATTCTTGATCAGCTGCAAGCGACAATATCTGTAAGTTGTATAGAGAGGTGATATAGTTCAAACTAACAGCTCTAGGGCAATGACCCTCCTTCAACATCGGATTTTCTTCACGATGCAAAGCGATTTATTCTGAAAAACTACCAGATTATTGATCTAGCGCCCCTTCAAGTTTATTGTGCAGGCCTTATATTTGCACCCCGGACAGCAATAATCCGTGCACAGTTCAAACGAGAGATTCCAACTTCGATATGCCAGTTACCACGAGTCGAGGAAAGATGGGGCCCCGAACTACAGACGCTCGAGGGTCATTCGGGTTTCGTTGAGTCAGTGGCCTTCTCGCCCGACGGCCGACTACTCGCATCTGGCTCTGAAGACAAGACAATACGGCTTTGGAATCCGGTGACCGGCACGCTCATCCAGACGCTCGAAGGCCATTCGGGTTCGGTTCAGTCGGTATCCTTCTCGCCCGACGGCCGGTTGCTGGCGTCCGGCTCTGGAGATAGGATAGTGCGGCTCTGGGGCCCTGTAATAGGCGAGCTCACCTAGACGCTCGAAGGCCACTCGAGTTCGGTTCTGTCGGTGACCTTCTCGCCCGATAGTCGGGTGCTGGCGTCCGGCTCTAGAGATAAGACAGTACGGCTCTGGGATCCAGCAACGGGCGTACTCACCCAGACGCTCGAAGGCCACTCGAGTTCGGTTCTGTCGGTGACCTTCTCGCCCGATGGCCGGCTGCTAGCGTTGGGTTGCTACGATAAGACCATACAGCTCTGGGATCCAGCAACGGGCGTGCTCACCCAGACGCTCGAAGGCCACTCGAGTTCGGTTCTGTCGGTGACCTTCTCGCCCGATGGCCGGCTGCTGGCCTCCGGCTCCTTCGATAAGACAGTACGGCTCTGGGACCCGGCGACAGGCGCGCTTAGCCAGACGCTTGAAGGCCATTCGCGTTCATTTCAGTCGGTGACCTTCTCGCCCGACGGCCGGCTACTGGCTTCTGGCTCCGAAGGTAGCATAGTGCGGCTCTGGGATCTAGCAACGGGCGTGCTCACCCAGACGCTCGAAGGCCACTCGAGTTCAGTTCAGTCGGTGACCTTCTCGCCCGACAGCCGGCTGCTGGCCTCCGGCTCCTACGATAAGACAATACGGCTTTGGGATCCGGCAACGGGTGCGCTCACCCAGAGACTAGAAGGCCATTCGAGTTCAGTTTGGTAAATGTCCACCTGATTAAGAACTCATGCTGCAGACGAAAAGTTTGCAAAAACTCGCGAACGAGACACTACAGGCTTGGCAAACTGACACAACGTCCAGCAGCCAAACATATTCTTTCCATTAGCTTCACTATAACCAATCGTTATGATTCCATAAATCCACCAATTACACAATTGTAACCCTGTCATTTCCTTTGTAATAAGAACCGACCTCGAAGAACCACTAAAATCCGTCTATTTGCTTCCCTATCCAAGCAATCAGCGATATTTGAGACCTTTTATATTTGTACAACTGTATCTAACGAGATCCCTTATTAGCTATGAACGGACCCCATTACTTTCTCTCCGTATTATAACGCCTTGAATATTCGTCACTTTTTCTTCTTATGCCCGTACTAAGAAATAAATCCTTTATTCGCCTTTCTGCTCTATTTCTACTTGAATCTTCCATATGCCGTCAAATAAAAACTTTCCTACAGTTTTACATATTCGAGACTTCATTGAACAAGTCGAGCGAGACCCCACACGACCCGGAAAGGGACTTGCTTTACAACTTCGTATTTCACTCAATATTCCCGAGAAAGACACTCAATCAGACGATGTAGAGCAACAAGATATACCGACTATGATCCGTTTCTTCTCCGACCATGGACGATCCGATATATACAACGAAAATTGCTTCATTTATGCCTAGGGTTCTTTCTTAACAGCCACGACACAAGACCAAGGATTCCATATCCTTCTCCACGCTCACACTGTTGATCGGTACGTAACGTTCAGTAGTCTCCCAAACACATACTGAATTTCGCTAGACATCCTAGGAATCATGAAGACTCTGATTCATACTTTATACACTGCCCTGAGGCTGCACAACCAACCGTAACCTTCCTAGGCATTATTAATAAGCACGCAGGGGAACTCAACAACGGTTCAACGCTACTCCACTACTGCCTACAAGTAACGGTCTATAATACTTCTTCTCGAACCCAACACACATTCCCAATCACTATATACTTCAAAAATAGTCCACGGTGGGCAAACTTCCCTTAATTAGCGCCACAAACCCAGATATTCGTTACAGGACGCATATTCGGCACTAATAAAGAAAGCCAACAACTGGCCATACTAACGGACGATATACACTTCCTACCCAGTATATCGCCGCCTATACCACCAAGTCCAACTTCAACAAAGGGTAAACGAAAGCGACCTAACCGTTGGGCCCAACGAGCTGGACCCAGCACGCCGTCCAGCTCATCCCAGATCCATGGTACACTCTCCACCCTTACATGCCAAGATGACCCTACTACCACTTCCACCGATCCGGTCACTCCTGACCATACGGAACTTGCAATCTCAGAAGAAGATGAGACTCCAATGACATAGCCAGATACAGTATGTCCCAAAACTGGTGCGCCCACCTACACTCTTCCATTGTGTTTCAGACACTAATGCCAAGATACACTAGTCTAAAATAGCACTAGAGCCGGAACATCAATATTCCTGCATTATTCGTGATACAGTACTGTACTCTACTTAAACTACAATACATCGTTCCGTACTTGTATCCGTAATCGATAATCACTGGAACCTTCTATACTGAAGCAAATAGTTTAAACATATGAGCCAGAGAGAGCCCTGCCGACCGGTTGATGAAATCAACCTTTTACTGTATTCCTTTCTATTCGTTATTCTCTCTGTGTTCCCGACATAGCAGGCGATACCGGTCGCTACTGTACTACTACTTACTACCACTACTATTGTAAACAGATAATTCAAGCGAGTAAGATATCCAGATTCTCAGCCATCCTTTGAGCAGTTCTGACTAGATTACAGACTCGATGAGATACCAGGTTTGTCGTTGGCTTGCTCAGCGATAACTGCCTGCGATTTGGAAAGTTCTTGCGATAAGATCATGATTTCCTGAGTCTGCTCCTCAATTGTACGCCGTTGTCTCTGAACGAATTCGGAAAGGTACTCAATTTCACCTTTCGCGCGTTGAAGGTTCAGGAGGAGGCCCGGTGCGGCTACTCCGTAGACCCCAGGCAGTCCCGCAGCCAAGTAATCGACTGCAGGGGCAAGCCCTTCTAAAGCAGTGGCCGTGCCTTTGAGAGCGGCGCTTAGTAAAGGGTATAAAGGTCCCTCTTGCCCCTTGGTTGGTAAGCATCTAGTGCCCTGATAGGGTCGACCCGAATTTTGCCACATTCGATCGATCTGTGAGCCCCAAGCTTCCGTATCAGCGGATGGCACGAAGTCGGCATTAAAAGAAGGCATGATTGGAATAATCTCTACAGTTGTTTATAGCTCTCGCACCTACGCGACACTTGTGCGTTTCTATAGCGGGGTGAAACTGGTGTAATTGGACTCACCTCGGGAAGACACTGAGTGGTGAACATAAAACCTTAAGCATACATCGATGCAAATTGAGCAAACATGGCAGCCCTTGAAAGGGCAATCTGTCAACAGTTCCACTCTCCACGACACAAAAATGATTGGTTGTGGGAGCATTTTGACTTCGCCTCACTTTTTAACCCCGCTCTCCACTCCTGAACTAGAGCATTTCATTCCCCAAACTTAGGCCGTATAAGGAATCTGTTTGTCTCATGTTCAGAGAAATTCATAGGGTATTCGATCTTCAAACTTAAACGTTCTTTTTTCTCATCATGGCAGCCAGGTCCTTACTATCCCATGGCGATTACACGGTCGGATGGATATGCGCTTTACCCTTGGAGATGGCAGCCGCAAAGCTGCTGTTAGACTCCATACACCCGAGTCTACCACGGCCGCCGAAAGACCAAAATACGTACATTCTGGGAAATATCGGGGATCACAAAATTGTTATTGCCTGTTTACCAATCGGTGCTTATGGAAATGTATCAGCTGCTACAGTAGCGATGCAGTTGCTCTCCACTTTCCACTCTATCCGGTTCGGTCTAATGGTCAGTATCGGTGGAGGGGTACCAACCAGCAACGCAGATATTCGACTAGGCGACATTGTGGTGAGCCAGCCAGCGGACACATCTGGAGGCGTGATTCAATACGATCTTGGCAAAGCGTTAAGTGGTGGTCAATTCCAGCGAATAGGGATGCTGAATCGGCCACCTAAGGTCCTGCTGACTGCCCTCGCTACACTCCAAGCTCACCACTTCACCGCAGACAGTCGAGTCTTTGAATTCATATCCGAAATCCAAGCCAAAATAAAATCGCGGACGGCTGCGAATTTTGCACGACCGACTAAGGGCGACTTTTTATACCAAACTGAATATGACCATAGAGCATCAGCTACGTGCGTCGATTGTGATAAGTCAAAACTGATTCTACGGCCTTCTCGGGATCATGAAGAGCCAGTGATTCACTATGGACTGGTGGCATCTGGAAATCAAGTAGTGAAAGATGGCAAACAGAGAGATCAGCTAGCTCAGGAGCTAGGAGTGTGCTGTGTGGAAATGGAAGCGGCCGGGCTTATGAATGACTTTCCTTGCTTAGTCATCCGGGGCATTTTGCGACTATGCTGACTCACACAAGAACAAGGAATGGCAAGGATATGCGGCAGCAGTGGCAGCAGCCTATGCTAAGGACCTTGTTTTAATGGTTCCAATCGACCAGATTGAGACTACTCCAACAGCACGAAATACTCTAGCAGACTCTGGTAAGAGTTTCTAAATCTAAATTCGTGGCACTCCTTAGTTGTCTGATATGAATTGATGACTAAATCAAGCTTTCCGTGTATAGTCCACCGCTTCAACATCCCCCTGGACCTTACCGCAGTTCCTGTGATTGAGGAATTTATAGGGCGACAAAACGAGCTAGATAATCTATGGCAGTATCTCCAACCAACAAATTCGTCATCGCGGAAAGTTGCAATCCTTCATGGGCTTAAAAACACAGCTAGCGATTCGCTTCGCGCGAGATCGTAAAGATGATTTTACGGCTATCTTCTGGCTTAGTGGCAAGGATCGAGATACGCTCTTACAATTGTTAAGCTTTGCCTTAAACCGACTACCAGGACAGGGTTGGGATAGGGAGGCGACTAATGAAGGAGAGGTAGAGCAACGAGCCAGACATATGCTACGGTGGCTAGCATTGGAGGGCAACTCGCGCTGGCTGATCATTTTTGACAACATCGATCAATACTCCCCTTTTAATAGCGCTGCTGATAAGGGATACGATATTGCGGAATTTTTCCCCAAAGCAGACCATCGCTCTATCCTTATCACTTCTCGACTTCAAACTCTGAGTGAGCTAGGGAAGTCTTTCCCAGCTCACAGGCTTGACTCTCATAACTCAATTGCATTACTCCTACAAAGCAGTGGTTTATTAGCAAGAAACACCACCAGCAAATTTGATGTCAATCCAGGTACTAAACCACATCCAAAAAAGACGTTACAGATAATACTAATATATATAGATCTCCTTACTCTTACCAATCGTCTAGATGGACTACCTTTGGCCATTGTCATCGCCGGGGCTTTTATGCGGGAAACTGGAACCAGCATCACTAAGTACTTGCAGTACTACCAAGAAGCTTGGTCTAAGCTACAGCGGCAATCGAATCCTGGACGTCAGTACCAGCAAGGCAATATGCTACAAACATGGATGATCTCATATCGAGAAATCCAGAGGCGTGACCCAAGGGCAGCAGACCTTCTACTGCTACTTGCCTGCTTCGATAATCGTGATATTTGGTTCGAGTTATTAGAAAATGCGTCTAATAGCTCCGAAGTTCCAGATTGGCTCGAAAGAGCCATCTCAAGTGAACTTGGGTTTAGAGATTGCGTGAGACCGTTGATAGAATTCTCTCTTGTTTACACAAAGCAACAAAAGGGAAGCTATGCGATGCATCCTGTGGTACAGGATTGGTGCGTCCACATAGCCAGCACAGATAAAAGTGTGGATTCCCTCCAGCTTGATGAACTAGCACTCGTATGTGTTGGATACTCGGTCCCTAATGCAAGTGAACGCGATTATACGAGGCTAGAGCAACGGCTTATTCCACACGCGATTGCCGTACGCAATAGACAGTACTCTGCCGACAATCTTTCCATTTTGGGAGGGTTTCATGGACTTGGCAATCTCTACTCTGATAAAGGGAAGGTGAAAGAGGCAGAGGAGATGTACCAGCGAGCACTGGCAGGCTATGAGAAGGCCCTCGGCCCAGATCATACATCCACTCTTATAACAGTCAACAACCTTGGCAATCTCTACTCTAATCAAGGGAAGCTGAAAGAGGCAGAGGAGATGTACCAGCGAGCACTGGCAGGGTATGAGAAGGCCTTCGGCCCAGATCATACATCCACTCTAGATTCAGTCAACAACCTTGGCAGTCTCTACTCTGATCAAGGGAAGCTGAAAGAGGCAGAGGAGATCTACCAGCCAGCACTGCCAAACAATGAGAAGGTCGCACATCTCAATGCAAGTACGGCACGGCGGGCTATTAAGAAATTCGCTTTATTGTTTAAATAATAAGACTGCAAGAATTGCATGCCTGTAATGCAATTCGGAAAAATGGCTACATCACTGCAGTTTATCTTCTGTATGACTTAAACAGGATCATAATATCACAGCGTCAACGTAAAGAAGGCTACGGCGAAATCATTGGTATAACCGAAGCCTGAATATATCTATCCTGTGGACGGACGATGCACGAAAGATACTATTAATTTACTCAGAGTCCCGTGCGGTAGATGATACCTGTTTAATGGTTAACCTGGTATGTTTTAGATCTGTACTACTAAATGTATAGATACCCAAGTTGGTAATTTACTTGTTCCGAGTCATACCATCCACGCTTGAAACAGACATTGAAATATAACTTTAATCAAATATGGATTAGCGTATCATGTGATTAGGGTTCAAAAGAGCTTCTGTGTGTTGTTCGACATGGAAGGCGGTAGCGGTCGGCACTGTAGACGTACATATACTGCGAAACCGGTGCAACCGCCTCCACTCTTCCAGTAACTCTCAAGAGAGACTAGAATATATTAGGAATAGTCCCGAAACATCAATATTCCTGTATCAGTCTCGATACCATGATCCACTTTCATTGAATACTGTGCCTTGTTTCGTAAACAGTATTGGCGACCCTACGTAACTAGAATTTTCCATTGAGATGCAAAAATGTCAAACACTGGATCTGGGGATTGTCTCGAGAACCTACAAGATCCAGCTTGAGATATCGATCAACTACAAAGAGACAGTGGACCTGTTTTCTTCACATTCTTCAGAACAGACTGAGAGAGGAAAGTCATCGGTGGCCACACGAATGCTCGCTGACCGAGATTCTCAGATTGAAGCTAAGCAGGTCTAAGGCCAACGTTGCGTCTGACGCCACATGGATCGTGTTATGTGATGTTCGGGCCTCCATATCGCCTTGAAAGATAATATTGCTAGCAAGATCTGGGAAAAGGGCCCTCATGAAATATGTAGAGTAAGGTGGAGTTCTCGAGACCCATGCTGATGTCCCTGACAATTTTCGCGAGAGGGTAGATTCAAACAGATCGTCATCTCGGAATCGGAAAGCCTTAGCGTATATTGACAACCAGCAGTGTCCAGTTCGCAACTGCGTTAGTAAGTAGACTCGGTTTCTAGGCAGAGATCCGTAGAGCCGTCTCGTGTACTTAGCCGGCAGTGTGTTGTCAATCTGGCGCAAGTGGCCGCCGGTCTTCGACTCTTTCCACTCTCTTTCCCATTGAGCGTGAATTCCCTGCCTGATGTGTGCCCTCTCGCGTGATAGCAAAGAGCAGAACGGGTGTGTTTTGCCCGGTATGGCTGCCTCCTTGGCCAGCAGATCGGCGGTTTCATTTCCGGGAATTGAGCAGTGTCCGGGTATCCATTGTAGTCGAATCGATGTGCCGTGGGTCTCGGTGTTTCTGGCCGCTTGTAGAATGGCATGGATGATCTGTTGTCCCGATTTGTTCCCTGGGTTCTGGATGGCTTGCAGTGCCGACATGCTGTCGCTGAGGGTAGTGGCAGATCTCACTCGCATGTGAGCTGTTCTCCAGTGTCGGAGAGCGACCCTATTGATGATATTGATGGAGTACAGGATCCCAATCAGCTCGGCGGCGTGTACGGACCATCGGTCCATGGGTCCGACCCGAATTCGTATGCTGTCTGTTGTTTCCAGTGATTCGTTGAGCATGGCGGCTGCGACGCCCAGATGACCTTGTCGTCCCGAGGCGTCCGAGTATACCACGATATCCGAAGTTGACCGCGCAGCCTCGGCTCTTTCTCCGGTGATTCGGTGAGAGACTGTCCGGTGCTGATGCGGACGCAGTTCTTGTCTTTGTCGTTCTGTCGGTGGTTCTCCTGGGGTTGTAGTTTGTCTCTACCGAATGCAACGGCCGCCCAGGAGCGTGCTGGAGATGGTGCGTTCAGCTCGTTTAACTGCGTCCGTAGTGCCTGAACTTCCCCCTGTAACTTCTCGTTCTGAGCTTGGAGCTCATTCTGGCTATGTCTCACTCCTCTCAGTTCGGCCCGAGTGGCTTGTATGAGGGTGGTTTGCTCGTCGATAGTGTGTTGCAGGTGTTCGATAATATGCTGAATCTCTTTGGTTGTCACCCGTCCGCTGCTGGTTCCGGTGTTGGTCGATTCCAGGGATACCGGGGCTGCGTGGGTGTGTTCGTTTTCCACTCGTACACGTATTCTAATCCGGACTGCGGTCGTTGGTTCAAGGTTTTCCGGTTCGTCGATCCTTGTTCCTTTCTGCGTGTTTGTGGTTTCCTCTGTCGATGAAGATGGCTGGCGATGAAACGCTTGGAGCTTTTCTATTAATCGGCGCTGATCCGTTTCACGACATTCATCAAGTGCATCGAATATGCAAATCCTCTTCCATGATATGTCGGCTGATGTTGCCGCTATCAAGATCCGCCAAAGCTCGTCAACTTCTTGTCGGAGCGACCCCCCATTCTTTTCCCAGGTCGGAATGGCATGTGTCAAGAGGTCAGACTGCTGGCTGAAGAGCTGATGAAGTACCGAACATAGTGCCGTAGCAAGATTGTTTTGTTCATCATTGTCTTTAAAGAAAAAGTAACATATTCTCACATTTGGATGGGAGGTCTCTGAGTAATCATCGATTATTGATCTGGCTAAGACAGACTTGCCACAGCCTGGGTCAGCCGACACCTAGAGAAGGTTGTTGCAGTTGCTCTCCCACCAACGGATGTAGTCAGAGCTCTAGAAAGCCCATCGACAGGTTCCCTCAGCTTGTTTAGGGTTTATGTTCTTTTGCTCCGCATAGTTGACGACCTTGAACAGTTGGTAACGGCGCTGTTGATTCGTTAAGACTCTTGCTTTCTGTTCACTAAAGTGTCGTTCGTTTTGACTGTATGCTTGATCTAAGCGATGTTGGATGCCTTTCAGTTCCTCTAAGTAATGCCTAAGTCAATATTTGCTGACAAGATTATCCTCTCCTCGGCTTCAATTCTGTTGAGAGGAATTCTCTGTAGGAGATCCTTCGTATATGCAGCTGCCACCATAGCTGCATACCCTTGCCACTCTTTGTTCTTGTGTGAGTCCGAATAGTCACAGATACCACGGATGACTAGACATGGGAAAGTATTCATCAGCCCAGCGGCTTCCATTTCGAAACAGAGAACGTCTTTCTCCGCGGCAAGCCGATCTCGGATATAAGCATCCTTCATTAGCTGATTGCCAGAAGCAATCAGGCCATAGTAAATGGCAGGGTCATCTTCGTCGTCAGCGCGCTCGCTTCGTAATACCAACGTGGAAGGATCAACCGCATACATAGCACAGTCAGCTTGGTGATGGATAACTTCGGGGAGAAACAGCCTATCCGTGATTGGTTCTGGCCGTTTGTACTTCCGACGAAGTCTCATGTTCTTCCTAAAAATGCCGTTGATGGCCTCCTCAAGCTGATGCCCTTTTCTCTCGTATTGAGTTCGGATACCCGTCATTGCAGCGCGTAAAATAGCTAGTGGCTGGTTCAAGAACTGTGTGCTGAAAACTTTGGTCCTGGATCGACTTGCCAAAATCGTATTGGAACACACCACTCTCGCCATCGCGAGGCGCACTAACCACAACATCGCCCAGCCGAATATCATGGCTCTCGCTTGGTACACCCCCGCCAATCCCGACCATGAGGCCGATCCTAATGTTGTGAAAACTGTTGAGCATGTTTGTCGCTACACTAGCCGCGGAAGCTGTTCCATATTCACCATCGGGCAAGACAGCGATGACAACGTTGTGTTCGCCCATCCTGCCTAACGTATAGTCGTTGGTATCGTTTGGCGACACAAAGCTCGGTTTGTCGTGCTCTTTATTGAGGAATTCTTGTGCGGCAATGTATTCCACGGGTAAGGCGCAAATCCAGCCCAGTATACCCCGCAGGATCTGACATGGCTTCCACGCGAGAGAAAAAAGCCTGAAAATCAGTTACCCGCGTGACCTTTCGAAAGTCCTGATGTCTGTGTGTAATAGAGGCCTAACTCAAGGGGACAACATATGTCACTATGAGCAAAGGAGAGCGGAGGAGGCTTGGGAGAAGGATAGAAGCCCTGTAAGACAGGGGGAAAATGTTTGCCAACCGGGGAGGCTCAGCCTCATGATGAACGCGACGTGCAGCAGCGGGCGGTTAGAGAAACGACGCTATTGGCAGGAGCCGTCTTCTCCATCCTACCGAAGCAAAGAAATGCCAAGATCAGCCTTGGAATGCACCCATCTTGTCCAATATATTTTGTGAGGCAGTTGACGATTGTTGGTAGAGATATCTTGACTTCGATGACGTCCCATTCCTGGGGAAGTCTGTTCTGCGATATTGGCAACGGGGCGCGCGGCACCGGAACCCCCTCAAGGCCAAGTTTGGTCGACCCACTTCCACCGAAAGGGGCACTAATAACAAATCAACACCGCCTTGACCTCCCGAGGGAGGTCACGTGTTGTCTAACGAGATGGAAATACCATGATCCGCACCATCAAACCAGAATATCATATGATACTATCGGGGACAAGGACTCACTATTCTGTGATTTAGGTAAACATCAGCATCTAATCTTCGAATCATGAGGGCGGTCATAACTCTGCGTCCTTGGCCTAGGTCAAGACCGCACGTAACAGCGGAAATAAAAAAACTCTTCGAATTAGATGCAAGGGGAAAAATGATTTTACGGTGAACATAATCTTGAAATTTATTAGTTGATGTGGCTCAACGGACAATTATCCATGGAAGCAGTGACTTGAGGGCGGCAACTATCGATGGATCTTTTCTAGCCAGTCGCCTTGCGAGAAAATAATCGGTCACGTGCATTATGCAATATTGAGCAAATTCCAACCAAAAACCAGGCCTTACAATGCTGAGCTCATTTGAATTGGTACAGTCACTACGCAAAAGTTTTAACACCCCCTTTGGCCCCACCTATATACCGCCTTCTATTATAGTATACACCGCCCTATATTACGCGCTAATGAAGCTCAACTATGGCGCGTATATCTCGCGTTTTTCTACCTCTCTCTGCTCTCTCTCTCTGTGCTCTCTCTCTCTCTCTGCTCTCTCTCTCTCTAGCAATGCCTGCTAGATCTGAGCTCACCCCGGCTCTCAGAGAGAGGATATGTGAGCTTCACTCGGCTGTCCACTGGGGGTATAAGCGTATTCACAACCGGTATCCATGGATTTCTCTCTCTACAATCCGGTATACGATTAAAAAAGAGCACGAACGGCGTGCTGGTGTCACAAAACCTCGCTCTGGTCGACCAAAGAAGCTTGATGCTACCGACAAAGTACGTCTTTTGGATGCTATCTCGAACAATCCACGTATTACCTACGAAGACCTTCTTACTGAGGTATCTCATAAAGTGAAAATTGACTCAATTCGACGTCTTTTGAATGCCGAAAACCTCCGGAAATGGAGATGTAGCTGGAGGCCTTATTTAACTGAGGAAGCTGCACTTAAACGACTCCGTTGGGCTTTCCGTTACCGACACTTTACTCCTAAGGATTGGGCCCGTGTTTTTTGGTCTGATGAGTGTACGGTTGAGCGTGGGATTGGTGTTCGTCGAGAATGGACCTTTGTACGTCCAAGAGACCAGCCGAAGGAAGGACAATGTCAAGGGTTACCACACCGAGGCAAGCAAGTTAAGCAGATGTTTTGGGCTGCTTTTTCGGGAGCTATGCGTCGAACAGGGCTTATCCCGCTCTTTGGGAATCCTGATGCTGAGCGTACTGGTATTACTGGCTTTGTTATTGAAGAGTTATACCGCCGGATTCTACCTACTTTAGTATTAAATGAAGGGGCTATTTTTCAGCATGATAATGCTCCTATACATACTGCGTATGTTGTTCGGGATGCCTTACGTGAGATGAATATTGAGGTTATGGAATGGCCACCACACTCGCCTGATTTAAATCCAATTGAAAACCTCTGGGCGTTGTTGAAAGCCAAGATATATGAGCTTCGGCCTGATCTTATATATATGCGGAACAATGACACAACAAAGGAGATACTGGTGGCTACGGCGCAGCAGGCATGGGATGAATTAGATCTAGATCATCTAAAGCATCTCTCTGAGACTATGCCGAACAGGGTGGAGGCTATTATTGAGAGCCAGGGGTGGTATACGCCGTACTAGATAGATAGTTTGAATTCATGGAGTTTTATACCGGCAGAAAATTATATAATATAGGGGGTGTGGGGCCAGGGGTGTTAAAACTTTTGCGGAGTCACTGTAATTTCACTGTAAATTACAACTCGATACATTCAGGAGGGATTTTTTCATTGATACCAACTGTTGATGTGAAAGGTTACAGACCGAGCAAGAGGAAAACATTTTCATCGGCGCTGCAGGCCCGGCTACTAAGTGATTCTGTAGTCTAGAGGCACCGGTAAAGACAAAGAAAAGCGGGTTTCGCTGTCCGAGACTGTGGAGCGCCACGGCTTACAAATTATGCCAGTTTCTTTGTTCAGGTGTGCGAGGAATACGTCACACATCGCAAACCACCGTGACGCGAGTCATGATGCTTTTATTTCTTTGTTTGAAGCAAGGAACAGTTCCGCCGGGCTCTCGGAGTTCGTTCCATGCTACGACCCTTCTTTGTCTGCTGAAAGTATGAAACGGATTCCAGCAGTCCTACCCACAAATAAACAGGGGTATGCATTGCGATATAGCACAATCAAGTGAAACCACGGTGGACATTGGCGCCAGAAGAGCTGGACAACCCGCGAAGTATAAATATACTCTAAATATTCCTCCCGATATCGAAACCCAAACGTCCCAAATCCTCTCGGGCTCATCCAAACTCAAAAAGGATCAAGATATTGCTGCTTCTTCCATTATGCCCCACAACTCTAGTGTTATGTTGAACTCGGCATCCACTAGAGCACCGGCACAGAGTTCCAATACTCGTGAGCAAAGATCACTGGCCCATAACGTATGATACGCAAGGCTATGAAGCTAATCTGTGACGACAGCCCAGCAGATGTTGCGCCGGTCTTTGATCACGACTAGAGCAGTCATGGCAAAGTTACTGCCATACTATTTTATGTATTCTCTTGCGATCAGATATATCGAGGAGCAAAGTGAGTCTTTCTGAGGAGCTTGAGAAGAGAGAACAATTTGCTTATCGCTCCATTTTTATACTAGAATCCTCTACCAGACGCGAGTTAGATTTTCCCCCATATCCATGGTGGGAGGAACCGCAGTGTATTCTCGATGCCGATAGCTTTATATCTGACATCGAAGAATCAGTCAAGGACCAGCCTGAGACCGATGGATGGTTGCTGGAGCGAGGCGAACAAGATTCTTTGTTAGACCCGCACGAGCATGACGATGTTGTCGTTGCGCAGCGATTTATATCAGCTGTGGAAGACTGGCTTCACAGAGAAGTGAAATACCCGGATGAAGTGAGCCTAGTTGACGGAGATATGGACCCTTGAGTGTCCAGAAATCATTTCCTTGAGATGAAGGTGAATTTACCTCCGACTGTATCACTGTATCTACAATATTTGTCTAGAATGTCAACGAGATAAATGGGCATGTTGATGTTGATGCTAATAGGAAGAAGATGGATCAGCCGGTTGCGATGGTGTTGACAGTTCATGTCTTTATTCATTTGATTTGTTGCTCCTGTTAATTTACAGTGATATTCGAAATCAGCCTTCTCTTTGTTCCTCGGGCTCCACCCAAACCGCACTAGTCTAGATTAAGATATCTTTCCGCCAGCCTTGGATCTGCTGATATACCTTCGACGAGCTCGCGTAAATTATAGTTAGATTACATACCTTTTTTAAAATACGACAGTGTAATATGATCTCAAAGCTGCGGCTGGCGTTGATGGATCATACGGCGGCCGTGATGCAAGCTTCTTTGAAATACGAGACGGGCGACTCTCAGTTCAACTCCGTGCTGCTATTCATATAGAAAATGAAAAGTTCTCCGACGATATGAGGCAGCATGGCAAAAATCGAAAAATCGTCTCATCGGACCACCGAGATGTCGGCAAAGACAAAGGTGGACAACATTTCGTGACGAAAGAAGGGATGCTTGACTGGATTCGATATGTATGACTTTATGCTTCTAGATAACTTTCAATCAATCATATCTAATCAATGTAGGTATATGATCAAACGAGGGGCTAGGAGTTACCGGGTAACTACAACCAAGCTCTCCTGGCGGAGTTATTTCATGTGCAATCATTGCGATGGGCTGGAATTGCTCGAGAACATATCTTTGTCGTCTCCAAGATCGTTTTTCAGTTCGTAAATGCCGCGCTGGCTTACGCTATAAAAGATGGGAAGGTTCGTGGAAATATCGGGAGCCTAGTGAGCACTACATTGGAGGCAAATGTTGAAGCCGCGGAACACGAACTAGAAAGAATACTTCAAGACGAGACTCGACAGCCAATCACGTACAATCATCATTATACGGACAATCTCCAGAATTCGAGAATCGAAGCCTCGAAGAGCCTTATTGAGGGTTCTATACGTGATGCGATCCGAAATGATTAGGACGGTACTCTCTACTTGCAGAAAACAGAAAAAGACTATGTTAGATTGTTGTCATCCCTCAAAAAGCGTATCATCGTCGATATGAAGGAGCAAGTATGTTCTAAAGCAAAGACTGACTTAACTACTTATTACAAGGTCAGTTTTCGGCTTTTTTGAGTGGAAATCGCTCTGACATCTTATCTACTAGGTTGCACGTAAAACATTCGTGGATAATGTCTGTCGTTAAGTCATTGAGCGATATATCCTAGCCCGGCTGGCTGAGGCGTTAAGTCCTATGACTGTTGGCTTGTATTCGGAAGAGGAGCTTATCAACTTGGCGATTGAGTCTCCGCAATTTGAATACCAGTTACACACAGGAATGCCAGCTCAACTCTTTTCGACGGGCACTCAACCGAAACCAACTTGACAAATACCTACACAGCTTGCCTCGTGATCTAGATGAAACCTACGAACGCATGCTTTTTGACATCGATGAAACATATGTTGAGGATGTACGACGTATATTGACCGTCCTTAGTTTCGCTATCCGACCCCTCACTGTTAGTGAGTTGATCGACGCTCATGCAATGGAACTTGGTGAATCTCCGTATCTCGATCGTGATGGCAGATCCTATGAGCAAGATGATCTTGTTTATATCTGCCTTGGACTTATAGAGATAGTGGAAACCGACAATGATGATGGACAAACGATCTCGACTGCTCGCATCGCTCATTTCTCCGTCCAAGAGTATCTTCAATCAGATCGTATCCGACGGCAGAAAGCGGAAGGATTTGCTATTGATATTGGATCTGCAAACACAGAACTGGCGCAAATCTGCCTGGCCTATCTTTTACATCCAACGCTTTCTGGGGGCATCTTGGATAAGGTGAAGCTTCGGGATTTCCCACTTGCTCAGTTCGCTGCCATACATTGGTATCACTATTATCAACTATCCCAAGAGGGGAAGTTGAAAGCTGAGAAGCTCCTGTTGAGAATTTTCCAGAACGAGACAAATTCCTTCGTGACCTGGGCTAGGTTACATGCGATTGATCTTCCATGGAAAAGAGATGTCAGCTTTGAGAGACGCGTGGATGAAATTTCTTCGCCTATACATATCGAATCCAGTCAAGCATCCCTTCTTTCGTCACGAAATGTTGTCCACCTTTGTCTATGAGTGGTTGTAATTTTACCACTTATCTAAATAGAGACTATACCTGTCGACCCGAGAAACAAAGTGTGTGTGCCTGAGGTGTAAACTGATTTCGAATTATACTGTAGTGACTTTGTATTATTTTACTAATAAAGTGTAGGCTTGACAAAAGCAGCTCCGCAATTTTACAGAGTTTGAGCAGCTCTCCCATAGTACTGATGAATGAATGAATGTCATGGGCAACTGAGGTAGGAGTGAATCTTGTCAAGTACCGTACTTTAAGTAACGTGGATTTTCTAGAATTTGAGCATATAATTTGAGGAAGACTAGAGCGCCGCGACTGGTCTCAATTCATTCCTATCTTCAATTTAGGAAACATATTTACGAACGGTCTTCCAAGTCTCCCAACAACTTCACAATTTCCGATTTATGCCATTTCTGTGCCCACTCTAAAGCGGTGTCGCCATTCGCATCCTTCACGCCAGTGTCTGCTCCAAGATGGATCAGAAGACGGATCGCTTTTAAAACAGGCAAAGCATGGCCAGGGACGCCTCAAGGACAGTGTGGCTTCCAGGAATCAACTGAATTCTTTCCAATACCCATCAGCGAGATGTTCCTGTATATGCGCCAGGCTAAATCAAAGACGGTCGCGGGTCTTCTGGCTTGATTTTCCACATGTCACTTTTTATGAACTTGATTGACTAAGCTTAAAATTGCTCATTCCTATTTCTGGAACGGCTCTACCAAAACCTTTCCGGGCTGCCAACAACCAGATGGACGGCTAACCCAAAACAATTTCGACGGTTCCGCGCGGAACCGTCGAAATTGTTTTGGGTTAGTGGGTTAGTGGGTCAGTGCTCTGTCATGTGCCATGCAACTTAAAGAACTGCTGCATTGGTCCCTCTCTTTTCAGGAAGATATCCCCGCCTTTCACTTTCATCCTTAAACCTACCATGGCTCACCAAGGAAAAAAAGGCCAAGGCCAATCCCGTTCAAAGAGACTCACAAACGGCGAAGTTATTAATTTCTTGAAGACTCTTCCGGAAGGCGGCTCCTTTGGCCATTTAGAAGAGAGTCAAGATGATTACCAGGACGATAATCAGGATGGGCGTGAGTTCCTTCGACATTTATATGTTTCTCTCCGTGGCCTGTTTAGTGCTACCACGACCTCTTCTCGCGCGAACCACACCAGAATCTCGGATATCAAAGAACTTAAAGTTCTTCCAAGCTTGCAAGATAAATTTCCACAATTCAACGAGGACCCTTTGAAGTTTTGGAAAAGACACGACACAACGCTAGAGCCGTACAATAGGCACGTAGCCTTGCACAGGACAAAACTTTTCCTTGAAAATGCGGCTCAACTTGATTCCAAATTTCAGGAACAGGAGATACTTCGCAGATTTGTATCTGTCGGGGCTTGGAAGCTCTTCCAAAGAGCAATTCCGACATCGGGAAAGCGCGTCATGAAGACGAGTTTGAAACGATTCCTGGACCATGTGGGCATATCGTATTCAGAAAGAGTTGACAGCAGTACTAAGGCATACGAGGACATCATTCGTCGTGGACAGAGATGCGAACATTTCTGCCTGGAACTTGCTCTCGGAAAACCAAGCGATGAGAATATGGAGCAGAGTAGCACCAGAGTTGAAGCTGCGGCAAATCAAGCAAACAGATATGAGATCTTTGGACCCTTATTCTTCTCTTCAATTCCCGGCGCAATGTAAGCACCGATATAGACTCACTACCTACCTTTGCTTACAGATTCAGATTTGATGACAAATCTAAGCTTGTGGGGGACGAATACAAAAACAGCATACACCATCTTAAGCGTATGGATATTTTGGAGGCATCTAAAAAGTCAAATGCTACAGATACGACAAAAGCATTGCTCGACTTCCATCAAACGTTCTTTTGGGTCAATGAAGAGGCACCCTCCTCAAAGAAGAGGAGGCCCGGCGGAGAAGGCCACGAAACCGCCTATAGAAAACGAAGCAGACGCTCCTCCATCGTCAAATCTATTCACCATATTACTCAGGGAGCAGAATATTCTTTCGCCAAAGCCGCGGGAGAAGAGATTTTCCGGTCTAATATTACGACATTTGACCCAATTCCTAAGAGGCAGGGTTTAGAGACCAGGGCATTATGTGAAGGTCAAACAGCCTCACCGGCAACTCGCCAACAAGGAGAGCAAGAAGTCGGCTTTATTCATGGTGCAGAAGCCCAGTCTCGACCCGAGATGCTACATTTGGCTGCATACTCCGGAAGCTCCATGGAATGTGTCCTGCCAGAATCTGCACAATCTCAAATAACGCACTTCGATGCTACTGCGCTGGATGTCGTTACTCTTTCCCACATCACTTGTCCAGAATTCTTTGACGCTACTACTCTCGATTTTGTCGGCCCATTTCTCGAGGCGGCCGAGCTCGACTTTGTCGACCCGGAACCACCTGTGTTCGTAAATCCATTTTCTTAACAGAATCATCTGTGTTCATAAATCAATTCTCTTCAGTCAAAAATTTCGCACGATCCGAATTAATTATAGCAGGATGTCGCTTAAGAGTTTCTTTCATCGACTAATTTCTGTTTCCATACTAGATATAAGACATCTCCCCCGGCGAGCTCCACGTGAGCTTTCTTCAAGATGCACACCTTCTTCCCGCCTATAAGGGGATATGTGTGCTTTCCCACTTTGACGTTACAGCCGTCACTAGGAGAAATCGGAATGAGCTCTCCAACCCCAAGCCCAAGCTCCCAACCTGAGTGACGTGTCCTAAATGTAGCAACGCGGAAATTCTGCGATCATCAGAGCTAGATTCCCCTGATGGAAAACAGAAAGAAGAACGCACCTGGGCGAGTCTCTTTTGAATCTGTCGAAGATTTGTTTCTGGGCATTGTTCGACTAGTTTGAGGCCAGCAACTTCGTTCCACTGCGCTTGTGGATTCGCCTTCAGCCATTCTTCCAAATCTGCCACAACCGTTTGTTCATGGCAGTCAAGGTCTTTCTGAATAATTCCGTCGCTGTCGGGCGCGTTCATGTGTAGGTATTGATGATCTGATAAATGTGTTAGCCTGCTTTTAGGAAAATACTGCGGTCGCCATAGGCAATAACGGACTCAGCAGACCTTTCCTAGGCAAGTAGGTATCATTAATTTCGTACTGGTGCGACACGATAGCCGTCTTATCAGAACAAAACCTCTCAGCAAGTGGGCAAGGCTGATGTGAACAATTCTAAAGGAGGGCTCCGCGCCAAAAGCTCACCTGGAGACACAAATTTTATTAAGCGAAGACTTCGGGTAGCAAATCAGCACCTAATCCAAATAGAAAGTGCGTTTTGGGCGTCATATGGGTCATGGAATGGTTGTTATTCCCGACAGCCTTCGTGGCCGCGAAGACGATGGCCCCGCGCGGGTCTTTATAACGTGAACAGCGGTAAAATTCGGAAACAGATTACCCCTCCGACACACGCTTTCTTTCCCATTGGCCCGTTCCATTAGCGCTAAGCTGAAATCGCCCATGGAAAGTATGTTGGTAGGATGTAAAATGGATGTAAAAATAGTGGGTAGTGTAAAATTTACATGCAAGAGTGTATATTACGGTGTGGTAACCCAACACCTGAAAAGGGTAGGGTTACTTGGCAGGGCCGGATACCCTGCTGGTCCAGACCACGGAATTCAAGGGGCACGGCCGCTTTCGAGCTTAATGCAAAGATAGCGGGCACACACCAAGCCCCCTTCACTTTGGGCCAGGTCACAGATTGGGGCCGTTTGCCCTTTACATTGCATGGTTTCACGATCGTACCAGAGTTTTACCCTTTTAGGATTTTCCTTTGGGACCCTAGAAAAAGGTTACTAAAGGGTATAACAGCTCGGTAGATAAACACAACAGTGTCATAATTTGTCAATGCCAAGGTATCAACCTTGTTAGAGGACCAAAACAGCGCCCACATGTCTCTTTTGTTCTTCCGTCGCACTGATACATATATAATGTGCCTAGGCCTTGCACTTCTAACTTGAACTATTTCACTTCGTACTTGGTTACGTGACACTCCTGGTCCCTCTAAGTTCTCCTGTCCTGCCTCGAGTATCATAAGTGCGAAACAGGCAAAATGAGCCTTAATCAGGGTGCGTTCTTTTTTATCGATAGAAACATTGCTTGCTTACCTGGATGAGTGTTTTCTAAGCAGAGGGTGCAACTTTGCCAGAAGGCTTATTTTCCTCAACCGGGACTCGCGAGAATCCAGTGTTGCTTGATTGCGATGAGATATCTACTGAGATTCTCTCCAGAGATGGAGACCGCTCCGGGGGTAAAGATGAAACAGATTTTGGTTAGTAAAACTATTTTGGAAGTTGCGCTTCGCCATTTAGTAACCAGTGGCTCATAGATGTGTCCCGGAATAGATTCAACAATCCCACCCCCACCCCCCCTATTTTGCGGAGAAAGGCTTCTCAGATTTTTTCGGGGCTTTCTGGATCCCATAAACGCCTTTGTCCTGCAAATTCCAACGTCCAAACCTCCCAAGAGGATCCGCGAGGTCTCTTCGCAAGTGGTAACCCTGCGACCGGAATATCCCTAGTTGATAAAAATGCTGCTTCTTCTATCGTTATCTTCGAGGATATCGCATGCCTTTTAGAACGGAGGGAAACTGATGAAGCTTCCGTGCTCAGGAGCTACGAGCACTTGTCGAGCACAATGAAGACAGCTTCAGCGTGTGAAATACAAGAATTTCAGTCAAAGGCGACAAAGTGGCTGGTAAAGTTTTTGGGGGTAAATTTCATCAGCCTCAGTGTGAGAATTATAGAGTCAGAACTGCTGAAAGGGGTTTCACTCCGGAAGGTAATGAAAACCTCGGTCAAGCATGATTTGACGGTCTTCGAAAAGCTGATGACCCGGGAGGCGTATCTCAAGAAAGAGCGCGATGACGCCTTTTCTTTTGCCATTACGCTGAGCCAATGCTTGGATGAAATTTGCAGACTCGAGGGTGAACGCGTGTCTCTTGTCTCGAACATCTTACGGAATATTGATTCGGCCATCCAGGGGTCATCTAAAGAGGATATCAGAATGGTATTTTGGCATGTTCGCCATGCATTGATCCGTGCAATTGAGAAACAGGGATGTTTCGAAATTCTGCAAATCATTGATGTCAAATACTGGTCTGAATTGACGGCGAGCTATGTGTGTTTAGATGTGGCATGTGCACAAAAATTCGCGAACATGGACATTCCCGATGACCTGAGAGGACGTTTGAGATATTTTTAGCCAACATCTTCAATTCCAACCTCTTTAGAGGTGAGTTACTGCCTCATAACCATGGAACAATATAGGAGCTATCGAGAAAATGAAGAGGGTGGAAATAGGGGTTTTTGCCACATCATGTCCCCTAGATGAAAAGCTGAGCAATATGAGGTCACTAGTGTGACATCTCTTCCTTAGTCTAGTGGAGACATTCTCACTTATGTATTCAGCAGGTTATTACACAGTCTAATCAATTGCGGGGCCCTCTGCTGCCCAGGGCATGAGCCCACATACATGCTAGCTCCTCTTCCCTCGCCAAATTATTCTCTAGCAACTACTGTATAAGGACCCATGTCAAACGTCACTCGCAATGTGGCGAATTTATTCCTCATTTTAGTGACTGGATTTCCAAGTCCAGTGAAAACAAAGATCAGTTGCTGTCTATAGACTCAGATTTCTCTCATGCTAAAAATAACTGACAACTCAAAGTTCCAGCATTGCCACACCAGCTCTGCGGCGCCAATAGAATGAATAGGGTTCTATCTCTCGGGGCTCCAATACCCAGAATTAATTAATCGCGCGAAGGTGATATGTACCTGGCTCCCCTTCGAAACGCCTGGTAGTCCCGGTAATGTTGCTTGGGACTCCTATGTACCAGCGAGCACTGGTAGGCAGGGAGATGGCCCTCGGCCCAGATCATATATCCACTCTAATAACAGTTAACAACCTTGGCAATCTCTACTCTGATCAAGGGAAGCTGAAAGAGGCAGAGGATATGTACCAGCGAGCACTGGCAGGCAGGGAGAAGGCCCTCGGCCCAGATCATACATCCACTCTAAACACAGTTAACAACCTTGGCATTCTCTACAGAGATCAAGGGAAGCTGAAAGAGGCAGAGGAGATGTACCAGCGAGCACTGCCAAACAATGAGAAGGTCGCACATCTCAATGCAAGTACGGCACGGCGGGCTATTAAGAAATTCGCTTGATTGTTTAAATAATAAGACTGCAAGAATTGCATGCCTGTAATGCAATTCGGAAAAATGACTACATCACTGCAGTTTATCTTCTGTATGACTTAAACAGGATCATAATATCACAGCGTCAACGTAAAGAAGGCTACGGCGAAATCATTGGTATAACCGAAGCCTGAATATATCTATCCTGTGGACGGACGATGCACGAAAGATACGATTAATTTACTCAGAGTCCCGTGCGGTAGATGATACCTGTTTAATGGTTAACCTGGTATGTTTTAGATCTGTACTACTAAATGTATAGATACCCAAGTTGGTAATTTACTTGTTCCGAGTCATACCATCCACGCTTGAAACAGACATTGAAATATAACTTTAATCAAATATGGATTAGCGTATCATGTGATTAGGGTTCAAAAGAGCTTCTGTGTGTTGTTCGACATGGAAGGCGGTAGCGGTCGGCACTGTAACAAGTGTAGATATATTTGCTCTTGCGAGTCGTCTGGATGGATTGCCTTTGGCGATTGTCCTCGCTGGGGCTTTTATGCGTGAGACTGGAACTAGCATCAATGAATACTTAGAGTTTTACCGAGAAGCTTGGTCAGAACTACAGTTGCAATCACGTCCTGATCGTCAGTACCAGCAAGGCAACGTGATACAAACATGGATGATATCATATCTTGAGATCAAGAAGCGGGACCCAAATGCAGCAGCGCTGCTACTGCTACTTGCTCGCTTTGATAATCGAGATATCTGGTATGAGTTGGTAGAGAGTGGCCATCATAGCTCTAGCGTCCCCGACTGTCTCAAGGATGCTACATCGAGCGCACTCGCGTTCAAGATAGGTATGAGGTCTCTCGTTGGATTCTCTCTGCTTGAAAGTAAACAACAAGAGGGGAGCTATGCGATCCATCCTGTGGTACAGGACTGGTGCCTTCATATTGCCAACACGAGCAAATATGTGAATTGGATGCAGCTTAATGAGCTGGCGCTGATATCTGTTGGATACTCTGTGCCCAGTGCAAGTAATAGGAACTATTCAGAGCTTCAGCAACGGCTCCTTCCACATGCCAATTATGTATGTCATCTAGATTGGTCAGATGACAATATTGAGGTATGGGGGGCACTCCATGGTTTAGGGGATCTTTACTCTAATCAGGGCAAGTTGAAGGAGGCAGAGGAGATGTATGAGCAAGCACTAGCAGGATATGAGAAAGCCCTTGGTCCTGATCATATATCTACTCTTAATACAGCCAGTAACCTTGGCAGCCTCTACTCTAAGCAGGGCAAGCTAAAGGAGGCAGAGGAGATGTACCAGCGAGCTCTGGCAGGCAAGAAAAAGGCCCTGGGTCCAGATCACGATACATAGGACTCGGTGATTTGCGGAGACATTGAACGCATTAAACATTGCAGATGCAAAATAGTGCCTGATACTTCTCTGTAATATATTTTGTAAATGATTCCTTGTGCTAGAGTAACTACATCAAACTTGTCTAACAATTGTATACATCCATGCTACAAAGCTCACTCCCGTTTGCCACCACCGTCGCTTTTTGAGATCTACTGAGTCTGTAGCTATTGTTGTATCTTATGTATATTATTCATTTCTAGGGATCAATCTTTTGGCGATCTCTCGATAGGTCAGGATGTTCCTGTGAGAGTTGCAATGACGCGATGGTGATGGTGCGTCTGGTATTGTCTCTCAGAGCTGTAATAGAATACTTAGACTTTTCTTCGTTTTGTATTATACCATTCGGCCTTGTAACGGATCGTTCAATACGAGGTTAACTAAATACGGCTTAGTAAATCATGTGACTAGGGTTTGAAAGACTACTCTATCCCCTGGCCTGGCTGTTGATTTCAGGTACATGGGGCTTCTGGTATTTGCAACGATAACCCTGCTGTTAGACGCCGAGTCATTGGTACCACGCTAGCCTAGCATGTGATGCTCCTCGACGTAACTCTCCGTCAAAGCGTCTGGATTGATATATCTCCTGCTACAGGCCAAAACACAGCGGCCAGTCGCCGCTGAACGAAAATTAAGTGTAATAGATCCGAATTCATCTCGTTGAACTTATTGAGGTCAGTTAGCGTAATTTGAATACAAGCGGGCCATGCACAAACACCAAGCTTTGTTGAACTCTCTTGTACTTGTTTCTGAACTGGGGTATATAAAAGAAGGACAGATTAATTTGATGTTCATGGATAGTTGAGATAAGTAGATAGTTCACTTGTGGCAGTTCAACACGGGCAGTTCAAGGCACGGTCCGACTTGAACACAGTTGGCGAAATCGTAGGGTTGGACTCGAACCTGGAGATGGTCCATGCTTTGGGAGATGCCAAGCTATGCTTGAAACAGGCTAGACCACAATTAGCTAGGCCGCAAATCATACCCACCCTTTAGAATAGAAATGTAAAATATTTGACAATACCATTACAGTACGCGTCTATCAAATACCGTCCATTATGCCCCACCGGAGCCTAAGCGGTTGCGACCCATATCAATCCACAATTCTACTTTCCTTTTCGTCGACGGTAGCGCGAAGAGATTCGATTTGCGTTGAGGAGTCTCTCTGCTTTGCCTTTTCGTTCTGGTTGGCAACAAACATATCTTCAATCGCAGTTCTTTTTGTTTCCTTGATTTCGAGAATCTCCGAAGTTTTTTCAGCTCTTCATCTTGGAAGTGATTCTGCTCACGCTGTTGGGTGATCTCGCTAAGCACGGCGGATGCGAACTGAGATTCAGTATACCTATATATTTGATGAAATTTTCTAGGCTACCACTATTGACCAAAGGCAAGGAATCATGCTTGCCTGAATCCAAGGATGATGAATCGATCGAAGACATAACGATATGGCTTTGATACACTGGCTTGAGGGCGTCTGGAAGGACCGAAAAACCGACTGGCCTCCAACTTGTGTCAGAGAAGACAGGGCTTATATATTTCCGTATTTAGTCTGCGACGTGTTCTCGACATGCATATGTCGAATAACCAAGCTACCACGTGTCACTCAGGACGTGGTCGCATCACTGAGGCTGCTCCTCTATTTTTATTGACGAGATTGCCGAAGATAATTCCCCAATTTAGGACAAATTATATCTGATAAGGTACTGTCTAGCGTCCCCAGAGCGCTGCTATACTGACATCCAATAAAAGCCTCTGCAGAGACCCGCTGCTACAGCAGCTGATGATTCAATGAAATCAGTCCTCACTGAACACCGTCCGGCTAAATCGGCGGTCGCAACCCGTATAGTCACCTCTAGACCATCTCAGGATTGGTCTGGGCCTAGAATGATTGGACTAGAAGAGAAGTGGCACGAAGAGCCAGTTCATATGACGTGTAGCCTTCTATGTCGCCTATGCTCTTCAGCAGGCCCTACTGTGACTGATTCCCTCTCAAGAGGATTTTCCCATATGCTGAGCCCTCTCGGAAAGAGCCTCTTATTTTCTGCCTTTTATGTGATCCTGACTCCTGAAATGAGCTAGCTAAAAACAATCTGTTATCAACGTCCTTTTATGTTACCATTTACAGGATACTCTGCATAGCTCTATCATAGACACAAAAGCAGTCTTTCATCTCAGTACCACACCTATTAGATTCCTCTCAGGGTGTCATATATCCTGTCTGCAGTACGCTCTTATTTCAAGCCACATAGGTCTATTAAGGACCTGAAAGGAGAATCTCATGAGAACCTAGGATACCTTCCACCCTCTACCCGGTCTAATACTCGAGATGCCATACCTAGGAGTTTCTTCTCCTTTACAACTCGACCCTCTGCCGCAAGCTTCTTCTCCTCATACTCGGAAACTATGAAGAAGGCGTTACTGCCATCAGCTGTCGCTGCACGGTAACATTGGGCTGGCCTCAGGTTGTGCAAATTCTTATCGTATAGGGAATAATTCTTCCATAAATACTTTTGCGCGACTCGTTCCAGCGGCGATGGATCTGACGGATCGACGCGGAGCCGGTCTGACCGTCTCCACTCTCCTCGTTCAAGGGACCAGAGCTCGATCTCAATGTGCTGTTGAGGGGGCCGCTGCTCGACCGCCCTTGAGGGCATAAGACCGGCCACGGAGGAATCTGGGACAGAGGTATCTTCAGCAACTGGAGGAGTGGGGTGGGGATCTATCGCAGATCCTGGCGTTCCTGGGCGCAGAGGTTCTACCAACGCTTCGTGGGTGATGGCGTCTGAAGCCACTACGGCATCCACGACATGCCCATGCGCGGGTTCCTCGGATCGGTACTCAAGGCGCAGTGGCGATGAATCCTGTCTGTCTTCTTGTGGAGAAGGCTTCCCGTTCCGTGGTTGCTCTAGTTCGCCGAGCTCCTGATGAAGCCGCTCATTTTCCAACCTCTCTTCTAATTGTTCCTGTTCTTCCTGAGCTCTTCTTAAACCAGCAAGAAATTCATCTAGATTTTCCGGTGGGGGTTGGCTGTACACTGAGGAATTGTTTGCCTCTGATTCTGGAGAAACTCGCCGAACTTCACCGTCGACCCGTGTCTGCTCGTCTGGAGCATCGTCTTTATTAGCCTCTTCGGCCATTTTTTGCTCTTCCTGGTCCTCCACGAGCGGAACTACATCCAGTGAGACTTGTGTGCAGTCACTCCTACTGTCTTCAACATCTGGCACAGCAGAGGCAGGGGAAAAAAGCGTGATAGCCATCGCTGGTTCGACCGGCTCCGGCTGGCTTTGAGGCCCGACTGACATAGGATTTTCTTCAGGCGAACTGCTCTGGTTTAATATAACCTGGTCATGAATTTCGTCTGGCAGTTCCAACTCCATTGGCTCTCGGTCCATATCCCCCGCCGGGCGCGAGACAGCTGGGTGTATTTGAAAATTTCGCCTTCGTCGACGCCTCGCGTTTTCCTTTTGGTCCGTCCGCAATGGCTGCTGACTTTCACTGTCTCTTCGCCCCATAATCACTTCAGCTATCTGCTGCTGTGGCCCCCCCTGGTGCCCGTGAGGTGGTTGGGGGTCTGGTGCGGGCGTATGAGTAACAGGGGGGTCGTCCTCTTCGACGAACATTGGCGAAGGAGGTATCTCCCCCATCCCTTGATCTGGATCAGTGTCCTCAGCTTGGTCGACATTGCTAGTCACCACCCGGGCAGACTTTCCGAAAAATGCAAAATATACACAACGGCGGACGAAAAAGCTGGTGACATTGTCGGCAACCTCAACATCAGCGTGCAAACGGTCCAAGAAAAGCAAGGGTCCATCTTGCTTGTGAGTCCGTGTTTGGGGTTCCCCGGCACGGGTTTTTGGCTTCATTGCGCTATCCGCCAGAAGGCCCTGAGGCTGCTCCGGTCGGTCGGAAACAGCCTTGGCGAAACAGCTCACAATCGAATTGACCAAAAGATCAAAATCCTGGCTATCGTATCGATACCGGTGGGGCTTTCGGGCTTGTAGGAGAGCCGATCGTGCGATCTGATGATCGGGTGAGCTCTTGATCAGTGCATCGATTTCAGTGGACTGAAAGCCAAGCTGGTGAGCGAGTTCAGCCATTTCGTAAATCGCCCTCTCGTCGGGCTTGGAACGAGTTGATTTTGCTAACAACTCGTCATCGCTCTTTGGGTCCGGGGGCATCAAGGTATAGTGCCTCATCGCGTAAAGCCATATTTGTAAATATCCTGTCTCGAGGCGTTCCATATCAGTTGCCTGTTGGCGGCGGAAAGTAGACTCTGATGTCTGGATGAGCGAATCCACTGCTCCTGAAGTCGCGGTTCCCTCTTCTGAGGGTGGAATGAATATTGAACTCATGGTTCTCCAGATCGACATATCGATCGGACCACAGAGCCGCTTGACACAGTGGGCACAGGTCTCCAGGTACTTGAAGTCTTCGAAAAAGGTATACAAAGACGGGATCAGGCCATCAAAATTCTGCATTCGAGACCATATGATCCGTCGCTCTTCGTCGCTAAATTCGGCAAAAGCTTGGCCGCTTAGGATCATTCCACAGGCAGTTCTCCCATCAGTGCGTGATTTACCGGGCGCCAGCAGCTGCAGGGGATTCACGGTATTCTGGTCGATCTTCTTCAGTGAGGCGTGGTCCGAAGCGACCAGGGAGGACCAGAAGTCCCAGATATGTTGCAGATAAGTTATAGTCTCCTATAGCGAACGAAGCGTTCGATCAGCAAGGTGGAAAGAAGCCAGGTTTCTAGAACTCACTTCAATGCATCCGGAAGCTATTAGTCTGTGAAGTACACTGATTCTCATCCCCCCGGCCAAAGCCCGGGAATCGTCAGTAGCCTATCAAAAGCACCTCGAATGCGGCGGTTTTTCTTATTATCCAACTGATCCAAACGCTCTTGGTTGCTGCGCGATAGACGTACAAACCATCGCTCCCGGAAGGTTTCATCGTAATCGCCCTCGTATTGTCGAATCTTACGATAGATTTCACCGTCGGTCGGCTTCCTTTCGTTGGCGTATTCCTCCACTAAGGAAGTTCTAAGCTCTGCGCCAATATCTACATAATTGTTAGCACATGATTACCCATCTTTTCTCGGCATAGTTACCATCGGAGTAAAGATCCACCGTCCACCAACGATCAGCGGGAGGTAGCACCTCAGCTCCGGCCTGGACACGGTGACGACCATGAAGCCCAAGTAACTGCCCTTCCAGAAAACTAATTCTGGGTAGTTGACGAGCATCCGTCGTTAATAGTGACTGCTGTGATACGTTGGCCTTTCTCAACGCATTGGCGAGATCATGTGGCGACACGATAGCAGGGACATGATTGTCAACATCCAGACGGCGACAATGGTTCTGGCGGAAGACCCTGCGAAGTCTATCCAAATTTTTATCATCTAAATCCCGAGGCAAAGGAGGATCGAATTGGATTTGACTAATGTTGACTTTCGCTGTTCCAATATACTTCAGTTGCCGCTCACTTGCCAGTTGCACCTCTTCTTCGGTAAACAAAATGCGGCTCATTGCAAGATAAAGCAACTGGAAAGAATGGGATCTCACGGCATAATTCAGGATCGATCTTCATTTATACTTGCCCCGGCCAAATTCAGCCAATCTGCCTAGCGTGGTACTTCTTTGTTGCCACACCCCTGCAGGGCCCCTCAGTGACCCGCAGCACATCACGTCAGGGAGCCGTTAAAAGACTACAAGTAGGGCTTTGCAAAGCTGTTTTTTCTTTACTTTCTCACCTGGATTCAACTGTGAGCAGCTCCATCATGAAGTCGAATGCTGACAAGCGAGCTACAAGAGTCCAACCATCTCAGGTTGCACTGCTTCTATCCGAGAATGAAGGAGTATCGCAATTTTCCGACCCCAAATCGATGTCTGGCAATTTCGTTCCTAGTTCCCACCCAACTAAATCCCCTCCATCCTCACCCCCAGAGCCTGGCGGCAAGGTCATCAGAGGTTCGCCACGAGCTTTGGCTCTTCAAGCGAACAGCCGTACTGGCTCGGATTTTAATTTGCGGAACGAGTCCCCTTGGGACACTTACAAGAAACACTACGAATGTGATCTAGCTGGAACAGTTATTGTATGCGTCCGGTCTTCCGATGGATGTGCTGCACGGGCGATTCGTCAATTCTCAAGCATGGACTGCGACAAAATCCTTAGAGTTCTCCGTTCGACAAATCATAAGAATGTTGCTTCCGTCTGGGAATGTTTTTGCACCTCTGATTCCCTGTATACTCTAAGCGAATTTGACCCGTTGTCACTGGATCATATTGTTGCTTGCAAGGCTTTCCCTGACCAGCAACAGCTGGCTGCTATTATGTCCCAGGTCTGTGCCTTAAAGCATCTTTTCATAGAACGAATGAACCGTTGACAAAGTGCAGTTTCTGGAAGGACTAGCTCATTTGGTATCCCGGGGCTTCCGTCATTCTTCTTTGGATTGCTCCAGCATTCTCATGAATCTTAGTGGGGAGGTCAAGATCGGTAAGCTGAATGCAAGAACGCCTCTTCGGAAATGTTGCCTGACAGAACAAACAGCGCGGGTTGACTGCTGTATCCCCCGGCAGACAAGCCGAGTCCAAGCGAGTGACCTAGCACCTGTGTCGAGAATCATGATGGAGTTGATGCAAAAATATGCCAAGGACGACGGGGCAGTCGGTATTGATGATCTTGAACGCTGGTCAGCTTGCCCAGCTGCCATAGAATTTCTTTCCGCGATTACCTCAGCTAGCTCCTTTGGAGAACTGAAAAAGGTTTGTGAGCCGCCCGGTAATTTCGCTCCGAACTCGCTTACTATTTTTCAGCAACCCTTTTTGACAGAAATTCGGTGGAGTCCCGGCGATCTCATCGGCCTGGCCTGGTTTGCTCTGATATCCGCTCGTACGTTCTACTCGTACACACAGAATTAAAATGGCAATCCAGCGTAAAGGATGGGAGCAGGGTAGGGTGCACAGTCTGAAGTCTTTGGAAGCAGTTGGGACAAGAGAGGGCATTTAACGTGGCATGTATTGCAGTTATACTGTAACTGAGCTTTAGAACCAAATTGAGTCTTTCGTGTATGACAGCAGACCAAAAATTTCAGGTACGACAAGAGCATTCGGCAACAATATAATGTGAGGGGGTATCAACGATTGATGCTTTATCTGGTGCTTTTTTAAAAGAGTCACGACTTCGGGAGTCTCTCGTCACATTAGTGCTACGTTGTCGGGATTCCAGCCGAGAAGATTCGTCATTTTGCGCATTGCATACTTTTCAGCGTCCACTGCTTCCCAGGAATCCTGGGAAAGTTGAACTTTCAATGCTTGTTCGTCCTCATTCTGAATGCGCACCAGTTCTTCGTGCCGGAGGAGACCGACATCATTGTTGAAGAGAAGTTCGTGAAGATCGTCCGTCACTTGTCCAAACACAAGAGATTTTACTATAGACTCTGACGCTTCGAATGTACGCACAGTCCCCGGGCGTGTTTTCTGAGAGAAAGCGACGAAAGCTTGAATCTGAGGATTAGTGAACGACTTGTTGCACCTATTTATACGGGTCAGCCAAACCACACGATGAACCAACGGGGGACATACATGACGTCAACCAAAGAAGTATTGCCCAGCAAAAGTATGCCGACTCCTAGAGTACCTGCAAGCCTCCACCACCATCTGCCGCGGCGAACATGGTAGCCTGTTACCCTATCGCGCCGGCTCTGCAGTGATTTCGAATAGCGGGGATCATCCCAATAAGCAGCGAGGATACTATTCAGCACTTGAGTTGCATTGGCCTTTGACGAGGAACAGGAAAGGTGCCTATATGGGTGTCTGCAAAGCTCCTCGTAATTGAAGTATAGTAATACCTGCCCGATACGCTTTGCGATGGGGTTCAGATAGGGTGATTTCTGCTCGTAATCAAGCATTCGAAGGTAGTCCGCAGCTGCATCTATGCCTCTCCATTGTACCGGAAGTCCCAGCGCCGTCAGTTCAAGTGTCTTATAGGAATTCCAATGGTCAAACAGCGGACGTAGTATTTGATCGAGATCCTTCGCGAAGAGGGAATGGGCGCTAGTGTCGAGAATGCCCTGAGTTCGATTGTCATCGAGCGTAGCATCGCAAGAACGTAGTAAACATTTTAAGCTTTCCTCCGAGGAATTAAGCGTCATTGGACCGATTAGATGGTCTCCTCGGGTGCCGATGAGCTCATTCGTGCTTTCTGTTTGAATATCCGAGAGTCGTCTGGATTCCAGGGAAATGGGTTGCTGCCTCACACTAAGTTCTTCAACGTCAAACGAAGGCGGCCTCGGATAGCATAAAAGCCCTTCATCGAAACCAGGCGCGAAGACAGGTTTGGGCGACGCTATCGTGGTGTCTGGCTCCGAGTTGAGAAGCGTTCTTTCGTCTGGATTCGGACAGGGAGTAAAAGGCGTCGAATAAGATGGTGTTCCATCGCCAGGTGTAAATGTGTTCGCGGGTGAAGTCATTGCAAGGTGTGAATGAGAATTACTGGCGAGAATTGGTTCGCCCATGGGAGAAGCACTTTCCGAGAGAGTGTCGGTAGTAATGAAAGAACAGTCCGCCAGGCCAACGTCGGTGTTCTCCGGTGAATTCAGATAATCCATCCACGATAGAGAATCAGCGAACATCGATGATGCGTCGGGTTTCGGACAAGGGCTGACAGGAGGCTGAGGTGGTAGACGTGGAGCGGGTTGAATGGCATCGGTGAAGCAGTTCTCTTCAAATACGGTGAATAGTTAGATAAGGCGAGAAAGATCGGTATCGAAGTCAGTATTACCTGATGATACCAAACTATCCTGAATGGGTTCTAATACCGTAAAACCATCCACAAATCCAGCAGACTCTAGTCCAATAGCCACTTTGTACATCTGAGGCCTCGTCAACTTCCGAAGCTGTTCCAAATCAGCCCCAAAGCGCCGAACGAGCTACCAAAAGTTAGAACGAAGAATAGTAACTGTATAGAGTGACTTACAGCTGAAAGATGCTTCCTATCCAAAGTGAAAGGGTTCACCGCCGCATTGTGTTCCTGATACGTCAGCTACCAGCACCTGGGAGTGCCTAGGGAGAGAGTGCTCACCTCGAAGTTGACCGTGACACCAAACGAGGTATGGCCATCGTTTCGATAAGTTGACGAGAAACACGACCCATCGAGGGCAGTTAGCATATGCCATCGGGTAAAGCCAGCCCATTTAGCGCGCTCCAAGACTTCCACCATCTGCCCCTTATCTAATTGCCCGACTTTTTCCAAGCTTTTGCCAAAACGGTTCACCAGCTATTCTTGGATGAGCACTGTTCACAAGCGATGTGAGGTTCTTACATCAGAGGAATCATCTTCATTCCACTCTTGACCGCATTTCGGGTAAGAATCCTTTGGAATAAATGAGAGGAAAGTATCGAGTTTAAAGAACGGGCAGTTACCTGGAGACCGACGTAGAGAAAGGTCATTGAGATTTTGACAGCCCAAAAAGGCTTTCAGGTATGACAGATAAGGAAATGAAGGCGACCTGATGCTGATGAATTTCGACACGGAAGGAGAGGACGCTGTTTGGCAGCCAAGGAGAGAATACCAGCCTGACTTCCTGGAAGAGGGAAGCAAGAGGCGGCAAAGGGATTTATAAGGGCTTTGGGGTGACCGACCCTCCAAAAAAGGAGGGTCTCTAAAAAACCAGGTTGAAATCGGCGCAATCGTGGTCCGCCAGGAAGGACAGGGGCGCAAGCGCCAGGTCGCTGCAAGAAAGACTCATGATGCACGCGTCCAGAAGCTTTTTGACACACGAAAGCATAGAATTTCTCAGAGCAAGAGGAAGGTTCTCACCCCAAAAGGAAGTTAAGGGTGATGAGTGGGTGAGAACTCGGTGATATGGGTGAGCGCTATCTTACGCAAGAATCTCTAACGGACCCCTGAACCCACTCAGTTTGCCCGCTCGCACCTCGCATCGAAATCAGGGCATGTGGCCAATCAGCTAGCACCACTGCCTTGACTGAAACGGACCACGGTCAATTTTTGTTACACTTCTCTTCAACATCAAGAAAAGGAAGACAGACTTTGCGAAACATACGAATAAAATGTAATTTCTAGACTATGAACTATTTCAACAGCATCTGCGCATCCGTTATCGAAATTCGTAATAATCCGCCTAGTTTTCCTACTCAGGCTGATATTCCAGCTCTGAAAGCTCAACACCCTGGTGGAGATAGCCTCTTGCAATGTCGCGTAAGCGATCTCTAAGACCATCGCTTGCGGAAACTATGTAAATATTAGAAGTGGTGATAACCATGAGTTGATGGACGTCTCCTTACCCATTACAAGTGTTCGACCTGGCTCATCCGGGATGTTCGGCTGTCTCTCTATCTGACTCCCAGATGCTTCGGTTGAGATTATTTTGCGATAATCAGGTAAGCCCTGGTAGTAGCATATCCTCTCATGTTTTCCAACCGGTGTTCTGCTATTTGCAAGACCGTGCTCCACGTAAATAGATATGCTGAGTATCTAGTGTAGTATATCGTCAGTGACAAGGACAAACTCCATGAAAGATTCAACCAACATAACCCTTATCTATGATATCATCTTCAAGGACATCATTGATCTGCTCTTCGGCCGTGCTCACCATTTCTTCCTCATTAGCTTCGGTCGGACGAAGGGCCGTGGTAAATGCACATACCGATGGAATCTACCTGCCAGACCAGATGCAGTCGGCGAGTATGGGACGTGCATGTATTGTAGCCATGAATCATTTTCTTGAGATACGGGATCGAAGTCGCGATTCCAAATCCGGTCGCAATTATCAGGGTGGTTTCGTAGGGATCGACGTCTTCGGTGAGTCCATGAGGTCCGGTAAATAAGGCTAATAATGATACCGAGCTATCTGTGGGCAGCGCACCATGGCGTACGAGATCTGCAGTGAAGCCATTTCGAGGTTGCACAAGTAGCTTCAAAGTATCCTGTCTACCCCTGGACCAGGATGTGATGGTGAAAGGGTGCGTCTGAGTCCATGACCACAAACTTACCGATGGCATCCAGAGGTTGATGTATTGACCAGGCTCAACATGCACTGGTCGAGGTAAAATAATTTGGATATTTGCAGCTGTGATTCTGGGGAGGCTTTCCCCTGGTATTGAGAATGATACAAGGGCTCGAGGAGCACCACGGCCGGAAAATATCCCGTTGCGATATAAATGGTTCGCCAACTCCAGAAGCGTTGTTAGCCCCAGAATGCCCAGTGTCACATAGACGTACAGTCTCGCTGAGCTAGTGTGGGTGGGAAAATGCTGCCAGGTGCCATAGATAAAAAGTCCGGCAAGTATCTGATGGCTTCGGAGAAAGATCTCATAAGACCAACGACGAAAGTATGGAATGGAAAACAGAGCAAGGATACCGAGTGCAGAAGCACCCTGCATCTGTTAGCAAATCCAAATCCAAAATGTATTGAGAGGGGTGCATACGATAACAGTGAGCCGGTTTTGTGTCTCAGCGAGAGGAAACCTAGATGTTTTGCCTTGAAGTTCGGCGATGATGTGGAATGACAGCAGAGCAACAGCTGTCCAACCGGTTGCTCGATGGATCTTACGGCAAGTACGCCAGGTGATTCCAAGCAGTCCGGCCAGGAAACCAAGGTGGGCGGTTGATAGAGGAAAGATCATGTTGACGAGAGCCAGCTCGCCTGCCCGGCGGCCCGAGTCTACCAGCGATTCGGTACGCAAAAAGACCAGAGCGATGTTGACGGCAATGTAAGAGAGATGGACGAGGATACCAGCTCGGGTCCATGGTCCAAGGATTCGATGCCTACGAACAAGGATAGGGAGGGTCAGATGTCTGGAAAGTAAAACAAAAAATGATTCTGTCCAGTCAACTAGGACATAGCGGATTTGTATCAGAAACAGGGCCAGAAATATGCCGCCCGCAGCAATTGCGTAAATGGCGGGTATCTCCATACTCTATGTGGAGATGTAACGATGTGATTGCGATTTCGAAGGAAAGGAGGGGGCGGGTTTACCTCACGGAGATGAGAGAATCAGTCCCATTTTATGTCATGAACGGTCACTGAGGAAGCCTTCGCTGCGGTGGGCCTCCCTGTGGGAAGAGGGTGGCAGGGGGGTGCACTTCAGTTAACTGCCATGGCCCCTCAGGGACCGGCTGGGAATATATAATAGGCTGTTCTAGCTCGAGCCAAACTATGTTCATTTCGGTGTGTATTTTATGCTGAAGAAACCATGGTCGCAAAACGTCAGTCAGAGAGTGTTAGAGCCAAATCTTAGCAAAGATATAGGCGTAAGCGAAGTTTGTTCAAAAAAGCGAAGGAATTTTTCCTGGAATGTGAATCTGATGTCTTTATGGCCGTCCGAATCCGAAAAAATGGGCAAATATATATATTTGATTCCTCCATGCAGAACCAATGGCTCAGAGACCTTTCGAACCTTGTACATACTACTTATTTTACCTTCTTCAATAGCCGAGTGACTAACAAATAGTACAGGAGTCACAATACCCTCGCCCTATCCGCGAATCGGGTGAAAGCCTAGAGTAAGCTTGACTTGGCAGCAAGCCTCATACAGACGAACCGACCTCCCCAACGAGCTCTAGATTATGAAAGACAAGTGCCGTGTTTGATGAACTAGAATACGCCTAGGCAATGAAAAATATGATTGGGTGCCAAGCTTGTGGGCGAGGGTAATAGAGTATATCTATCTTAGCGCAACTTTAGAACAAGGCAAAGGTTTCCCATTCGCGCTCTCAATAGGAGTATAATGCCAAAAAAAAAAAATAACTTCTTTACTGTACCAAAGCTCCCGTAAGCTACAGCGATCGGCGCCGCGTAAGTGGGGCCGAAATCTTGTTGTTCCTAAGTGCCAGATAGATAGCTGAAAAGTGATCATGGATGCATGCATCTGCGCCCATGACCATAAACTCAGTGAAGACTGCCATATGCTGATTTAGTGTACAGCCATTGCTTTGAATGGCCTTGGTAGAATGAGGCGGACTCGAACTGGCGTTGTCCTCGTGTGTTGACCTGCTTTTTCTGCATCGCACACATTCCTATGGCAAACCCCGTAACCAGAGAGACAAAGAAACTGCTCATCGCAAACAATACACTTGTTCCCGCAATAACGGCAGGAAATAGCGGTGACTGAGAGGGATTACAGACACTATGCTACCTGTTTTGATCTAGTGACACTCTCAGCGAGAGTAAAAGATACGATAATCACATGTTGACGTCCTAGTTATCCAGCTCATACCATGTCTGCGCGGTTCTTTATCAAAACCGGATACAAATTTTATAACCGAGATGAAACTGTGAGGTTGTATTCATCTACTGTACTACTACTTACTACCGCTAATACAGTAGCGACCGCGTTCGCCTTCCATGTCAGAAACAGAGAGATCGTCTTTCAAACCCTAATCACATGATGCGCTAATCCAAACAAGAATAGCGCGTATATAATTCGTTTTTGTAGTGAACAAGGTAATCAATACCAGAAGATTAAAATACCAGTATGGAAGATACAAGTCTACAATTTGACGCCTAGACTGGAAGTTCGATGCAAATTGAGCAAACATGGCAGCCCTTGAAAGGGCAATCTGTCAACAGTTCCGGTTGTGAGAGTATTTTGACTTCGCCTCACTTTTTAACCTCGCTCTCCACTCCTGAACTCTGGCATTTCATTCCCCAAACTTAGGCTGTATAATGAATCTGTTTGTCTCATGTTCAGAGAAATTCATAGGCTATTCGATCTTCAAACCTAAACGTTCTTTTTTTCATCATGGCAGCCAGGGTCTCTCTATCCTATGGCGATTACACGGTCGGATGGATATGCGCTTTACCCTTGGAGATGGCAGCCGCAAAGCTGATGTTAGACTCTATACACCCGAGTCTACCACGGCCGCTAACAGACTAAAATACGTATATTCTGGGAAATATCGGGGATCACAACATCGTTATTGCCTGTTTACCAAGCGGTGCTTATGGAAACGTATCAGCTGCTACAGTAGCGATGCAGTTGCTCTCGACTTTCCACTCTATCCGGTTCGGTCTAATGGTCGGTATCGGTGGAGGGGTACTAAGCAGCAACGCAGATATTCGACTAGGCGACATTGTGGTGAGCCAGCTAGCGGACATATCTGGAGGCGTGATTCAATACGATCTTGGCAAAGCGTTAAGTGGTGGTCAATTCTAACGAACAGGGATGCTGAACCGGCCACCTAAGGTCCTGCTGACTGCCCTCGCTACACTCTAAGCCCACTACTTCACCGAAGACAGTCGAGTCTTTGAATTTATATCCGATATCTAAGCCAAAATAAAATCGCGGACGGCTGCGAATTTTGCACGACCGACTAAGGGCGACTTTTTATACCAAACTGAATATAACCATAGAGCATCAGGTACGTGCGTCGATTGTGATAAGTCAAAACTGATTATACAGCCTTCTCGGGATCATAAAGAGCCAGTGATTCACTATGGACTGGTTGCATCTGGAAATCAAGTAGCGAAAGATGGCAAACAGAGAGATAAGCTAGCTCAGGAGCTAGGGGTGTGCTGTGTGGAAATGGAAGCGGCCGGGCTTATGAATGACTTTCCTTGCTTAGTCATCCGGGGCATTTTGCGACTATGCTGACTCACACAAGAACAAGGAATGGCAAGGATATGCGGCAGCAGTGGCAGCAGCCTATGCTAAGGACCTTGTTTTAATGGTTCCAATCGACTAGATTGAGACTACTCCAACAGCACGGAATACTCTAGCAGACTCTGGTAAGAGTTTCGAAATCTAAATTCGTGGCACTCCTTATCTGATTTGAATTGATAACTGAATCAAGCTTTCCGTGTGTAGTCCACCGCTTCAACATCCCGCAGTTCCTGTGATTGAGGAATTTATAGGGCGACAAAACGAGCTAGATAATCTATGTCAGTATCTCCAACCAACGAATTCGCCATCGCGGAAGTTGCAATCCTTCTTAGGCTTGGTGGGATAGGAAAAACACAGCTAGCGATTCGCTTCGCGCGAGATCGTAAAAATGATTTTACGGCTATCTTCTGGCTTAGTGGCAAGGATCGAGATACGCTCTTACAATCGTTAAGCTTTGCCTTGAACCGACTACCAGGACAGGATTGGGATAGCGAGACGACCAATAAAGGAGAGGTAGAGCAACGAGCCAGACATATGCTACGGTGGCTAGTATTGGAGGGCAACTCGCGCTGGCTGATCATTTTTGAGAATTTCAACTTGATGAGTGATGGAGCTTCAAATCGGTATGCGAACGTTCAGTGGCGTGGGTAACGGAGTTGGTGAGGCCCTCTTCCTCCCACTCTCCGACGAACCATGGACCGTGCATTATGCAACTCCCGGTTAGGATCCTTTGTGCCCATGTTGCTGCACGTCTCCCTTGTCGGTGTCGCAAAACCCACTTGACATGGAGACCTCCTCCGTCGGAGCCTCGCAGCTTTCTGGTAAGTCTCACTTCCCACTCCACACTGGCTCCCCCGCTTGCTGACTGACTTATGTAGCCGACCAGTCTCCGTCCCCTCACTTCGTCAATCTTGACGCTGAGGATGCCACCGAGTTGCCAACTGGGGTCGATGATGCCCTGCAACCAGTCCTTCCCGATGAAGTGCGAGGTATGCTGGCTGCGTTGCAGGAAGAGTGGTTGAGGATCGGAGGTGATGTGGACTGGCCCCAAGTTGATGATACATTCCAACTTCGTGCGGTCACGTCCCACAACCATCAGGTGGCCGTCATTGGCCAGTGCATCGGTGTCGCTGCTCCCTCCGGGGATGAGTGTGCCCGGTGCCGACGCAGTGCTGGCTGCTTTGCTTCTTGCCGAGTCATAGCTTTCCGTGAAAGCTCGGTCAAGAGCACTGTGGTCAGCCTGGGTTCCTGCATGTGTTGTCACTTCGTAGGTGTGGCTCGCGCTTGCTCCTTGCGCGTTGATGCCCCTGCCTGGGCTCTGGACGCGCTTCGTGTGCACTCCCCCGAGTTCCAGTTCCCGGCGGTCACTCCCACTAGCAAGTCCCCTACCCAGCCCCCAACCCAGCCCCCAATCCAGCCCCCAATCCCCTCTACTCCCCCTCGCTCTGCTTCTTCCCGCTTCCTTAGTTCGGTTTCTACCCGCCTGTCTCGCAAACGCCCCCGCATCTCCCCCTCCGCCGCCAATATATCCCCTTCCCCCCATGTTGAATCAAGCGAGGAAGTGTCCGAGGAAGGTGCCCCCATTACCCCTAAGTGGCGCAGTGTGCTTACCCGTGGACTTTTTGAGGCCTCCCCAGATGTTAGGTTGCGGATGGAACGTCGTTTAACGGAGGAGATAGCTCAGATGCAAGTTAACATTGGTCTTGTTCGTCGGGATTTGCGTGGTTTGGAGTCACTTCGGGGTCAGGAAGCAATGGAGCGAGCTGTAGTTAGTGGAGAAGTGGATGCTGTTTGGGCTGATCACATTGACGATATCTAGGTTGCTGGGCACTTGTTGAAGCTTTTAAATTGTACTTGCCGAATACCAAGACTGTGGTTCTATCAATGACTTCCTCGTAGTCCCTTGTAGATTGTCTCTTCGTAGTATTTCGTAAGTCTTCGCTTGCTCGCTTCCTTGCTGCGGCAGCGGAATCCTTCTTATTGCGAATCCATCTCATAGCGACGTGGCCTGCGGAAAAGGTATGGAGATGCTTGCTGCAGCGTTGGAGCGTCCTCCATGTGCTGATCTCCTTGGCCATCCTTTTCAGGGGCGTTGTCGTCAACTAAGTTCTCTCGTGGAACCTCTTCTACCTCTGTCCGGGTAGGTATCCAGTCCTCTCGTTGTGACTCCTCCACCTCTCCCTGGGTCGATATCCGGTCTACTCGCTGGGACTCCTCTACCTCTCCCTGGGTGGTTGTCCAGTCCACTCGTTGGACTTCCTCTACCTCTCCTTGGGTACGCAGTTTCTTTCAGCCCTTCTGTGAGGAGTATGACTGTGAGGAGTATGACTGTGAGGAGATGTTGCTTGATAATCAAGAATGGCGTCAAATTGACTATCTTCTACAAATCACTCGGCCATTCTTTGACTACACAACAGAGCTCTCGAAGACAAAGGAGGTCACAACACATCTTGTCTTTAAGATTTACAATGCCCTCTTTGATCACCTACTTGAAGTAGAGGCGCTGCTCAAACGCAAGCGTGTTCTATGGAAATCAGACATGCTCAAAGCACTCATATCTGGTCGCTTGAAACTTGATGAGTACTACTCTCAAACCGACAATCTCAAAGGACATATCTATGCAGTTGGGACAATGCTGGCCCCTGACAGCAGACTTCAATTCTTTCTATCTGATAAATGGGAGCCTCACTGGCGTGATACCTACCGGAAATCGTTCCAGGAGTTATTAATTCCGTATCAAGAGCGTCTTACAACGAATCAAGGATCGACCAATACTCCAACAATAGCATCATCTACTTCTAGGCTGAACAAGATGCTAAAGAGCAATAAGATATCCGCAAAGCCAGCTGGTGATGAGATGACTCAATATCTCGATAGTGGTATGTTCATAATCTATTTCTTCCCTATATAGGATAATACTAATATATTTATACTACTAGACCTAATTGATATTGAACCTCTTCAATTCTGGCGGGAGAACCAATCTCGTTTCCCTGCGATCGCGTTACTTGCTCGCGATATTCTCTCTATCCTAGCAACTGGTGCTGGTGTCGAACGGCTCTTCAATACTGCTCGGGATGTTTGTCACTACCGCCGTGGTCGTCTGAAGTCCGAAACAATCGAGGAGCTTATGTTGTTTCTATGTGCAATAAGATTCAATCTTAAGGATGCTGAGGCAAAGCAGCTCGAGCAGTTCTTTAAATTAGCTGAGATCGAGTCGGCGAAGGAGCAGAACGATAATTATACAGAGGATGCTGAGCTTGACCTGATTAGTGACAATGAAGAGGAAGAGGGAGTAGATAATAGACCGCGAGAGACATCTCCTTATTTAATAGATATAGATATAGAGGTAACGGAGCCAGAGTTACCAGAGACTGTAACTCAGAGACGGCCCTCAGGGAGGAAGCGTAAGAGCAGAGCAGATGATGATTTTGAGCAATATTAGAGAAATATATCCTGATTGAATTATTTAATTCATTCTCAATTTATTCTGGACGAGCGCTGTAAGCAAAATACTCAATATTACAAGCAAAAAATGCATTAATTAATCCTATTCCACAAGCTCGGCTTTTCTAGAGATGACAACGTCTTATAACAATAGGCGAGACGAAGAAAAAATACAGCAAACAAGGTATCTCATTCAGAAACTTACCACCAAGAACTCATCATCAGCAGTAACTGCATCTAGTTGCTAGGAACAGCCTCTATCAGCCTTGGGGGGTTCCACAGCCTTCGGAGTGTGAGATTTGAGACCCTTCTGCATAGCCTCCAGGTGCTCAAACTTGTACGTATCCTCACCCAAACTCCAAGCCATGACACCACCAAGCTTCTTCTCCGCGACAATTTCCTTGAACTTGCGGGCAATAATCTCTGGGGTATCCCAGGTCCAGAAGAGGTTGATATCGCTGTCAAAGTAGTACTGACCACCGCCCTTCTCGTCAGTCTTGCCATTTTTCTGGGCTTTGCGCCATGAGTCAGTGATAGAGATACCCTTGCAGATGCCGTAGTCAGAGAGGCATCCAGTCTGGCAGAACTCATCGGTAGTACCACTGCAGAGGGTTAGTTCATATATCAATTAGAAGTAGGGGATGGTTATACATACCAGTAGCCGGAAGCACTGCAGCATTGTCCCGATGGGCATTTGGCCATGGCTCCATATCCACATGATCCATCGGTGCTGTCTATCAGATCTTTAGGCGCAGCAGCAACAATGCTAGCCTCAAAAGTCAAAGTACCAGACTTGCCGTTGTCGGTTCCATTGTCGTTCTCGAGCTTGGCAAGATGACAGCCGAGAGGGCTCTTATCACAATCGGAGTTGGGGTCGGTGGAAAACCATTTAGCGTAGTATGCAAAGCCAAGGTTGAGCTTAGCGGGATCAGCCCCAATCGCGAGATACTCATTGATAGTGTCCAAGGAACCCTGGATGCCGCTAGCGTGGTTCGTAACGGTATCGCGGCGGTTGGTCAGATCGTAGGACATGACATTGATCATATCGACAGACTGAAATATCTTAGGATCCTGTTCCTTAGTGAAAGCGATAAAGTCCTGCTTGCGACCGGGTACTGCGATAGAGAGGATCTTGTCACCAATTTCTTTGCGGAGAGCTTCGAGGAAGAGAGGATAGGTTTCAATCTCGCCTACTTTCTCAGAGTTAGGCACTTGTTTGTAGTCTTGGCCATTACCACCAGGATATTCCCAGTCAATATCTGTTTCTGAAACTTAGTAAACTTGCTTCCTTTGAATCTAGAAACTTTGTAGACATATCTTACCAACACCGTCGAATCCATGTGCATCCAACATAGAAGCGACATTCTTGGCATATCTCGTGCGCGAAACCTCGTCCTTTGCTCCCTCAGAGAAGCCAGCAGTGTCCCCCCAGCCACCAATGGCGACCATTAGCTTGGTATCCGGGCTGAAGCGCTTGCGCATGGTCTCGGGGGGCTCAAATGGCTTGTATGCCTCCGGCGAGTCAGAGTTGAATAGCTTCGATGCAGCGAAGCTCATGATAGCATAGTCAATACCCTCAGTCTTGTCCTGGCTTGGAAGAGCAGTTATATGGTACCTTGGGTAAGAATTAGCTGTAGGTTCGGGTATATAGATCAATTCCACGTGTTTGTACTGACTCGTCAATGTACATGGCAAAGCGTGTAGCAGCCACAAACTGAGCGGCCAACAGACCAAGTGCGAGGTGTTTGAACATGATGAGAATCAGTCAGACCACAGTCGTGATGTGTCTATAGACAGGCAGAAGGCAGAACCGATGACCAGGAAAGAACGTGTAAACAGATACCCTGTCTGTCTGTCGTCAAAATTCGAAATGCAACTTCAAGCCGCGAATAAATTGAACCAAACAAGGGAGAATAGAGAAAGACATTAGTAGTAGACGAAGGTCAGAAGGTCAGGTATATATCCGAGTTCTGCACAACGCGTGGACGCCGAAATATGCCGGAACGATCGTCTCGGGGCTGTCAAACATCATTGGTAATCCAGGTATTAAGCGTAGCGGCCGCGTGGTGTGCTTTCTAACATACATAAGTAATCGACGGTAGAGTATTTTGATTAACAAGGGCGCAGTGAACGTTCGTTTGGCGAGAACCTTGCTAGTGAGAGACCTAACAAAAACCCTGGCTACATTCGCTAGAAGGGGTCGAGAGTTGGTACTTGGATTTTGATACCCCCTATATCTTCGATTTCGTGACCTAGGACGGAACATAGAGTTACAACCACGGCGATCCTCTCCAACAGCAGATCAGCCTTGCAAGCAATCTAGAACCCAGAAAACAAATTACAGTACGTCCCGTAACTGGTGTCACCACTACACTTTTCCATTGTTTCTCGAACCTTAATTGCCAAGACACGCTAGTCTATATTACTGGTTTTTCCGGGCTATCCCTGTCAGTGGGGCTTGTATTGTTTCGTACACAGAATACCTAGAGCGCGTGGGGTGTGTATCCACTTGTAATCTCGATACGGCTGATACCTCGATACCCCAATTCGAAAATCATCGTCCCTCAGTCCGCGCTAATATCAAATTAATCACCAGCGGCCACCCTGCGCGTTGACATCCGCTCCATTGTATAAGAGAAGTTTGACTATTTCTTGATCACCTCCCCATGAGGCGGAGTAGAGAGCTTTGCCGTAGTAGCCACCCTGCGTGTTGACATCCGCACCTTTACCAATAAGCTCTGGTGCTGACGCTGCGAGCCCAATACAGCAAGCATGGTAGAGCCTGGATCCTCACGGAGGACCAGGATTACTGTCCCAACTCCTATGAGCCTGATACAGACGAGCCTAGCGTTGGAATGCTGCTTCCTTTTCTAGGAATCTGACTGTCATCCAAACTACATCTTCGGAAGCCTGGGCGGGCGAACCATGGCTTGCCAAAAGTTCCGCCGCACGCCCTGCCATTAAGTTCGATTTCTCTGTTGCTACCCGTAATATCTGTAAGATAAGTCAAGCACGTCTTCGTGATTGAAATACTGGCAGTTGTGGTCTCGAATTCATTCTTACCGAGAAGGTACTCTTTGACGGAAAAGTGGGCAAGATGTAGCTCTTTCCTAGTGGCGTGAACGGCTGTCACTAAGCAGGGACAGTAATCTATAATATCATTCTCGCAAAACAGTCGGCGCTTGATGTCAAACCCTCGCGCCTCATTCTCGATATGTGTTGTTATTACTTCTCTAGCCTCAGCTAGCGTGATAGGTCGCTTAGAGTGTACTAGGAATTGTAGTAGACGTATCGCGTCACTTTTTAGCTCCGTCGGTAAGCTTGCAATCATGTGCCGATATGTTTCATTAAGATTTAGCGGCAAAGACTAGCCATCCAGAAGCTTGAGTTTCTGTTACAGGTATATATTGGACACAAGGTCTATGATAACATTCTAATATCACCACAGAAGCGATCAAGAGCAACGGAACTGCAGGAGCTGGTTCACGATGCGTACCGATTTATACGCTACCATCGAGTTGCAATCGAGCAGAGCCCTCTCCAGGCGTACGGTTCGGCGATGATATTCAGCCCAACGCGGAGTGAGATCAAGCAGCTGTTCAAGCACGAGTGGCCTTGTAACATCACAATTGCGCCAGAGATGGGAGATGACTGGGATGTGCACACCGGGGCCTGCCTGCAGACGCTGGAGGGCCATGATAAGTGGATCATGTCAGTGGTGTTCTCCCACGACAGCAGCCGCGTCGCGTCCGGGTCGGGTAACAAGACGATCAAGATCTGGGATACGCACACCGGGGCCTGCCTGCAGACGCTGGAGGGCCATGGCAACTATGTCACCTCAGTGGTGTTCTCCCACGACAGCAGCCGCGTCGCGTCCGGGTCGGGTGACAACACGATCAAGATCTGGGATGAGCACACCGGGGCCTGCCTACAGACGCTGGAGGGCCATAATAGCTCGGTCAGCTCAGTTGTGTTCTCCCACGACAGCAGCCGCGTCGCGTCCGGGTCGGACGACAAGACGATCAAGATCTGGGATACGCACACCGGGGCCTGCCTGCAAACCCTCACCGTCGGCTCTGCTGTATACAATTCGTCTTTCGACACCACCGGTTCTTCTCTTTTCACTGACGTTGGAATTGTCGCCCTTCGCGACTCGCCGACACCTACCCTTACCACCTCGAAAAACGTTGCGGCTTCAGAACTTCAATTCCTTCGGGCAAGCCAGTCGTCGGAAAGTCCTGGATATCAAGGTTATGGTATCAGTTCCGATAAGTTCTGGATCACACGGGGTTCACAGAATTGGCTATGGCTACCTCCTGCATATCGCCCAATCTGTTCTGTTGTAGGACGGTCTGGAATAGCCGTGGTGCTTGGCTGCCAGTCTGGACGTGTCTTGATCTTCGAATTCGCGCCTAATGATCCTAACTGAGTTTTCGAAACCAGCTATACCTCCATCCTCTTACTTCTTGATTCGGAGAAACTAAATCCGATACGCGCTAGGCTGATCTGGCCTACCTCCTAATGATTCTGGCAGAACTGTCATCGTATTGACTGTTTTACTATCAATAAGCAATAAGTTACCGTTATATTACCGTAATGCTATAGACCCATTTAGAATTGTTTTTAGATCAGGCGATCTGGCAAGATCGCCAGCTAGCCACTCTCTAGCCATGGTTTACGTAGGTGGCCCACTGGCTGGCCCACTTCGATGCCCAATCAATAGAAGCGTGGTACTGTAGTAAACGCTCGTCTCGCTCTCTTTCAATCATCACTCACGAGGACTCTGGTGTCCGCTTCCTGTAAATTGCACGACTCACCAACCATGGTGAACAGAGGGGAGGTTTTTATGAAATGAACGGCCAAGCCTTGGTATTTTCCAGTCCTCGAGCGGATTATCTTGCAATGCGGAGCCCGCATCGCTGCATTCATTGTGGCGGGTGTACTAAAAGGCTATTCGCGCGTTACCTATCATACTTATTCTGATTGCAACGATTTGAATTGCTAAGAAGATATGCGTGATATATTAGCAAAATATCCAACATGCTTCTGTGGCTACGGGATGCAGCCCAAGAGACACATCCGTAGCAGGTGCGATTGACGGGGAAATGAAGGCTCCGGAGTCAATCCTTCTATCACTGCACCACAGAAAATGTATATTTCTCGACAATATGATGGTCTACTCTGATACAGGAGGGCTCTGGTCTACGATGGCCCAGGCTCTCCACATATTTGCTAACTTTGGGTTTTCTACCATCTTGACTTTGCCAGGATTCACGCTTCTTAGATGTCAACATTACTTGTCTTGTATACAAAAACGCCTCCACGAGGAAAGCTTTCATCCATGCAACCGGCTTACTCCTAGTAAAATACGTTCGAGTTTAGCTCTGATCTTTCCCCGCTGATAGGGTCCTCAAAAGTGGCAGTCCGGAGGGGCTCCACCCTATGTAGGACAAGCATAGTCTCTTGGAGAAGGTCGGCTCCGAACGAAGGGTAGGCGTGAATGTCTTCGCTGAACTTGGGTTCTGCGCTTCGAAGGAAGCCTTCAACGGATGCCGCAGCCACAACACTTCGCACTGGATGCTCTCGAGGCAACAATGCTGCTGAGGCAATATGATCAGGTGTGAGATAGTAAGTGTTGGTATCAAAATGTCGCCAACACCCATTGTTCTGTGAATTAGGGCTGTGTTTCAAGATGTTCTTGATGTATTCGGCCACTGTCGTTTCCAAGCCAACAATATCGTACTTGTCTGCAAGCCTTGCGAGCTCCATGGCGGCCGAAATATGCTCTCCTGGGTCTTCTATCCCAAATCTGACAGTGCGTTGGTAAAGCCATTGAAAGAGTGCTTCAAGGCTACGCACCGAGACATCGTCCCCTGTCTCTTCTAGAGTGGCTGTCTGCTGCTGTGACTCAAGAAATTCACCGTTGAACATTTTCGAGAAGACCGACGATTCCGCGCAGAGAAGGCTTTTGGAAATTAGATATTCCTGGTTGCTAGGCTGTATTCGAAGTTTGACGGAAGGGCCTTGGTAGAGGGGAAGGATACTACAAAATAAAGTGGTCAGATAACTCCTTCCCAAAGACATCTCAGGCACTTACTTGGCTACGAAGTGCTCAGCACTTGCCTCGGATGCGTTGGTCATTGTTTTGAAACGAAGTGTCCAACCGTTGGTGGAACAGTATGGAGGCAGTGAGCACTAGACAGGCCAATGGTGAGAATGTCGTATCAGCTCATGTGTACATGTAACTCTAGAGCGTGCAATAATGCTGTGGCAGACAGAAAGAGGGAACATAGCAAGGCGCATTCTTGCATTGTACGGCCAATTTCGTGTAAAATACACCCAGTGGTGTCTTAACTTACTACTGTACTGTAAGATTCGCCTACCGGTCAAGAGCGGTCTGAAAAGCGGCCCCTGGCATCGGTCCAATCAGTACTCACGACTGCCGGAACTATTATCCGGGAATCAAGTCGCAAGAGTGCGGCGGTATAACTGAATTCGAATATTACTGTAACACAAGATTGTCCTTTGTACTCATCTATGACGCCTGAGTGGGTGATCTTGGCGTCCCAGTAGTCGACGGAAGATCTCCTGGGGGTACATGAAGTCGTGTACTTTCGCATCGGGACACAGTATTTTTAATGTTTCTCAAGAGCAGTGATACGAAAGGTGACCTAATCAACGTACTCACTATTTTCAGATAACAATTAGTATGTGGTGAGAGGACAAGGATGCGCGACAGTGCAAGTACCTCGCGGCTGTTTCATCACATAGGGCGTTTCATATCGCCGGGAGGGGGGTTAGTTCGTCGGGAGGAAGCTGATTTCGCTAATGACTGTAGTAGTATTCATTTAAACTGGCCCCTCGCCGAAGCGATATGCAGTATACGACAACTATATCTCCGAGTACTAGCCGTCAACCCTCGCTTCGCTCGGGTGGCTTCTCAGGAAGCTAATAAGCTCTGAAAAGGGTGAAAACAAAAAGCATATTTTGAGCAGGTATACATATTATGGTAAGCCTTTTTCTCGCGTTCTTCGTGAACGTCGTATCACAGTGGGAGTGTGTTCAAGATCATCCGTATCTGGCTATGTCATTGGAGTCTCATCTTCTTCTGAGATTGCAAGTTCCGTATGGTCAGGAGTGACCGGATCGGTGGAAGTGGTAGTAGGGTCATCTTGGCATGTAAGGGTGGAGATTGTACCATGGATCTGGGATGAGCTGGACGGCGTGCTGGGTCCAGCTCGTTGGGCCCAATGGTTAGGTCGCTTTCGTTTACCCTTTGTTTCTCGGCTCGTATCTAAAACGAGTGAAGCATTTATTTAGACAAGTGGTACAGTAGCGCCCGACATCGCCTTCAATGTCGGAAACATGGAGATGCTGTTTCAAACTCTAATCACATGCGTATCAGAAATAAGCGGGGCGGTCCTCGCCGAGCTTCGTCTTGCGAGTCTGCATGATCTGTATAAGAAGTTGTTCCGCCTCCTCAGCCCTACATCCTACATATCGGCCGGTGTTAGCTATATCTACTAACGCGTTGAAACGTTTCAAACCAAATGTTCTTTTCTTGTCTTGGGCACTTGGGTTGACTTCGATGTCGCAACAACTATTTGTAGTAGGGATCCCTGGGCAGGGATTGTTATTCTTGGATCAGTAATAATAAATATTGAATTTTATCGTTCAAAACCGAAACATGATCTAAAGTACGGGAGTAACCATGTAACCATATCTGGATTGAGAAGAGCATGTAATTCGACCAGCACTCGACACAGTTGTGGAGAAGCTTACGAAAGCAACAGCTCAGGCCGTCGACCAGTTCACACCAAACTCACGACTATCACCGTATGCTAAACAGCGGTTTACCCCGGACCTTAAAGCTCAACAGGTCGGCAGCAAGCTAAGGAACGAAATGCGGACTATATATATTATGAAAAGTATAGTAGATCAGAGATAGTTGCCCTTTCGACTTAGCCACCGGGCGTTAATAAATTGTGTGTGTGTGTGTACCTTTCATGTCGGATACTCTAAATTTATTTTGGCGACATCCAGGCCCCAAGGCTCCCAAGCACCATAAAGCTCTCACGACGGTATGTGGCAAAACATGACATGTGTTTTCTGACGACACTCTTTGCTGCTCTAGGAATTTTGACTCCCATAAACATATAACCGCGAATTTGATTGGATAATGCCCCCTGACATACACACGCACTATTAACGCCCGGTGGCTAAGCCGAAAGGGCAACTATCGCTGATTTACTATACATGTCATTATATATACAGTACGTCTCGTAAGTGTATGAGGAATTCATAGTAGACTAGCGTCTTTCATAGGAATGTAAACATTTCATAAATAAACCCAACAGTGAATAATCTTCATTTCATCGCGGAAAAATGAGAGCAAGAATAAAAAAAGCGGGTTGAAGGTTAATTGGAAAAGAGTGGTGATGGTTTAGAGTGGTCGATCGCGGTTAACCATTTCCCTTTTTTGTTAAAAAAAAAAAAAATTTTGGACTAAGTTCAGGTCCACATTCAGAGAATGCTTTTCTGGCGGGTCCCCAATGAATCCTTTGATCCTAAATAAATAATCGCATTTCCCTTTCGCAATACATATTTATACTTGGAATGGCCACAGCTTCTTCAGGTTGAAGAACTTGCCCAACCCACTACACGTACACAAGCCCATCGCACCTCCAAGATATCATGGGAAGATTCCGTCAGATTATTATGCGTGAGATATCCTGTCTTCATTACTTTGAAGTAGACTAACCACGAGGTTAGCGTGGAGGAAGGGAGCGCAAAATAAGCACCGCATAAAGCCTGATCCGCCATTCATTCTTAAAGTCTCTCCGGGCCTTCCACAGTCATGGCTGGATAAAAGGATTTTCACTCCTAAGTGGGAGCTAAGGTCAGACTGGGAAAAGGTCCCGAACCGGGCTTGTTATATCTATACTTTGAACAGCGAGGAAGAATATAGTGGAGCCGATTTGGCCGAAATCAGAGGTAGAGATTTCCACGAATATGAGAAGGGAAAGTATGTATACGCTCCTAATGGCAACGGAAAAGCTTTGTACTAAGCTTTACAATCCATTTCAATTTATTGATACCGTGGGGGAGTGAATGTGTTAGTGAAGGACCCTCATGATAAACTCTTTTTCTTCTCCTATTCAGATCACTGAAGTGGCACGTTGTATGTTTGAGGTCGGCTTGTGCTGTTGGGCTTACATGTATCTTACAAACTCAGGAGCGATTCAATGGGATTCTTTTGTCTTGAAATATTAAACGGGACAATAGTAATGGGTAATTTCTCTACAGGCTTGTGGTCAAAAAGCGAGGCAGCTTAAGGTGAAAAGCACTGGTGATTAAACGTTCCGCCCTCTGAATGGTGTGAATATATGGTACATATAATCTTTATTGAGCCATGTTATTAGACTTCTT